ATTCATCATATGTTCATTCAATTTGTTACTCTCCTGATGGTACTACATTAGCATCTGGTAGTGCAGATAAGTCTATCCGTTTATGGGATGTTTAGACAGGGTAATAAAAAGCCTAATTAGATGGTCATTCATCAACTGTTTTTTCAATTTGTTACTCTCCTGATGGTAGTACATTAGCATCTGGTAGTTCTGATAACTCTATCCGTTTATGGGATGTTAAGAAAAGAAAAGAGATCGTCTCGTCAGAAAATCGATATAAAAAAATTTTAGCATAATTTTAAACTCCAATTTTTAATAACAACATGATTGAGAATAATGGTATTAATTATCTATGATTATTTAGTTTCATCGATTATCACTATTCTTTTAATATCATAATAGCTTATATTTTAATCTTAAGGAGCTCTTATTTTGAGAGGAGAATTTAGTAATCAATCGGGCATCAACTTGAGAACATTATTTAAATAAAGAGGAAGTATCATTTTAGAGAACGAAATGGAATTATAAAAACGATGAAAATTGATTAATATTAATCATATAATATATTATCATTTTTAAGAATCAACTCTTGAGAAATCATACAAATACATTGAAGAAATGAAGAAATAGACACTTCATGATGCAAGTATAGGTACTATACTGTTTAGCACAATATATTTTATTGCAGCATTTAATTCATACCCAAATATGCGTTTGTCAGACAGGAGTTCCAGATAGTTGCTCAGATATTTACAAGTAGTAACCATTAAGAGTGAGAAAAATATGATTTAGACACTCAAATATCAAATTCAGCGAATCATCTAAGAAAACATTTGCTATCAAATAGCATATTTGATGAAATCCATCAGAAATTTAGAAAATAAACTTATAAAATTATAATTCAATTCAATACCACCCTTTTTTTGGTGTTATTTATCGGAGAGAGACAAGACGTTTAAGAAAGGACTATTTGAAAGGAAAACTAATTTGAATTCTAAGGTTAATTCGTCTAGTGATGATAGATCAAAGTGATGCTCCACTTAATTATTGAACTTATCTTAATCTTTCTGATACCGCTTATATTTTCCATGCTTTGAAGGTATGATCTAATCAGCCACAACATAGGATTAAGATCTTTCGGTAGTTCAAAGCATCTTTTATTGTACTAACTGGGCACTCAGATTAAGAGTTCCAAATCCTCAAACTATTCAAAAAAGAGCGAAATATTTTTTATAAGACCAAAATATCGTTATTAGAATTAGATATTATATGTAAGGATAATTTGTATTAAACCTAAATTGCATAGGTTGATTTCTAGCCTTTTTATGATAATAAGGTAGGATTATGACTGATCTTTAAATAAATTTTAGGAAGATAGCCAATTCTTAACTTTAGACCATAAGCGCGCTGAGATGTGTGCTAGATCTTTTTAGTATTATAGGTGATACTTCTTAACAAAAGTCATAATGTAAGAGAAGTCAAGCTCTCGCTTTGTTAAATGAGTTATAAATTGAATTACTGGAACCTGCGAAATTATAGGCTGTTAAATAGCTAATTACAACTGAAATCCTTCATTATAGAATAATCCTATCTTCAATACAAACTGGGTTGAATATCAATAATAGAGATTATAAGGAAATTAAAATTTTCTCATTAGGTGAAGTAGTTTAAATTAGTTTCTTGCCTCGAACTATATCAACTTATGATTAGAATATTTAAATAGTAACAGCAACAATCAAATCAGCTCTTAAAGACTTATTGCTACCTAAATACATAAGCATATTGAAGCCCTGTTTAAGAGAAAAAAATTGATTAGTTAAGTTGTTATTAATTTCGGTTTAAAATTATTAATAATAAATAAATGTGATCAACTGAATCATTTAATAACCTTAGTTGATTTTTATGGTGAATTAATCAATGTTGTAATCATTAGAAGAACACTTTAATAGGTTTAACTTTCCTTTTTAAATAGGGCTTTTTATGGATTTACTCTTTCGGTATTACACTTTAAATTTATTGTTAAGTTAACTGATAATAGAATTAAAACTAATGATTTAATGAAATCAATTAGATTTTTATCATCTTGTGTGATTCCATGGTTTCATAATTTTTACAATAATTAATTCAATATTATACTTCTTTTTGATAAAACATCAAATATATATAATAGAATAAAATTAAATTTTAGGTGTGATTTTATTAAATAAGATTATAGCTGAAAAAGACAGTAGATGGTAATTCTTAGCTTGTTTAACTTTGCCAAATTTGTATTGGTTTTATATTATATAAAATTTTAGTTTTCAAATATTATTCAATGTAATTCTACAAATAGTATTTCTAAATTAAAGATGTAATTAAATAATTTTTATCAAATATTAATAAATTCGCAGTAGTGATTCGTGTTTGATGCTTTAAAGGATTCAATCCTGAATACCTGTTTTTGATTATTAAATTGATTTGAATCGTTTTGTAAGATTTGTTGTGTTTATAGATAGTTATAAATCAATTTGTTTTTCATATTTGAATGCCCTAAAGAATTTTTCAACTTTTTTGTCCTTAAAAAAAATTGATCATAAATGCTTTTGCTTTCTTTGAGTAATTATATCTCATTAATTGCAATTTGCTAATCAATTTATTTTCTTCATCAAGAGATTTCCTTTTGATTTGATCTTTAAGTATTGATTCAAATAGAAAGCAGTTTTTATGGTGATTTTGCAATTCTGTCATATTAGAACTTATAATTTAGTTTTTCTATTTTTTTAATTTTGTGAATTTTTTATATATGTGTCCATAAAGTATTTAAGAAAATCATTTATTAGACGAGAATAAACTTACACAATAATTATTCTTTAGAACACAAATAAAATGAAGAATATTTTTTATAGATAATTGTTGATGAAAAATTTTCCAAAATAAATTAATATTCATAAATGATGGTTCTAGAGCTGATTAAGTTTTCTTTAATTAATTCTCCTAATACTTTTTTTTAATTATTGAGCAATTACGAATCTTCTTAATTTGGAATTTATTCTTATTTTTTTGATTACTCATTCTAACTAAGAATTTTAATAATTTCATGAAGGCTTTGTTTATCTTACTTCAAGAATCGAGTGTTTTTCAACTTTATTAATTATTCATATTCTTTAGGGGATTTATTTAATTGGTCATCGAAGGATTAAATCATCTTATTCAATTCTTAATTATACTTTTCTTTTAATTTAGTAATGAATCCAATAGCCAAATAAAGTATTGATTACCTTTATAATCTTTTTTCAGTTTAATCTTTAATGTATTCATTCCATTTTTCATCAGCCTTCTTCAATGATATCGTATTAGCAACAGCCTTATTACCTCTTGTTATAAGATCTTATGTGCATTCAACACACAAAAAAGGGTTTGTTTATTCTAAATCTGTTTGATTTAAATTAAACATAATAATCTCCATTTTATGATTTTCACACGGAAAATTTAAAGCTGGTGTTTTCTAAAGTAAATTATATACTTACTTTTATTTTTTCATCAATAAGTAAATCATTTTAGCATTGCGATTCAAATGTCATTATCTCTTGGTCTGCTTCTTTTAATTTTTCAAAATTTTCTAATTATGATAATAATGTTTATAATTAGATTATGGAATCGGTAATTTTAGTATAATCTATTATTGGGGAATGTCTTGCAAGCCCACCATCCTCTTAATAAAAACCTGAAACAAGCTCTAGATCTTGGTTTGTAGTGGTAACTTCTATAATTTATTTCAATTTTTCCTATTAATTATTAATTTGTATTTCTAACTATTTCTTTAAATCTTCAAATTGTGTTAAACCAATTTGCTCTATTGATTTGACTGCTAATATTAGTTTTTAATTTTTCTCTAACATTTATTAATATTGTTAAACTGCATTCTTTCTTAACTCTTCAGATTTAGCCTTATTTTGTGTTTCATCATCATATTGAACAATCTTTTGTATACCAATTTTTTCAATTAAACATTTAACACAATAATATTTCTTGTGATGATTTTATTAATTTAATTCTTCTGAAAGGTCAACAGCAACGATTTAACAACCCTTATGATCATTTTTAATGCATTTCATTTCAACTACTTCATCTTATATCATTTCGTAATTTATTTTATCTTCTTTTTAATAATTCTTTGTAATTATAAAAAAAGATTAATAGAAATTATAAACAATCTAAAATAATAGAAATTAGATTGATTCTTCACTTAAAGAGAAGATTTATTTTGATAAATAATTTAGTAGTTGTCATAGAATAATCAAATTTTACAATTCTATTCTTAGAACTGAATTAAAAATATAGAATAAATGTATAATTATATACATCTAAGATTTCGAAATAATGAGGATGTATAGAATTTTTAATATATATTATAAAATTGAGATCTTAGTATAATTTAAGAATAGTTATAGATCATAATATATGAATATTATTGAAATAACACTAAATTCTTTATTCAGTTCTCCAATTATCTAAAATATTTTGAAGTAACTTGAAACCTTTATTATAAAATCATCATTAATAGAACTTTGCTTTAATTTTAGTAATTCCAGAAAACATCATCATTTTTATACCTTAGACTACAATTATGTGTTTGGAAATTTACAAACGATCAGTTTGTCAAAGTTTTGGTTAATTTATAAAGTAGAAAGAAACTAAAACTTGACATGTTTGGAGAATTAAGTAAATTTCTTACATTGAGGTGCATTTGTATTCTATTGTATTGATTTAAAAAGCCATTATATATATAACTTGTCAAAATAAATTAATGGTAGGATTAGAAATGTATGAATAGAATAACACTAAGCTGTAGCCTAGATTCTGTTTATTATTTGATTAATCCATAAAATTTTTTCGCTTAATATTTTTCGTTGATTTATGGTTTTTTTATTTAGAATAGTAATTTTAGTTTAATAAATTTTAGGAAAATCGCCTATTATCTCAAAATAAATTAAGAAAAAACTATTATTAAATTTATATGGAAAGCGAACAGGTAATTTATTAAATGACAAAATTTAGAAAGAGAATTGCTCGCCTTTGTTGAAATAAAGATTTGAGCCCTTTTCAATTGAAGAAACGAAAGAAAATGTTGTAATTGAATAGGAAGACAAGTTTGATTAATTCAAGGACTTTGTGTTTGGAATATAAATACAAAAGTGCCAGAGAGATGTGTACTTGGATGGGAATGTGAATCCGATTAATAAATAGAACAATTTCATAAAAAACTCAAAATACAATGCATTTACATTTTTACCCTTAGTTTTGTTTGAACAATTCCATTAATTTATAAACTTATTTTATTTAGGTTTAACAATAACTTAATGCATAAGTTTCTTAAAAGTTGGTATAATGACATGCTATTAAAGGATTTTTAATTGATTATTTAGGACCACTTGCTTTGGTAGTTGCAATATCTTTACTGAAGGAATTGTACGACGACATTCAAAGACACATGAGGGATCACCAGATAAATAATTATGAATATGGATTAATAACAGAAAATGGAATTCAAAAAATATCTAGTGGGAACATTAAAGTAGGCCAAATAGTAGAAGTTAAATGTAATGAGAGAATACCTGCAGATTTACTAGTATTATATGCTGAGTAAAAAGAGAAAAATATTATTTAAGTGATGAATAAGGAAACGTCTTTATTAGAACAGATTAACTCGATGGTGAGACTGATTGGAAATTACGAAAAGCAGTAAAAGCAACTTAAAATTTGATTAAAAATGGTTCAGATCCTAGTTCATTGATATCCTAAAATAGTTATGCTACATGCCAGGAACCTATAGCAAACATATATTAATTTTCTGGGTTGTTCAATTATAGATATCAAAAAGAATCCTTATCCTTGGAACATGTAATGTGGGCAAACACAGTTCTTGCAACAGGCAGGATATATGGATTAGTGATATTGAATGGTAAGGAAACACGAATGGCAATGAATAGTAAGACTCCAAAAACTAAATTTGGTATTCTTGATGGTAAATAAATATATAAATATAATTCTAGATGAAATAAATTGGTTAAGCTTTTTGTTATTTGTTATGATGTCTATAATGGCAGGGATAGTTACTGCCTTTAGTGGTTAACCAGCAACAGCTAGCGTTGTTACAGTAGCATATATAAGATACTTAGTTTTGCTGAGTAACATTATACCTGTAAAGATTTCATTCAAATCTAGATATCTATGAGAGTAAACTTAGAATTTGCCAAATTAGTTTATTCGTATAAGATAAATATTGACCCCTAAATTGAAGGAACCATAACGAGGAATTCAAATATTCCAGAATCTCTAGGCAGAATTCAATATTTATTAAGTGATAAGACAGGAACTTTGACCTAGAATGATATGATTTTTAAAAAACTGTCATTGGCTTCAGCTCAATTTTCAGAGGAAGACAAAGAGGAAATGAAAAAAATACTTATTGAGTAATGCAAATTAAATGAATACCCTTTATAGGATGTAGTAAACTTTTTGAATAAAAATAATTCTAAATTAAGACTTAAAAGAGAAAGAGATTAAGTGTTTAGAGATTTAATGTTTGCATTATGTTTGTGTCATAACGTAACTCCAATATATGATGGAGAGAATCCGAAGACCTTTTAGGCCTCATCTCCCGATGAAATTGCTCTTGTAAAGATAGCAGAAGAAATAGGAATCGAACTATTATCTAGAGATTAGATTCAAATCACAATAAAGGATTGCATAGAAAGGAAACAAAAGTATGAAATCTTAAACAACTTCCCTTTTTCAAGTGAGACAAAAAGAATGGGCATCATTTTATATAATAGAGAAGCAGACAGATATATATTCTATGTAAAAGGAGCTGATGCAGTAATGAAATAATTGGTCTAAGAACATTAAAGAGGATTCATAGACGAGGAATGCGAGAATTTAGCAAGAGAAGGGTTTAGAACACTTGTGATCACTTAAAAATTGCTGACAAAATAGGAATATGAAAATTGGAAGGTGAAATTTGATTAGGCAAATGAATAAATAGAAAATAGAGAGACTTCAATTTAGAAGGCAATTTCATTGTTAGAAAAAGATATGGAATTCCTGGGCATTACTGGTGTAGAAGACAAATTACAAGAAGATGTTTGTTCTACATTGGAAAATGTTAGAAATGCAGGTGTAAATGTGTGGATGTTAACAGGAGATAAGATTGAAACTGCAATATGCATAGCAATATCTAGTGGAATTAAGTCACCAACCTAATAGATATTTTTGATCAAGGAAACTTCTGACCCTGAGAAATTTTAATAACAAATTAATACATTTGGTGTCGATACTAATAATCATTTACTTGTAATTGATGGAACCAGTTTAAATACTGCTCTTACATACTTTGAGGAATTATTTTTCACAATTGCCACTAAGAGTTAATCAGTTGTTTGCTGTCGTTGTTCTCCAACTCAAAAAGCTTAAGTTACAGAGTGCATTAAGTTCTATACGAAGAAAGTAGTTGCATGTATTGGGTATGATTTCATAATTATAATATAAATTAGAGATGGAGGAAATGATGTCGGTATGATCTAATCAGCAGATGTTGGAATTGGAATTGAAGGTAAAGAAGGGAAATAGGCTGCACTGGCATCTGATTTCTCGATAATCAAATTCAAATATTTGAATGTACTCTTACTCTGGCATGGCAGATTATCATACAAAAGGAGTGCCTTATTATCTTAATTTGTTATTCATAGAGGATTAATCATTTCAGTTATCCAAGCTGTTTTTATGTTTGTGTTCTACTTTTTGTCTATCAGCATATTTAGTGGCGGATTATTACTTGGATATTCTACAATTTACACGTATCTATATTAATTAATGGCTAGAATGTTTCCAGTTTTTTCAATAATATTTGATGAAGATGTTGATATTAAAATAGCACTTTAATATCCTCCTCTTTATAGGTCTTTACAAAAAGGGAGAGATCTCAATGCCAAGACATTTATGGTTTGGGTTTGGAAATCTATATTCCAGGGAGTTATAATTATGATTTTGGCTTTGGCTATGTTTAAGAATATCTTTTTGGAAATTGAAACTGTAGCGTTTACAGCCCTCATTTTTAATCAATATGCTCTAACATTGAGTGAGGTAATTTTACAGTATAATATTTTAGTTGCATTCTTTGCACATTGTAATGATCATATCGAATATTGCATCTGCCTTCATATATATTTTGTCCATCATGTGGTTCCCAAATCAACTATTGGTTTCGGCTATGACTTTTTAATTCTTCTTTTACGTCATTGTAATTGTAATGGTCAGTTGGTCACCTTGTTTTATAGCCTAAAAGATATTGAAAAAATATGATCCATCTGACTATGAAAAGATCATGGCGAATGTAAAAAGAGAGTTAATCAATACCAAAATTTTTAAGTGATTGTTAAAATCTTATCTAATTTAACACAAATTGTTGTTTTTTATACATTTTATACATCTTTATAATTTAATGACTAAATAATAAAATAATAAAAAATATACAATTTATAACTGTTTTTAAACAAAACTCACTCTAAATTATTTTATCAAGTTTAAGAATTAAATTCTATGATATATTTTTAGTTAACAAGAACTAGAATCATTCAATTTTAATATTAATTTTACGAAGGAATCTTTTTAATTATTTACTAAAATAATAATAATAACTAATTCTAAAAAGTGTTAGAAATGACTTAATAACTGTCTCATTAGTGGGCTGGGATGGTTCAGAAATAAATGGCTGAGAAAGTGCTAAATGAGAATCAATAAAAATATGATTAATAGTAGAGGAAGTAAAGATACAAGGAAGAATTGGAAACAGACATGAAATTGAAATAATAATAAAAAATAATTTAACATCAATAAGACTAGCAGTTAGAATCTTAGATGTTAGAAACTCTTAGGTAGAGAGAATCTAAGAAATTAAAAGAAATGGAACAAAGAAAAATTAAACAAATTGAAACTAGTTTAGAGAATCTCAATCATTTATTAATTCGAAAAAAAATGAACCAAGAGAGATCATATCAAAGTTTATTACTCGAATAAGAGGATATTAAGTAAGAAAAATTAAAAGAAATCAAAAGTTTAGAAAGAATCAAAATTCTCAAAGATGAAGAATCAAGAAAACTACGCGAAAATTATGATTCTGTCATTCAATAAAAATTGAACCAGAGGTAACAAATCAAATCGAAGTTATTAAAAGTATAAGAAACTGATCCCGATCAATTGCTTCAAGCTTAGAGAGGAGATGCATAGTCATACTAAAATGAATTAAACAAGTAATTGGAGGAAAAGAAACGAAAAATACTAGAAATTCAAGCCAAAAAACAAGAAGAAAGATTAAGAGTGGAATAAAAAATTGCCTTTGAAAAACAGAAGATATTAGAAAACAAATTAAAAGATTACAATATGCATAAACAGTATGAAAATGAGAATTATGAATTATCTAACTAAAGAAAATAACTAGGCCACAATCCCTCCTTATAATCATACAACATTAAGCTAAATGATAATAGTCAACAGAAATTACCTCAAATATATTCAGATAATTACTAAGCATAAGAAAGGAATAAATAATTGCATTTGCTTGATTAAGACATGTTAAAATATTAGAAAATGTAATAACAACTATAACAAGAGTAGACTTATAATCCAAACTAAATTTCTAATCAAATTTTGAAACCGCAGCAACTTGCGCAAACACCATTGAAGACACCGCTCTCGTAATCATCAAAACAATCAAAATAATCAAAGAAATCCAAATAATTCATAAACCCCATACATCAAGAGGGTCCTGGTTACTCATAAATACATCAAAGTAAAACCTAAACTCCTAAATCTAAATAATCAAAGAAATCACTACCTCAACCAATTGAGATTACAGATTCCTCAAACCAGTAATCAAAACCCAAATTCAAAAATTACAATATATTGACAGGAATTCTGCATATATAATGATATGGTGATGTTTATTATATGCTAAATTAAAATATTATATCTTTATGCAATAATATTGTTTATTATTATAGTTAATATACTTTTTAAGCATTCCATAAGTATTATAGTAGTTCTTAAGTATGCTATATATTTAGAGAATTGAATTATAAGGAAAATAAAAGAGATAATTAAATTTTATAAATAATATACAAATGAAAAAGAAATCAAAGAAACATCATAAAAAGAAACATCATTCCTCATCATCATCTTCTTCTTCGAAATCTTCCAAGTCTAGATCTAGATCTAGATCAGAATCAAAATCGAAGAAATCAAAATCAAAATCCAAATCCAATTAATTTAATAAGGAAAAGCCTGTTGACTCTGCTATTCAAGATCAGTAATAAATGTAATAATTAGATCGACAACTCGACCGTATAAAGTAAATAAATTCGCCCTTGGATCAATGCTATTTGAAAATCGAAGAACAAATGATAGGATGGATAAGAATGAAGTTTAACATGCCAATACGCAATTAAAGAAAATAGATAAAACAGGGAGGGATGCTGTATTATTATCGGCTGCAATAAATACGGTGCAATAGGACAACAAGAGAGAAGAGTAAGTAGCTTTTCATTTGATTTAGATATTAAATTGAATTAGTAAATGGATAGTATATTAAGATCGCAAAGCCATATAGTTGCGGATTTAGTAATTGTTAGATGAGATTTGTTACTACAGATGAATTAACAAAACATTTAAGAGAACATGATAGAGTGTAATCAATGAAAAACACCTAAAGAGCTTAAAAGTTTATGGAAAACTTATGAAATTATTGTTTTTGTAAAGTCTTAGTAAAAAAACATCAATTAAATATGGCTACGTTTTATTGGATAAATTATGGTAGTGCTTGTTAAGTTTATTATAACCACGAGTGATTGTATGCCTACTTTGCGGTTAATCTTTCTCTGGATAATCGTTTAACTAAACTTTCAATGAATTCTCTCAATTCCTTGGATGCTGAAGACGGTATCAAAAAGCAAGCCTAAATGAGAGTTATAAAATGTAGCTTACAGTTTTCATTAATTCTTGTTAGTGCTCTTTCCATGGAGGTTTACCAAAACACAATTCATATGTTAAGACACCCAAACCCCAAATATCACTTTTTTTGTCGTACATATCTCCTTCCAGGATTTCAGGTGAAGCATAAATGATAGTTCCGCATTGCGTTTATCTATAAGCATGAGGAGAGTAGACGCAGAATGAAAAATCAGCGATTTTTGCTTAGCCAAAACTCAAGAGAATATTATCTGGTTTAATATCTCGATGAATAACATCATTATTATGTATATACATTAATGCGAAGGTGATTTAGTGGACATAATTAGAGGCTTCTTTTTCTTGAAATCTTTGATTTGGTTATTTTTAGAGGAGACTGAGCAATTGGCCATGTGAGCAGTACTCTAGAACCAAAACTATTTCAGTTTCTAATGAAATAATGTATGAGTTATTACAAGTTTAAAAAAAGGTGTATAATTTAGTGATATTTGGGTGATCAAGTAAATATTGGATTTTTATCTCCCAAGCCAATTATGCTTCCATGATTTCTTCTATCATTTATTTTTTTTGGATAACTTTCAATGCAACCAAAAATCCAGTTTACAAATGTCTTGCTAGAAATACTTCACTGTATTTTCCATCTCCAAGTTTCTTTATTATTTTAAAATTCTTGAAGCGTTCTTCAGTCTTTTTGGGTGGACTCTGCTATTAAAAGGCTTATTTCTAAGGTAGGAAATAAAGTTTACTTATTTATACTATTCTTTTAAATTTTACATAAGCGGAATTAACGGAATTAATGGTTATCTGTCTATATTTTATTATGATTGATGAAGGGGGATAGTTTTTATAGGAGTGGTGTCTTATTTCTAAGCAATTCTCAATTCTTGCGGTGTTATTTTGGGGGAATTCATTATACCTTTGCCATCGGGATCAGTGTTGATATTTTGCTAATTCGAATTGGATTTGAGGTTTGATTCTGGTAACTTGTGTTAATTGTAATTGGTTCTAGATTTTTGGAGAACCTGCTCCACGTATGAAAGTATTTGATTATTATGGTAGGTTTATTGCTGATTTCTAGAATACGGTTTATACGATTAATATGAGTTGTAATTCATTTAATTATTTTAATTAAATAAACACATAATTAATGTTGAATGATTAAAATGCTTGGTATGAGTTCATAGACCCGATTGCTTGGTTCAATATAGAGAGTTGGCTAGGATGGATTATATACTTCTGCTGTTTGATCGCTGCAATGATTTTGGGATATTGGTTGTTGACAGTAATTTTGCATCTATTAAAAAGTCATTCATTGTTCCAGATTATGATATCCACTCAAAATTCACAATCTTTTTATTTTGCTTAACCTTTAGTTTGAGTACTATGGCTTTGGGGATGTTCATTTTTGAGATCTTCAAGATTGGACAATCATAAACTCGACCAAAATTATGGTCATTCACTTTATTTAGCGACGTTTTATTATTGCTTTACATATTGCCTTCTTTATCATTGATTTTCATATTCCAAAGGTGGGGCTTTAACAAATACCCTAAACTATGTAAATATTCAATCTATTCAACAAGGCATTGCTGGATTTCTGTCTATAATTCTTATTATTCTGTATTTAGTGTAGAAGTTCCATCCAACTAATTTAGATTTTAAACTGGCTTCCTAAATAGATTTCATCACCAACATAGGAACATATATGATAGGAATTTTGTCAGGATTCGGTGCAGTGTATTGTCCTTGGGCATATTTCCAGATGATTAGTTTAGATAGTAAAATCTATATTTAGAATAGTTAACAAGGTGAAATAAGGCAAGAAGGCGATTGTAAGCAATATCTATTTCATTCTTGCGGAAATCGAAAAGTCAGTGGTGAAATTGGTTTTGATCAATGAGCAATACAGACATAAACTGAATGGGGAAGAGAAGCCAACTTTCTTTTGGGCCAGAATAACGAGTTGGTTTAAAAAAACACCTACGGAATCACAGCAAAGAAAAGATTTGAAGGAAGAACTACGTTAATTAAAGGCCATTCACAGTTAATTGTATGATCATTTCAAAGATTACATTGATGAGGAAACCAGGTACTATCAATCCAAATCTTTGTATGGCAAATTCCTTAAGAGACTGGCATGGATTGTATTGATTTATTGTATTTACAAAATGATAATGAGTACAATCAATGCGATTTGGGGAAGGAAGAAGTCAATAGATCCAATCAGTAGGATTCTAAAAGTTATCTTGCCATTTTTTGGATTTGAATTGGATCAAATTACTTATGAGACTCTTGCTATGTATGGGACATTCATTTTTATGGGTTACTTGATGTTCAGCAATGTTAGATCGTTCTCCTTGAACTTAGTTAACATCTTTAACACTTTTATGGGCATGGCAGTTCTCCAGAAATTACCTTATGAAATTATGGTGCTATTTATTGCTGAGGTGTTTGGAGTGTATCTTTTATCAACAGTTATTTTATTGCAAACAAGCTTACCAGATAGCTTCATATCTAATCTGAAAGAATATTCTTAAGGTATTGAAATATTAAGCCACTATGAAAAAATTGATAAATTATTTTTATTAAGTGGTTTTATAAGTACATTAATAATATATGCAAATTATCATAGAAGAAAATCGAAATTAGAAAACTTTGAGAAATCAGATTTGAAATTACGGGATTGAATTTTGTAATATATCTGCTGTATTTTATTCATTTAATTATCAGTTCTTCAATATAACCATGTTTTCAATAGCCTTCTTCGTTATTGTTTCATCTTTAAACACATCGTGTTGCAAAGCCTTCTCAATTGGATATCTCTTCTCCAATTTATTCAGTAGGTCCTTGAAATTTGGAGATAACTGCTATCCTCTAATTATATACATCAATAATTTGTATAGTAAGTAGGAATCTACAGATTCATCAAACATCTACCCTGTGGTTGCTTCAGGACAAGCAAACTCCGATAGCTTTTGTCTATTATACAACTTGAATGAATAAGTGGAATAACTGAAGTTGCAAATGGCCACCTTCTCAATTGAATCTGGTTCTTGTTTATTTGGAATAACACCTATTTAATTTGGATTCAAACAAACTATAATCACACCCATCATATGAACGTAATGGAAAATCACCAACAATTATTTGGCTATCAATCTGATTTGGAATTCTAATTAAATCACAAGTATCATACCACTTAATTACTTTATGTTGGACAGATATTCATCAAGAGTAAATGGGATGTTTTCACAAATTTGATAAATTGTGGTTGTATTTTCAAATTGGATTTCATGACATTTGATTACACCCTTGAAATTTGACACTGAATCATGAATAATCAAATTTGAAATAGAACTATTGTCTTGTTTAAATTATTGAATAGATAATTTCAATCCCAAAGATTTGTTAACGCATTCAATGTGCTATTTGCTATTATTATTTAAAATTTGATATTTCTAAGAATAGGGACAATAAAGTTAATGCAATTCCAATTGAGTATCAAAAAACAGTTAAACCTCGATCTTCAATTTATCACATTTAATTGCAATTCCAAATTTATTGACGTATTACTGCTTAGGGATTTCCTGTATGATCGAATAAGCTAAAGGGATGATTTCTTATTTATTATATGATTCAATACCAATGATATCCTGATGTTCTGATCCATAAAGAATAAGCAATTTATTTTCAATCAATTAAAATTTTCTTTTGACAAAGGCATTTGTGTTGGTTTTCTACCATACAAATTTCTCTTCTAAGTCCAACTGATTGAACCACAAATTTATAAATAGGGATTGCTGAAGATACTAAATCACTTTTTCACTTATCAACCATTTGTAATATTATTCCTCTGTTTGGGGACAATAATGATCCAAGTAATCCAAGATCAACTTTTGATGATTTATCTTCTCATCATCAAAATTGGCTTTCTTTATTGGAGATACATTATTATTATTATTGTCTATGCCAGATAGGTCTAATGACTAATTTGCCAAGTCAATTTCTGGCTCTTATTCCATTTCGATGTCAGACTCATCAAAACACGAGTATTGTTCATTAAAAACCTCTTCTTTGTTGATCATATTCTTTTTTAAAAAAGCTTCATCAGATTATATTATTTAGTAAAACAAGGGCTTAGGCAAATTGCTCAACTTGGTGGATATTTGCATATGTTACTGCTAATTTGAAATTTTATTTGTTTATGGGAAATAATTGGGCGAATACCTGCTGATCCTAATGCACCTAACCTAAAAAAGAATATGATGATTTCTATATTACTTAAAAACAATAGAAGTTTGCCATCACATTTCTGATAAATCCAGTGATTCCTACAAGTTTAATAATTTCATATACCATGCGCCCTATTTAGTTATAAATATACCTAAAGATTAAAAATTAAAAACATCTCTTCACTGCTTTGAACTTAGATGATATTAACCATATCTCATACTTAATTGCAGAACTTTAAATTTGTCATATTCTTTCATTTGATACCTATTTTACGCTTATTCTTATTTTCCAAATAGACATCCCATAATATTAATAAATAGTTGTTAAATTAATGCTTCGGTCTGCTTTATATGAAATAGCTCATGATTACATAATCATAGGAGAAGATAGCTTGTACAATCAAGAAACTGAAAACTATAAGCCAAATCCAACTCCTCTGTCAACTAAATAAGAAAATGTGGTGGATCCCTTCTAAAACTTCTCCAATCTACTTCAGGCATAAAAACAAAAGAAATAAACAAGAAGAGCCTTGATTTCCATTGATACCAACTTCAACACCGTCTCTGGCTCTCCTGAAAAAACCTAAAATGTTGTTAACTGTAGCTCAAAACATAAATCCACTTATTCATCCCCAAAAAATGTTGTTTTCTATGACAGACAAATTCGGTGGTTGAACTAAGTAAAATAAACCATCAAAGTCAAGGAAGTCATACAACAACAGAGATAAAGTGTAGAGTGTCCATTTAAACCAAAGAAATGTCCAACTTCCTTGCCTTAAACCACAAAAAACTAAAATAATAAGCCTACAAAAATGAGGAAAGATTCATATTCAACAATTCATTTATTAAAACAGAAGTTCTACTGAATTTTTACTATATATAAATATTTTTTATTATTATAAATTTTATTTTATCATAGATTAAGAGATTTTTGGATGTTTAAATTCAGAATTAACCATAGATTGATGAAGATACTTAAAAAAGAAAGGAAAATAATAGAAAAATAAAGTTAAGAATCATCCAAGAGATGATAGGAAGGTAAAGATATGAATTGGTAAACCTTATGATATTTTGATAAAACAAAAGTCTGATTAAGATATATTCTTTTTAAGCATTATACATATTGTATTGTATCTATAACAATTACATTTTGAAATAGAAAAGATTCATAAACGTTTCAAGGTTATTTTTTCTAAGGAAGTATAACTCGTTATTAATTTTGTAACATAACATTTTTAGTAAGCACTGAAATTTCATCCAAACTCCTTTTTGATTGAGCATCAATAGATTATCGAAACTTACATTTTTAAGATTTCTCTTCACTCTTTTTATCTTGTTAATAATCCTCAGATGTATTGAAAGCTAATTATTTTCTAATCAAGATCTTTTTAATTAGTCTTTCAACCTGAAGATTGTTGTTTTCGATTTCTTCTAGAATGGTTAGACAAACCTTTGCGTTTAGTCTCGACTATGGATTGGATTCCAGCATATATGGAAGTAGAATCTATATATATATATAAGTAATGATCATACAAACAATTAATCCATTTTGTTTGAATTGCATTCGGGATGTTGCAATTACTTTTTTAATTCAAAAACTCCTTGCTTGTTTGATTGGTATATATTCTATTTGCTCTATTTTGTAGTAAATAGATTCTCTCCAGTCAACCTTTGAGTTAGAATGTAATCACATACAATTTAAACAGAACACATCCAAGGCTATAGATGTCTGCCTTCTCATCGTAGGGTTTGTCTTTATTGAAGTTGATGATTTCTGGAGCCATATATCCAGGTGTTCCTGAAGTGGGAAATATTAACTAATTTCTAACCTTTCTGGCCAAGCCAAAGTCAATGAGTTTCACAGTTTCGGCTTTCATTATATTCAAAGGGTTGATATCTCTATGCATTATTCCCTTATTGTGAATGTATATAATTGCCTCCAACAATTCCTAAGACTCTATCCAAATCTTACTTTCATGATCTTTATCGATTCGTTAACCGAGAGTCCATAATTTCTACTCTATAATTCTGTATACAAAGTCTTCCCGTTTATGTATTCCATCACGATATAATAGTTTTGTTGATCCACATAGGTTTCCTTCAATTTAACAATGCTAGGATGTTATAATTAGTTCAATAGACTGAGCTCATGTATTAGTTGAGGCTTTGGTTTTAAGAATTATATACTATTGCTCCATCATTTTGGGTTATTTTCATCTTGTCTACTTTCTTGATTGCGAAATATTCCTCGCTGTTTTCTGTGGATATACACCGATATACTGATCCAGTCATTCCACTGCCTATTTCCATATGGAATTAGTAGAAAGTGGACACTGGACTGAAAAATACTTTCCCAGCAAGCATCTCCTTGAGTAGATTCAGCTTTTGTCCATAGACTTCTTTCAATCTGCCGTTGTATGAAAATTCAAAAGCCACAATCCTCTTATTCTCACATATCCACTTTATCGTAGTTGTTAAATTCGTTTTTAAATTGTATTTTGGAGTTTTAGTCAGATCCTAGTTTGAAGATCAACTTACATCAGTCATAACCAATTCATCAGCAAATAAATATAATTGGTAGGCTCTGTCCTTGAAGAAGTGTTTTCGTATCACTTGTACATTAAATAATGCTTTGTCATAAGATTACATTTTAATTCATAAAAATCAGGATTTCAATATGATGAATTAAACTGCTAAAATGATACTCAATATCAGGGAAACGATTGTATTCAAGGATGGACTTTCATATTACCAATGGACTACTACATTAAATTGCCAAAACAAAAGAAAAACTATTTCAAATCTTATGTCTCAAGTTTAAGTCTTTTAAACAAACAATAATATTATTAAATATATATAAATCAAATAACAAATATAAATTGAATAATTTTGATATCAACACAATGAGACTTAATTTTAATATTGAAAAAGTAGATTGATGCAAATAGTGATAATGTAAATATAATGATATATTGAAAAACAATAACATTTTATTATTATTATTATTTTACCAATTAATTAGTTAATTTTTTAAATATGAATATATGGGTAAATGTGTGTAAGTGAGGAATCACTCGATACAAAATGATAGTATAAAATAAAATGATGAGAATTTTAATTTGAATTATTTAAAATAATTATATTCTATGGCTTCATAAGTATAAAATAATAAGGATTATAACCATCTACTATCGATTTGGAATGATTATTTCAACAAACCTGCTAAAGAAACAATCGATCTACAAGACAATGTTCATAATATGATAATCTTATTTTACAAATTATTCCAAGAAAATGATTCAATAATTGAATATCAACATACTCCAAATTTGATTGAATGCAAGATTGACATCCAACAATTATTCAAATTGATTGATGACGGTGAACAACTTCAAAGTTTATTCATAAATGACCCTCAGGATTGGATTAACTCAATTTCATTGGCGATTTCAAGTTTAAATAATAACAAAAAAGTTATTTGCCGACTTCATAATATTCCTTTATCAAAAAAATTAGCCTCACAAGATATTGGCAAATATATAGCAATAATGGGAACCATCATTACAACTGGTTCATCGAAATTATTATTAGAGAGAGCCTGCTTTGTTTGTATATCATGCGACGAATATGAAAGTAATTAAATAAAATAAAATTAGAATATTATGTTAATTCAGATGGGTCTATTCCAAAGGTGAATCAATGTAATAAATGTGGGAGTTCAAATACAATGAAGCTAGACAGGAATCGAAGTGATGCTGTATTATACTAGAAAATCAAACTGAATGAATTGTAAATAGAAGTGGAATTGAGAGATCTCTATGTCAATTGTTTTATGTCAGGAGATGAGATTATAGTTCATGGGATAGTGAAGACAATCCAAGACGAACAAAAGAGTTCACTCTACGTAAAATACATACAAGCCTATCATGTCAAACATGAATAAATTAATGAAAGCTTTACAAGACATGAAATCAAGACAGTCAATGATTTGGCCAAAAATGGAGAGTTGTTTTATGCTTTAATCAATAATTTCTGTCCAAGTATTTATGGACATGAGATTGTCAAAGCTGGATTACTGTTGTCTCTAGTAGGAGGTAGTACATGTAACAGAAATGCCTCACATTGTTTATTGGTAGGTGATCCTGGCTAAGGAAAGAGTCAGTTATTGAAATTTGCTCATTTACTTTCAACTCGTTCGATATACGTTTCAGGGACTGCTGTCTCACAATGCGGTTTAACTTGTTCAGTCAATCATAAGAATGATGATACAATTATAGATGCTGGTGCATTAGTATTAGCTGATAATGGAGTGTGTTGTTTGGATGAAATTGATAAAATGTAGAGTCAACATTATGCATTATTGGAAGCAATGGAACAACAAACGATCACTTTGGCGAAAAGTGCTGTTATGTGTTAATTCTATGCTAGAACTACTATCATTGCAACTGCCAATCCAGCATAAGGTCATTTTAATAAAACCAAATCACTAATCGAGAACTTGAAAATATAAAATACCTTGTTATCCAGATTTGATTTGATTTACTTGTTGATAGATGAACCTGATATGGAAAGAGATTAGAAGTTGTCTGAACACATCATGAATTTTCATAATATGAAAACTTCAAGAATCAAATTCAATAATACTGATGAAGTGAAAACTCCAAATGCTTATAGAACCTTAAATGAACGTTTACACTCCAATCAAATTAATTAAGAGTTACCCTATCAATTGATGAAGAAGATTATTGCTCATGTCAAAAATATTAAATCGGTGCTTACATTAGGAGCTTAAAAGCTTATTGCTTCTTATTACTTGAAAATTAGACAAACTGCATTCGGAATGCCCATTACAAGTAGATAATTAGAATCACTTATTCGGTTGTCTCAAGCAAAGGCTAAATTATGCTTGAGATAAGAAGTTACTGAGGAAGATGCACAATTTGCAATTGACATTTTTGAAGAAAGCAGATTCGATTGTTTTATCAGTGGATTGGGCAATCAATCGACTAACAAAAAGGGTTAAGCCAGTTCGATCAACAATTCCAAAAACATTGGCACCTTGTCAAAACCAAAGTAAACTTAAATCTTTTTGGATGAATTGCATAAGGTTTCATTGTAGAAGGATTCTTATGAATTTTCAATGGAGGAATTAAAGAATACTGCCAGAAAGATTAATCTATAAGTTGGAGATTTAGGTGATTTCATAAGCAAATTAAATTATGACTGCATGCTCATCATGAGAGGAAACAATGTTTATGAATTAAACTACAAAAGATGATCTGATTGAAGTATAATATTAATTAATTATATATATATTAATCAATATGAATTAAGAAATTCAAGTCGAATAAAGAGTTTCATTATATGACATTGTTAAGGAGAAAAGAGAAGAAAAACAAGTGCCAATTAGTAGAATGGTTTATGCTACATATTTTAGTGAGAGTGCTATACAAAAAATCGATGTTGAATAAGTTTTGACGAAATAAGTTATATTATCCTTTGATTTTAGATTAAAGAGTTGAGTGACACTCAAGGTTAAATCTCAGGCTTTCTCTTAATCCGAGGTCTCTTTAGTTTACATCTAGTCGAAACTCAATCACATGTTATGAATCTTTGGATGCGCAATCTGTATACTGAGTATAGAAAGGAAAAGAACATCTATAGCATGATTAATATTGTTACTGTGAATGAGGACAACCCTACAAGGTGTTTTGATAGGTGGTATTGCGAAAACTTATTCTAAACTGGCCCATAATTGTCAGACATGGATAAAACAGAAGCTTAATGTTAAGAGAGAGTTTGGGAATTGTATTAACAAGTATGTAATGCTGGAATTAAACACAGTGCAAGAACCTAAAAAGATAAATAACAAAATAAAATAGCAAACGACGTCCCAATCAGTTTAGATGATATAAATATGTTGTTGCACAAAAGATTTATGTCCATTGAGGAATATAATGAACTGTATTTAGGGGATATCAAAATTGAATTAGAATAAGAAAAAGTCTATCCTTAAACATTACCCTTAACAAGAGCATTAGAGTATAAAGATTTAGGAGAATGAGTAAAATATTTCAAATTATTATTAACTATAAATTATGTCCATTTTAATTATAACAAACAATATGTATATTTATTGATATGTTTCTATCCAATTTAGCAGTATTTTATTCTCAAAATTACAATATTCTTATTAATAATTTATAATCTATAATAATAAGAATAAAAAATTTATAGTTTTCAACAAACCAACAGAAATTAAACCTCATTTGATTGATTTAAGTAAGGTACTTCAAATCTACATCATTATATAAAGTAAGACGATTTATTAATAATCTCAAGATAATCGAAGTTGGATAATTTGTCCTTTCAAAGATTTAACAATTATTTGGTACAAAAGCAGAATCATGAATTATTAAATGATATTTCTAAAAGAAGTGCAAACTAATTTTACTTAATTGTCTATGTCATTCAATATTTATAAGATTCTTTTCATAAACAACATTGAATCAACTCCCATATTGCAATAATTCAATTCATTAATTGATTGATTTGTTGAGGATTAATATATAAAATTTAAATTATTCTATTAATGAATATAGAATCACTTTCTCATCTTTTTCAGTTAAATCTAGACTTTTAGGTGACCTTATATTTGGTAACAACCTAATTCTATCCATTATATGGGTTTGAATATTAGGTTTAAGAGACCTTAAAAGTATTCTAAATTCTTTAAGAGTCTTAATCGCTTTGATCTTATCTGAAACACATTTATTATTTATCTTTAATGGATACTTTAACTTTATTTTGGCTTTATTTCATTTTTACTGATTGGCTTGTCCCCTAAGATATCTAATATATGATTACATGATTTTAGTAAAGTGCCATTTATTAATTTGTTCCATTATCATCATTATACATTTGTATGTTGGATTGGTTCTATTGTTTTTATTATAAATACTTACATAATCATTATCTGAACATTCAAACTAATCAGAACAATAAAGAGCCATATATATCAATCTTAGGTATTTATTTTTTAATGAAAAATGCCTCGAAAATCGTAATTATTTAAAGAGAAAAATATTCTATTGTGTTTGAAAAATTTATATTATCATAAATTAAAAATCTTACTTTTTATAATGAAAAGCTCATATAACCAGAAATATTCTGTTTCCCAAAAATTATATTCTTTTTGATGAATGCTCGCAAAAAATTCAATGATAAGCATTGGCTTTCTGCTCTAAGGATAACAGTGGCAAATATTGATATTCAATAAATTAGCTAGTTCCTAATCTTATGATTCTATAAAAATGATAATTTCTTTCGTACTTTAGTGAAAACCTTGAGATTAATCTTTGGATTAATTAGATAAATTATTTCAAACTTATATTGAATCCATTAAACCTTCATTATTATTATTAGAATGAGATTCTGAATATTGAAAAGTAATAATTTATTTCTCTCTGAACTATCTTATTATTCAAAGTTGCATAAGAAAAATATTAAGTCTACTAATTATACAGGACCTTCTACAGTAGTCTAGATCCTAGATTTCCAATAAAAATTGATTCAATTGTATTTTAGGGATAAATTTGAAATTCTATCATTCTATATATTTTTGCAATTCTATTAATCAAATTTGATAATTAAAAAGAACAATAAAATATGAATAAATAAATTAAGATATGATAAAGGAAGAAGGAGTAGTAAAGGAATGCATTAAAAATGACCATAAAGGTTGTTAAATTCTTGCTGTGGACCTTTCAGAGGAATTAAATAAAGAAAATGATCAAAAGAAATATTACTGTGTGAAATGTTTAATTGAAAAAATTGGAGTTAAAAAGATTGTTCTATATGATGAAGCAAAAAATAAGGCAAAATCTGTGAACGAAGAGTTAAAAAAGAATACAGTCCAAAAACATTAATAAACAAAGGACAGTTTTTAAAAACTATCAGATGTTATAAAATTAATCTAAGGAGAATATTAGAATAAATTTGAGGATTTAAAGAAGCAGTTAGAAGCACAAATTAATAATGAATAGAAAAAATTACAATAAGTTGTGGAATCTGCTACCACAGATGATATTAAATTATTGTCAAGTTGTTATTAGGATGATGGTAAAATAGCAAGTCCTTCTCCCAATATAGATTATAAGGAAATTACAGAATTTTTAGTCGAAATAAAAAAAATAATTTATCAGTTTGAAAATTTTGAATAATTGTAAGATGTAGACAAAGAAATAATTACAATAGAATAGACATGCTCAATTAATTTACAGATGGATGAAAAATAAAAGAGAACTCCAGCTTTAAATTTTATATGTGAAAGTCATAAAATGGAGATTATTATGTTTAACTTAAATCAAATAGAATTTGAATAAACAAACCCTTTTTTATGTGTCGAATGTGCATAAGATCTTTTAACTAGAGGTAATAAGGCTGTTGCTAATACGATATCATTGAAGAAGGCTGATGAAAAATGGAATGAATACATTAAAGATCAAAGCGAAAAAAGATTATAAAGGTAATCAAGACTTAATTAAGCCATTGGACTCATTAAAAAATTATAAGAAAAGTATAATTAGGAATTGAATAAAATGATTTAATCCTTTGAAGACCAATTAAAGAAAGAACCAAAGGAATATGAATAACTTATGAAATTGAAAAATACTAGAATATAGAATTAAAATAAACAAAGTCTTCATGAAATTATTAAAATTCTTGGTTAAACAGATTAATAAAAAAAATAAGAATAAATTTCAAATTAAGAAGATTCACAATTTTACAATAATCAAAAGAAAGTAATAGATGAATTAATTAAAGAAAACTTACTTGTTGAAAATTCAATTTAATGGCTTTAAAACTTTGATACATGTATATTATTATAATTATTTAGAACCAAAAAAATCAAATGATTCAGAAAATGAATAAGAATTGGTGGAATTTCTTAAAAAGTCCACAATTCAGGATTTATATTTATCATTTTTTGAAATGTCATTTAACTCTTTAAGTTCTTTCAAAAAAGAAGAACAAGAATTATAACAAAAAGGAAAACTTACAAAGTTGTAATAATAAGATTTGGAAAATCAAAATGAAGCATTTTAGAATTAATAAAAATGGTATAAGTTATTCTAAGAAAACTAAACTAAATTAGAAAGCTTTCAGAAGATCGATGAACTATAAAGAACCTAATTATAATTAGATTAATTATTATTATAAGATAATTAGAAAAAATAAGAGTTGAAGAAATACTAAGAAATTGTTGAAGATTAGAATGATTAATTATTGTAAGCTAAAGCTAAGTTTAAAGATATTGATTGGCTTTCTGATAAAATTGGAGAATTAGAATAAATTTATAAAATAGGAAAACATTCCTTTGTAAAAGGAGACACATCATTATTAACTAAAAATTACTCTTCTTAATTATATTAATATTTAGAAAAAAGAACTAATTAAAAAATTAAGAATAAATATTTGTTATATTCTTCAAAAAATTAGGGGTTATATACAGATATTTTAAACAAAAGCATCGATAAAATGTCAAATTTATTGATAGTATTTAAATCAAAATCTGAATATATTTTTGGTGCATTTACTCCTTGTTAATGTTTAATATAAAGTGGAGCATATCAAATAGATGAACAAGCATAATCATTTTTATTTTCTTAAACCAACAATGAATATTATCCTATTTAAGATAAAACAAAAGCAATTTATTGTACAAAAGATCTATTAGCTTTTGGCTAAAGTGATCTTTATATATATACAGGCTTTTAATCTGGATCATCACAATTAGGTGTATCATATTAATGTAATCAATATAATATATCTGATGTAAAAAATCGCTTATTTGGATCACCTCAGCCAAATATCACAGCATGCGAAGTTATCATGTTAACATTTGTTTGAAATAATATTTATAATCAATCATATCACATTATAAAATAAATAACAATCTAAATCAATAAAATACAATTTTAGAAGTCATAGCTTATATAATTTGAATGTCCTTAAATAAATCATCTTAAAATTAACTAATTTGCTTGATTTTATGATTAGATTGATTTAATTGTTGCTATTATCTTAAATAGTATGAGTTTATTTATATACATTATTTAAAATTAACTCTTTTTCATTATTATTTACTTAAAATTAGCGGTTTGAGTTTTCACACCAAAATAATGTTCTCAGATTAACTAGGCCACTAGATTATAGTATAATATAATGATTGCCTGTAATCAAAGAATAAATTGGTATTACTTAATTAAAAAGTAGTTTCATGAGTAATTAATTGTATACAAATATAGCATGCATGAGGATTAAAAATTTTACATTTCTGAAATTTAGAAAATTTGTTTATTTGCTTAATTCTACATGAATGAGTATGATTAGAATTAATATACATCGAAAAGTTATATTTTTTATTTGAATATAATTGTTGACCTTATGCTTTCATTTTTTTTCTCCTAAAAGAATTAGTTTTTCTTACTTCCTTATTTCAGTTGTAAATATAATTTCAAATAATTGTCATGTTAAAATTACCATTCCATAAAATTTTTGATTCTATTATTATATATTAATAATAGAATTTGAATGGAAAATATTCAATTTATAAAAAATGATACAGAAAGAAGGAGCAGTAAAGGAATGCATTAAAAATGACCACAAAGGATTTTAAATTCTCGCTGTGGACCTTTCAGAGGAATTAAATAAAGAAAATGATCAAAAGAAATATTATTGTGTGAAATGTTTAATAGAAAAAATTGGAGTTAAAAAGATTGTTCTATATGAAGAAGCAATCAAAAATAATGAAATTTTAAATGAATAGTTACAGAAAAATAATAATCAACAGAATTAAGAAAAGTTAGACTATTTTACAAAATTATAATCATAGTTTAAATTAGTTGAAGAAAGATTCTAAAAATCTATTTAAAGTGTTTTTAATTATATCGAGTCAAAATTAAAAGCTACATAATAAAAAATTGAAAAAATTCCTGAGCCCACATTATTGGATGATAGTATTAAAGTATTGTAAAATTGTTACGAGGAAGATGGTGAATTTGTTATTCCTTCTCCTGATTTAGATCAAAAAAAAACATTCGATTTTTCCCAATACATGATGAAATTTAGATAACTAATATCGAATTCTGAATAAATAATTGAAGAAGAAACAGGCATATAAATAATTGAACTGAAGGAATAAATTAATTTATTGTTTGATGATAAACAAAAAGTAAATATGTTGTGTATTCTTAGAGAACTCCAGCTTTAAATCTGATATGTGAAAGTCATAACATGGAGATTATTATGTTTAATTTAAATCAAGCATAATTTGAATAAACAAATCCTTTTTTATGTGTTGAATGTGCATAAGATCTTTTAATTAGAGGGAATAATGCTATTGCTAAAACAATATCATTAATAAAGGCAGAAGAAAAATGGAATGAATATATTAAAGACCAGAGTGAAAAAAGATCATAAAGGCAATCAAGACTCAATTCAGCAATTGGATTCATTAAAATATTATAAGAAAAGTATAATTAGGAATTGAATAAAATTATTAAATCCTTAAATGATCAATTAAAACAATAGCCTAAATATTATGAATAACTTAAGAAATTGAAAGCAACTAGATTATAAAATTAAGATAAACAAAGTCTTCAAGAAATTATAAAAATTCTCGGTTAGACAGATTAATTAAAAAAGCAAGAATAGCTTTCAAATTAAGAAGATTCGCAATTTTTCGATAATCAAAAGAAAGTATTAGAAGAGTTAATAAAAGAAAACATACTAGTAGAAAATTAAATGTAATGGCTGTAAAACTTTGATGCATGTATTTATTTAGAGCCTCAAGATTATAGTGACGATTTCAAAGACACCAGCCAAAATGACCTAGAATTATTAGAATTTCTAAAAAGATCCTCTATATAAGATTAATATTTTTCCTTCTTTGAAAATTCCTTTAATTCTTTAAGGAAATTTGAATAAGAGGAACAGGCATTAAAATAAAAAGGAAAACTTGAAAAATTAGCATAGCTAAAACAGGAAACAGCATCCGATTCAATTTTATTATAATAAGAATTGTATTAATAATTTTAGGAGAGGTAAGCTAAATTGAAAAGATTAATGAATGTAGATGAATTATAAACCTCTAAAGTAGAATATGAAAAATTACTAATATTAGAGAATCAAAATAAAAAGAAAATTATAGATTTGGAACTTCTTAACAAATACTAACAAACTGAGATAGAAAAAGGTTTAATTCAAATAGAAAAACTGAATAATTTGTTAACACAGAATAAAAATTAAATAACACAGAATAAAAATCAGTATTTAGAATAGATCTCAGAACTAAAGCAAGCTTACTCATTTTCTGAGTTGTCTTGGTTAACAGGAGATACAAGAATACTCCTTAATGATTACGCCTAAAAAATATACAGAAAAATAGAAGAAAGAACGAAAAAGACCATTAAAAGAAAATACTTGATAGATTCTTCTTCTTATTGTAATATAAATAGTTTCAGTGCGTTGATGAGTAGAATAAATAGAAAATCTAATTTATTAATGATTTTTAAATCAAGAACTCAATATATTTTTGGTGGGTTTACTCCGTGTTAATGTGTGATAAGGAGTGGAGCCCATCAAATAGATGAATAAGAATAATCATTTTTATTTTCATAGACTCACGATGAAATTTACCCTTTAAAAGAAAAACGTTATACTATGTATTTTAACTAATCCTAATTAGAATTTGGCTGTGAGGATATGTAGATATAGAGTGATTTTTAAAAAGGAAAATCAAATTTAGGATATACCTATTAATTTAGTCAATATGGATAAGCACATGCAAGAAATCATTTATTCGGATCTCCTGAACCAAATATTATGTAATTTGAGGCTATTATGTTAACATTTGCTTGAAATGAATTAATACTCATATTGCAAATGAATATTTATATACATTATATTCCAAATTTAAAGAATTACATATAAATTTTTTGTTCTGAAAAATCAAGTCTTAGTTATTTGTGTATAAAAACAAAAATAAAATATTGAAGCATTTCAAAATCTATTCAAATAATTAGTATATTAATTTTTATGTAATCATTTAGTAGAGATGATTATATAATAAGCATATTAAATATGTGTATTCCACAAATTACAATTAATTAGCATCTAAGATTCATTTATAATTTACAGTTATAATCGCAATACTTTCAAATCTTAAAGTAGGTAAAATAAGAATAAAAACTTAGGACAATATTTTATAATTAATATATTATTTTAATACATGAATATTTATAGACTCAATTAGAAGCTAAGACACATAATGGAAGTGTTTGATATAATCTAGAGAGAGTATTTTGTATATTTTATTCTAGCCAATTGCAAACTTTAAATGGAGGTTATTTAGGGGTTCATCAAGATTATTTGATTCATTAAGTAATTAAGTTTCCTAATCTCTTTGATATTAATTATGATGAATTAAAGTTAAATGTTGTGAATTTCTTCTAAATGCTAAAAGAACACAATATCACACCAATTGTTATTTTGTCATCATAAATCCATTAGAAAATAAATTCAAAGATTATAATGAAATGCTAATCAGAAAAAAATAAGTAAATTAATGATACTATCATATCTATATAGAGCACAGTTCAGAGAATTAATATATAATGATGCTGTTATTGATACCCTGTTACCGAAAAGAATGATCATTGATTGGTTAAGAGAATTGTAAATCCAATTTTTAGTTGTTCCAGATGCGGGAAGTTAAATTCGCTATCTCTTTACCAATAATTTAATAAGTGGGTAAATGACTCTGATTATCATTTAGTATATTGGCAGAGATCTCCTTATTGGAGAGGTGTTTTAGTTTCAAAGAATTAAATTATTTGATTTTAAACATTTTCGAAAACTCTTTCGAATGGATTGACATAAAACTATTAACAGCAAAATCCTAATTAAGTTTAGATTCTCTAGCAGAATTATATTAATTGCATGACTATTGCACTCGTAATGAATGCATAGGTTATAATGATCAAATTCTAAATTAATTCAGTCAAACTAAGTTTACAAAGCCTTTTTCAGAATTATCAAGGTCTGATTAATTTAATGTTCTCTACAATATTGGATAATAATTCTTTGCTGGAAAGCTAACTTTATAATAGAGAGTTTAAAAATTTGCTAACTTTCTTGTTGATCCAATTAAGATCACTTAGTTTATGCAACAAATCAAAGATTCTCCATACATTGATATCAATTTTGATGAACTGAGGCTATAAACTGCATCTGCCAGTGCCATCTAATTGCCAACTGAGATTTTGGTGTTTTAGAGTAACGGAATAGGATTGTTCTAAAAAGAGCAGTCTCTCCTTTAACCTTTAGAATTTTAAGAATATGAATTTGTTGAACCTTCTTAAATGGCATTTGAAAAATTGAATATTGGATATTTTCAAGGGAAGAATCAAATTAAGTTGAATACTTCTTTTAATTTATTTAAAGAGACCATTAAAAATCCTACCTTATTGCGTTCGATTCATTATTATTATAAGACATTAAAATTGACTTCCAGAAAATCTTCATTTGAACTTGGTGAGCAATCATAATAAATAAATTCAGACCTGATTTAATTAAATTTAAATTTGAGATTTCTGCATTTATAAGGTTTAATTGATTTGGATAATTAAAAGGGTTCTTTATATGCATCTGCCTTGTCATATGTTAAGCCTCAATATTTTATTCCCTTCTTCATTTATCTAAAATTATTGGAAACTCCCTATAAACCAATTTTATTTGGGCATTTTTATAATCCATAGAATGAGAAGGATGATGAGATAATAGCAACATTTGCAGACAAAAAGGACAATTTGATAACTAAACAATTAATTAATTTGTCTGAACATTATCAGGAGGAAGATGAAAAGATTTTGTTACTTTTAAGATTTTTTGTGATTAATAGTGTCTCTAAATTAGGTTAATTGGATTATTTTGGAGATTTTATCAGTTGTATAAGTAAAAATTACGGTTAACAATATGATGCAATATTAATAGGATTATATTTTGAGCTAAATTAACGTGGCCTTATTGAGCAATTTATAAATATTGGTCAATAAAATCCTTTTTATAAAAAATATAATTATAATGAAGAATTTTATTAATTTTTGAAAAAAAAGAAATCCAAATAAGAATTTATGGCAAATCATAATTTATAACATTACATTGATAGTTGGACAGAAATTATCAAACTATTTGATTATATCCACTAGAAAAAGGGAATGAGATTCGATATTTTGTTAAAGACCAATGAGTATTTTCAGTCGTTGATTAAGTGAAAAAAATTGTTAATTATGTAATATATATATATATTTATATAACATAAATTTTATGATATTATAATTATTAATATAAAGTTTTTTTCATTGATTTTAAAAACTCCTCAAGAAAATGAAGTCTGAACTGTGTATAAAGGTTAAGGAATGAGTTCAACTTAAGTTTTGAAAAAGTTAACTGTTTGCATTTTTGAAATTTTATAATCAAAATGTTAAATTATCATTTTTTTTGAGAAATTACTCGTTTTTTAATTTTTTTTTAAAAGCTTGATTAAATGAAAAAAATAAGAAGCGGGATTCGAATTACCTTTCTTGTAAAATTGTTATATATTTAAAATCACAGAGATTATTCAAAAGAGAATTCGATTTCTTATCTGTAATTAATTTATAAGTTTTTTTATAAATATTAGAAAAAATCGCTGATTCTTAAGGATCATTTTTTCGATTTAAATATTAAAAATAATACATCAATATTTCTCGAAAAACTCAGTTTTATGGCAATTAAATTGAATTTTAAAGTTAGATGTGAAACTACTCTATGTGAGTCTGTATGCATTGTGGGAAGTGTCAAGGAGTTAGGGTCATGGAACCCTTCAAATAGCCTTCAATTATCTACAAACCCAGATATTTATCCATTTTGGGTTGGTAGCATATCTGTTGATGTGAATGAAAGTATATTATAGTGCTAATATAGACTAACTTATCGAGTTCAAAGCAATAATCAGAAATGGCAATTAAGTTAGTTGGGAGGACAGTGACAATAGAGTAATACAAATTCGGTACCAATCCCAGAGTATTATATTTTCTTACAACTCCCAATTATTGTAAGTTATTCGAATATAATCATTATATGACCTTTCTGATGATGAATCCATCAATTTAGGTATATTTTTATAACGATTTATTAGATAAGATAAAAAAGATAAAACTTCAAAATGTTCTGAATCCATTCGATTAAGAGGGATTTACATCTGTAAAATTTATTATATATTTTAGGAATCTGATTAAGAGAGTGACCATCTTTCAAATTTGGATTCAGTTGGATTTTCACCAATTGTGAAATCTCTTTCTATTTAATACCAGGAAGAATCATTTGAGCTTCTTGTCCAATAATGAATACATAATAAACAGACTTGTTAATTATTGAATCTTATTTATTTAATATTCATTTGAGAAACTAGACTGTTCTCTTCCATTCAATTAAACATATAAAAATATTTATCTATAAACTCCTTCTACATTTTCAGTCTCCTCTTACAATTAGAGGAAACAAGATGTAATTTAAAAATCATGATAAATGAATTTTATGATAAAGAATAAATTTTATTTGATGATAAATTGTCTTTTTAAATTCTGAAAGGAGAACCAATTGGTCATGAATATTGATAGCACTTATTTCTAAGAATATTCAAATTATACAATAGTACAAAAATGTGTGTAAGTCCATCCAAATTTTGAAGTATTTGAAAAGATAAAAATATAATTTATTATCAAAATCCTGCATAAGCCTTTGGTTGTCTTTATAATCTCATAATTTATTCGAGTAAGTCCCTTTCTCTTGCCTACAAAAATTCTACACGTTATTATAACTAATTATTTGTTTGTTTCAATTAAACTATTTCATGTAAATCATTTGGGTCACTACTCTTTCCATTAAGATTTTTCCTAGCTATCTAAAATTTTTAATCAAATCTCATACTTAAGCCAATTCCATATTTTTTTCTTCTAAAGACGCCACTTTTTTTTTTAAATCGCTATTTTCTATCAATAATGCACTAGACATATATTCTTCTTAAATCTTTGATTTATCCTGATCTCCCTTTGTGATTGGATTACCAATAAAAATCTACTCTAAATTCTCTAACTTCAGTTACAAGGCATTATTTTCATTCATAACAATATGATAATTCTTAACAGAAACATCACGAGCATTTCTCAACTCATCATTTTCTTATTTTAATTTATTGATTTCCATTTAATACTCATGTAAAATTTTGTTGACTGGCAAATCAATCTTGCTGTTATTAGAATTCACCTATTGATCAAACCCATTTTGTTAACTATTGAGAATTTAATTATGACTAATGGGTCTGGATTACAATGGAGGTAGTTATTTCTTTTATCCGTTCTTGTCATTGAAATTGGGAATTTCGATAGGTAATCCATTAGTATATCTAAATAACAATCAACAATACCTCTATAACTGTTCCCTCAGATACTGATTTTCCATCTTCAACAAATCTCGCTCTCTGGTGAGATTGTATATAATTTAATCCTTTTCGCCCATAGAGATTACTGGTTTGTTTTGGATGTTCATAGTTGAAGTGGCATAATTTATGGTACTCAATGTCTCCTCATAATAAGCAGCAGAAGGAGATACACATGCAATCATCAACGCCTTGGCAGTTCCTCTATTACTATTCAATCACTACATTACCCCAATGAATCCATCAAGAGCATTGTTAATTTACTATCTCTGTAGGGGATGTAAGGGAGTTTGTTCTTTTTGTCACTCAAAGACTTTATGACCTTACCCAAAGTAAACAGGGATTTATTAATATTACCGGTTTCTTTGATCATATCCCCTTAGGATTTGGACTCCTTCAATCTTTCTGAACCAGCTAAATCAACAAATGAAAATTTTCCATATCTCTAAAATAACAGTTAAAAGATTCTATACTTTGACAATTTATCCATCTATATTCTATTCTCCAATTAAATAAGCAGTCAATATTGAGTGAGATCTGCTTGAATCTTTGTTTAGTTCATGAGATCCTTACTTTCTATTTCTCATTCCTTCATGCAATACTGCTTGGATGTCTGAAAATGAAGTGCATTCAACAATCATCAAATCTTCAACAAAGAATCCGTTTTATAGATTCCATCTGCAATGCAAGATTCCAGAAGCAGGATTTAGCAGATCTCTCAATTATTCGTTATATATTTCTGTAAACGAGGCTTTCACATAAAATTGCTCTGCTCTTTGTGCCATAATCTACCATAAATATCTAGTAGCTCTTGGAATGATGCCTTCTGATTCATCAGAAATGTATTTTTCTCTAGCCAAACGTTCTTCAACTCCAGAAATGCTTGTTTATTAAAATTGAAAATTTACGTATAAGTTTTACCTGATCCTGTTTAACCATATGCAAATATTGTGGCTGAATATCCATCCAGGGCAGCATCCAGCAATTCTTAAATATTGCATTTTAAAAACACTTCTTATTAAGTGCACCTTTCATCCAAAACAGCATTGAATCTAAATTACTTTGCTACTCCTCTTTGCTAATTAAGATCGCGAATTACTTATAATAGAGTTAACAATTTGAATCTGATATTGCTTTGATGCATTATTCATCCCCTCTCCCTTACTCTAATTAGTTCATTGGTCTAATTCGCAATGCAACTTTTACACTCTCTCCACCAGATTCATCTAATACTGAAGTATCTGGTTAGGATGGAGATGGTCCTGATTGCAAAGACATCGGCTGCATCAAAGGAGAAGGTTGGTTTATTTGTTGATTTTAAGGTTAAGATTGTTGTTAAGGAGTTTTACTCTTTTTATTCATTATAATAATTTAATGATTTTTTTCCCATTGTAATCATCCTTAGAAATTTAAAATAATACTAATATATATAATTTCCTATATCAGAACATCACTTGAATGCAGCTAAGCCTGTGATTTCCCTTCCAGCAATCAAACTATTAATATCGTAAGATCCCTATAAATTAGTAAATTTATAATTTACCTCATATGTATAAACCACTTCAGCGTCAGTCAAAGCCTTAATACAGTAATTTTCAACTAAGATTCCATCTCCTCCCATCATCTCTCTTCCCAATCTAGCCACTTCTCTAGTTTTATCAGTAACCCATGCCTTCACAGCTGCAATCTATCCCAAAGTTGCCTTCTTCTCCTAAGCCAATCTTGAAACCTGTATGACCATCAGAAAACTGGCTTAGAATGTTGTCAATATCCTTGTCAATCTCTCTTATTATAATTAGAATCCAGCGACATGTTTTCCAAATTATTTTCTTCTCGTTACAAATTTAACTACATTCTCATAAACTCCAGCTTATATTCCCAAAGCTATCCAAGGTACTCCTACTCTTGAATGCTACAAAGCTTAAGTTACACCATTCTAAAAGTCTTTGGCTTTTGGCATCCTATTTTCATCAGGTATAAACACATCTTTAAATGTGATTTAACAATTTTAAACTATTCTCAATGCTAACTTATGTTTGATTGGTTCGGCATGAACTCCAGCCCATTTGTTTTCGACTATAAATCCTTCTATGTTATTATTCTCAGTATTTCTGGCCCAAACAACTAAAATATCCTTATTTCCATTTCCAATCCATCTCTTGTTGCCATTCAATAAGTATCCTCCCTATACCTTCTTGACACTAGTCTATAGACTTGAGGCATCAGATCCATACTCCCTTTCAGTTAGTGCCCATCCTCCCAAAATATCCATGTCCTTGATCCTAGTTAAGTATTTCTTTTTTTGATCCTCTGAACCAAATGTTTCAATACTATGAGGTACCAATGATGATCTAATCAATTGTTTTCATGCTTACATTAACAAATAGAATGTTGACAAACCAGCATCGACTTTGGCTAATTCTAAATAGGCTAAACCAGTTTTGACGTATGTGTCGGTTTTATGAATCAGTTTCAATGGTTTTAGGGCTTCGACAATCTCTGTGGGAAATTCAGCTGCCTCAACATACTTATTGATTGTTGGTGCGGCCTAATTAATTGATTCCTCATACTTTTTCCTATGCAAATTTTCGAACTGCAAAACAAATATCTTTTTCGTCTTTTTCAAGCATGTCATACAATCGAAGATATTCAAGAGGATCTGCTAGGAACTTGACTTCCTTAAATTGTCCAGCCAACTAATTCAATCTAAACATAAAATTATAATTAATAATGTCGTCATTTTGTATTATAATATGTAATTGTAATAATTGTGACTTTATAATTTATAAAATTTCTTTGTACTCCATGAAATTCTATTTTATTATGACGTATTCAACTTGCAACGAAAACAATTCCCTACCTCTCCAGATTTTCTTATCTATGCTCGATTTGAATGTTAGAAATGTTACTGAGATTTATTCTCGTTTCTGATGACATTATAACATAAGATATATATTTATTAAGTTAGTTTGATAAAAATTAAGATAGTATTTAAATAAATTATTGGAAAACCTATGAAATTTTGTAGCTTGTTTCTGAAGAATTTAAGAAAATTACTATTAAATATCGATATGTTTGGATCTCAAATTAACTTATAAATCAAAAAAGAAAATGAATATCATACAATCTTTGGAATGCTAATGAGCCTCGGGATTTTAACACTTATATACTATTCCTTCTTATCTTTAGTGATTGAAATGATAGAACGTAAGAGTCCTAATGTTCTTTAGAATATTCAATATTAAGCTTTTCCTGATGTAATTTAAATTTATTTTATTTCAACATAGGAATACAAACTGGAATAAGACTCTTTCATCTTTTACATAGTTTTGTCCGATAGTTACGGAATACCAATCGTTTAGAAAACTGACTAACTCGTTTATACAGCTACAATGTAAGCTTGTTCAAGAATCACTGATTCAGACAACCTAATTCACAACAGTTGTAATAATTTCACCTTAAAATCTTGTGCAACAGTCCAAATAAATACCTAAATATAAGAATAATTAAACATTTCAAAAGCTTTATTAGGTTCAAGTGTTTGTCTTGATCCCAACGATCTGAATTCGATTTCATTATCACTCTAAGGCACTCCACAAAGCCCAATTTTTAAAAGCCTCTAATTTAAAATTGAGAAATGTAACAATGCAACATCTGGAGGAAGTAATTTTTTTAATTCTATATAGAATGTGCTTCTTAAGAATACATTGATAAAAAATTAACTCAAGGATACTTAGGGTTTTTTGTTTCAGATTCAGTTTTGAATCAATAGAAAGCCAATAATCCTTTTTCTTTAGTATCAAAACTAATAAGTAGTTCTATATCTTCCTATCAGTACAAGTCAATGACTGTATGGATGAGAAAATCAACACTGTATAATAAGGAGAACTTTTTTTATTATTTTGAGAATAATCAAGAATATAATGCTTTATTATTTGAAAGACAGTCTGAGTAAGTGTTTAATATTTAGTAACCTCAATTTATTGATATTACCATGTATCTTGATGATAGAGAAGCCGTATATTATAGAACCTATAACAATATTTTAGATATTCTCGGTTAAATGGGTGGACTATTGGAACTGATGTTATTTTTGGTAGGAACAATAGTCAAACCATTTAACAAACTTTCATGTGACTTATTTTTAGCATCAGAAATATTTTATTTTGAAAAATCTCATGGTTAATAAAAGATCTTTCCTTAAGTGCAAGGTTTAGGGTAATCTGAAGGACTTGTAAATTCAAGTTAATTGGTTTAGTTAAAAAAATACTTTAAGTTAAAAGCCTAACAAATTAAGTTATATATTTATCAATATTTATTTACTTGTGGGCCTGATAGATAATTAATTTAATAAAGTATTGAGTCAATCTACAATTAAGTCGATATTATCTATATTATCAATAAATTAATTGAAATTGACAAATTGAAGAAAATATTGTTAAATGAAGATTAGCAAATATTGTTTAATTTTATACACAAGCCAAAAATCTAATTAGGAGCTAGAGATAAAATGAAAGAGAGTATTAATCAAAATTAGTATGATGTGAATAAACTTTCTTTTGAAGAGGAGATAATTTAAGCCTTCAATTCTTACACTATGATAAAAGAAAGCACTCATAAAAAATATTAAAAAATAAACCAAAGTATCTTAAGTCTTTTGGATAAAGACGTTAAATTGATTTTTGAAACAAATGACAATCAAAAAGCATAGAAGTAAACTTCTATTCTGTAAATGCAATAAGTTAGTTCATTTAACGATTTGAGTCTTTAAGAAAATAGAGTTGACATTTGAATTTACAACCAGAATTTTCTAATTCATATATTTATCAGTTATTATCACATACTTTAATTTATATACTGATTCAATATAAAATTATATTTAATTCAAAATCATTTTTTTTTGATGTTTATGGAATTAAGTTTTCAGAAATGAACTCTCAACATGGATTTCTCCTGAATTGAATTCTTAATATTATTGCTCATTCAGACAGAAACCTAGAAGGTATGATAAGTAATTAATTTTTTGATAAATGAATTATAATAAATAATTCATATTATCTTATATAATTTGAGACAATAATTATCATCAGACATATTAATATGAATAATTATGTTTGATTAATTATCTAGCTCTTTGTAAATTAATTTATATAATTAGAAACAATATTTATACAATAAATTAATTATACAAATTATTAAATTCTTGTAGCTTGGATTGAACTCCATTTAAGTTTAAAACCCATGCAATTCTTACATTTTACTTTGACTTAAGAGGTTATTCAGGGTTATTATGTGGGATTAACATTAAATAAGAATTACATATTATATTTATAATTAAAGAGAAATTAATAATCTCATCGTAACGAAAGAGATTTTTTTCATAGGGCAATTTCATATATTATTAAGTATCTTAAAGAATTATGAGGTGTTAAATTATAATTTTTTTTAGTGAGAAAGAAAGCGATATGATTGAATTTGAGGAATGTGCAAAAACGTAGAATAGATATAAGGAATCTGTGAAAGGGGTAATTTGAATGCAATATGAAATTGATTTAATAATGATCATTATTCAATTCAATACTAATTTACGCATTTCTGCTTCTTCTACTTCAGATGGGTCATTAGCTTAGATTTCTTTTGATAAACCATTCAATTTCTTCTTTAAAGCCTCTTTTCCTGCAGCATATGACATCTTTTATTTAACAGGCTAATTAGCATCTGGAGACCAAAATATGAAGACTAATTTCTCAACTTGTCTTGGAGGAACGTCATCAGTTACAGCTTGATAATCATAAACTGCATATCTTGACTATATTAATAGTGAATAATAAATACTTCGTTTTAGAGATGACCAACAAATTCAGCATAGGTACTTTCCCTTTGTCCAATTTGATCAACAACAATCTAATGATAATATTGTAATAATCACTTAATTAGTTTCAGTGTTTAATTTGAAGGTCAAATATCTATATTATTTACCCAACTTAAGCTTGTTGAATTCTGTAACGCAATCATCACTAACATGTGTACCGACGTTCATAATTAAATCTTATAATTTTTATTTAAATTTTCTTAATTAAATCACATTTTCCTCTCATTTCTTCCCTGGAATTCTCGCTACATTCGGAGATTTAGAAGTGCTTCTCTATGCTTTGAGTAACTAAGGTTTCTTTTAGAAGGCTTCTTTGAAATTTTAATTGCCCTTGGTTTGGTTGATTTGAAGTTTTTTATTGGAAATATCTTTCAATGTTGATGTCTGCCTTTAACTTTTGGGAGAAACAAGTTCAAACAATTCTTATTACCTTGAGGAATCTAAAAAATTGGATCCAGGATTGTATGGTACATGAATTTGCTCATGCAAAAACGCATATTCACTTGGTTCAAGAGATTAGTGTTTGATAGCCGAGGATTAATGAGATTTTTTATAAGAATACCTGTTATTGGGTGACTAAGAAGGAGTTAAATATTATAGAGAGTTTGGAAACAACGATTGATTTTAAGGGGAAAATAAGTTAGAATCCTAATTTTCTTAAACTTGGAGTAATTCTAAGTGAGCAAAATTATTAGATTTCTATTTTGAATTCAATTTCAATTGATTACAAGGACTTTTTTCTTAAATAGGTGGATGAACCTTATTTACTTATTTTTTTTAAGTTTATTTTGGTTAGGATTTCAAATATTTTGTTCTATCTTCAGGAAGGATTTAAACAGATCTTTAAATTGGATTAGTTTTCTTTAAGGTAGTAGTTGATTAGATGATTTGCGTTTTGATATGTAAGCTTTTGGATTATTTAGTGGGTAATATTTCCTTTGTTTATTGAATTGGTATCTCAATGAAGCCACTCTATTCCTAATTTTCTATTCTAATAGCTGACTATTACATCATTTCAACTAAACTCTCCTCATATATTTATAAATAATTAGGTCTATTTTCAGGTTGTAATTCCAACATTTTGGTAATTAATTTATTATCTGCTCTTGTTAATAGATCATTCAAAATATCTAAAATAGTCATTATACTTTACCTCTATGAATTGTGTAAGTTTCGAAATTATAAATTTTCTGAATTGACTCTTGCAAGATCAATTCTAAAGTGATGAGACCAATAGAAAATATTTCGCTCTTCTCTTTATTATGTTCAGGGCGATAAGAATTTCTGCCCAAGTATTCCAATAACTCTGGGGACAAATAGCAATCTTCCTATGATCCATTCAGTAGACGACTATAGTGATTGATGTTGGGGAGATATAGCTTGACTTAATTTTTAAAGAGAAAGGAGGATGGTATTAGATCGCCGTGATATTTGTCTCTATTTTACAGTTCAATCAAGGTGTGCATGACTTACTAGATGAATTAATAATAGGGGAGTTGAGAGGTAAATTGAGTACCGTATTCAAAGATTGCATCTATTTTGTAAAAGTTGCTACAGAGATATTATTCTTCTTATTTATGAATTTCCAACAATTTGATCAAGCCAGGTATGTTCGATAATTGTTAATATTGTTGCAATTTGTGTAACTCAATTTGATATTAGTCATCATTTTAATATAGCTTACGTATAACTGCAACTTAATCCTATTGATTTGAATAGACTTCAATTAGACTCTCAAAACTAAATTGAAACTCACAATTACATTTTGCTTTGATGTTGGTCCAACTTTTACCAATTTTTTAAAAAGTGTTATTTGGACTGTTAAACTTAACCCATAATTAAAGAAAATAGTGAATGAAATAAATATATATTATTATTGTACTTTGATAAATTATTTTGTGAGCTCAAATAATTCCTATCTTGTTGGCCAAGTTGAGAGCATCATTCTCTCCACCCAATCTGATGTAGGCCTTCTTTTTGCCACCAAAAGTGTTAAGGATCTTTAAAATATTGAGCATTATTATTACATTAACTTTTCTGACTTTAACTTCATAGATTTTCTAAAATGCTCTTTTAATTTATGGCTTAGTTGATTTCTAATTCACATAGAACACCATTGTGTTTTCATCTTCCATCTTTTTCATGTCCTTTTCTGTAATGAGTGGGTGTCTAAGCACATTTTAGAAATCTAATCCCTTGGAAATTGGAGTAAGTTATCTTGTTAATCTATGATTATTTCGATAATTGCCCTAACCTTGTGAATTTGGGTTTTCTGGATAAAGCTAATGGCTTTTCAGTGTGGAATCTATTTTGGAAATGTTTTCTAGCTCTCACAACCTTCTTGGCAACTCTTGCATTTTTAGCTGCCTTCTATGCTTTTTATGTATTTGTTGTTTATCCCTTTGGCATTTTTAAAATTATTTTTAAAAAACAATCTTTTTTTTTAATTATTTCATAAATAATACCAAATAAAATGGACTGCCACCATTCCTCAGTCAGCTCTCAAATCTATGCCTCTCTGTGTATCCATCCAGATCGCAACATCTCCAAAATTAATAAATATATAAATATTATAATAAAAACAATATGAATTTTTCATAATGTCCAGACGAATTCCAAATTGAAGAACAACAATTCATTAGAGTCCCCTAAAGATCATCTATGAGTAGTTTCAACTTTGAGGTATCTGAAGCAGCATTTTAAGGATTTAGAAACTAAATACAAGTTTACCTATCCCACGAATGAAAAACAGAATGAGACCAAAAGAAATCAACTCAATCAGACTCCTCCTCCCTCAATCAAATAGAATTTAAAATATGATTTAGACAGAAATTATAAGCAACAGATTGAACTGCCTCATCAACTCTCCAAATCTCCGAAACAATCCCTTTCTTTTAGAGATCAAGGCAAAATATAGGTGGGCCAATAGTAAATAGAGAAACCTCAAAAGGAAATCAAATCAATCCTGAACTTCTAAGTGGATACCAAATTCATCAACATGAAACCAAGCAAGAAGAGAAATCAAAAACCTATTCTACCTCAATTTCAATAATAATAATAATTATACAAACGACCTTTGATGATACAGAGCAATCCGAAATACTAGAGAGTCTCTCCATAGAATCAAAACAAGAGAGTCTCTCCTTAGAATTACAATAGGAGTCCAATTCAGAATAATATCAATAAGAATTACTCTGAAATCACTTTCCATTAGGAGCCCAAAGTCAATAAGTTTTAATAATTTTTAAATAAAGCTCCTCATTCAATTGAAATTGATCACAAAAGATCAATCAAGTGGTTTGGTAACAAAGAACTTTGCGAAGGAGAAATAAATGGGAAGATTGTATAATTTATAAAGGCTTAAGAATCGAATGTGATATTATGATATGGATCTTAATATTTTACTCAAAGTTTTGCATCCTTTGGCAACAGATCTGGGGTGAATTTCGTTGCTGCAGCCATATTTCCCTTGATTTTCATCTTCCCTTGCATAAACGCCTATTGAGGATTCAACTTTCCTTAAGCCATAGCAATCATATCGTCATCTACCATGGTGAATGTGGCATCAGCTGTTCCAACCTTTCCCTTTGAAATTGACTGTCATTATAATATGATATTATTTACGCCTGTTCCATTTTTAAGATCAACAGTCCAAATCCATCTTTTCAAATAAAGCAGCAGATTTCAAAGCCATCTATTTAAATTTCTTAATAATATTTTATTGTCTCAAATCTTATAAAAACCTTAAACACAAAATTAAAAAGAAAAATAATTATAGTTATATAAGAGATCACTTCTTTCCCTTCTTCTTTTTCTTCTTCTTTCCCCCTGCAAAAGGGTCTTGAGCATATTCCACCCATAATTTAGGGAACTCGGGTTTATTTTCAAACCAACAATTTTTAGATTTATTGATATTCCTAGCTGCTGTCAATGTTCTCGGATGAAATTGACCCAACTAAGATTCTAAAATGGCATGAGCCAATTTAAAATATCCATAAGACTATTGATATAAAAATTAGTTCTATTACCTCCTTATTGCGTTCTAACATATACATACAGCATCCCAAATTATTATACACAGTAGCAGTATCAACTGTTTCTATACCAATACTATTCTCTCTGTATTCTCGAGCCTAAGGTAGGTTAATAATTGCACTACCTTCAAAAATGCTCTAAGTGCCCAATCATACTCCTCTGTATTATAGAACACTGATCCAAGTCCGCAATAGGCCAAAGCCTTATCAGGGTTATTTGTTGGTAATTTGGTTGAAAATTGCCTGGCATTCAAATAAGCCACTAATGCTAAATCATCTCTTCCAGCTGATTCATACACAGTAGCCTTACTAAATTCAAAGTACAATTCTAATCCATCAGTCAGATCTCTTCCTGTAGAAGTAATCCATTTTTTCTATGTTATCAATTGAATCTTACTCTGGCATCATCATAATTCTAAATAGCAAACACAAAATTAGCTTCATTGTGAGAATTGATTGCAGCTTCAACTAGAAATTATACATCCAAAGGAGGATTTGGAGGATATAACACTTCTGGTATAAGCACAGGGGCAACCTAGACATCTGAGAGAGAACCACGTTCAACATCCGAGATAAGTTTTTATTCGAATTTCAATTTATCAGCTAATTCCTGGATATAATATTCTGATTATTTAGGTTCTGTTTTTTATTCAAAAATGACTTTCCTTGGTTCAGGTTCTCCAGCTTTTCTTCTTTACTACTGTTTTTTGGCTGGTTTAGGTTTGGCATTCTTATTTTTAGGAGACTCTGGTTTTGGATTTCCTATAACTACTCTCTTCTCTGGATCCCATTTTGGCATCTGCTTTTCTTGTTAAGGCAAAGGAGGAATCGGAGGTAATTCCTTATCTAGCATTTTAATCACCTGATCTACAGGGATGTTGAGTGAAACTTAAAATAATTCTACATATATGTATACCTTGTTCGAATAATAGAGATCCTTATAATGCTGCTATCCTTTGTAATTCATCTACTCCATCTGGTTCATCATCTGAGGAATCCTTTTCTTCAAAATCGCTTAAATCATTCAGCAGTTGCTATGTGAATTTCTCCAAGTTTTTAATAAGTTTTCTATTTAAATTGGGAAGGGGACCTTCTATATTCTCATTTTTTCTGAATAGCATTAACTCACCAAAGAACTTCCTTAAGTACTTTTCGACATCCAACTTCCTATTATTTTGATTTCCTCCTCCTTCTTCTTTGAGTCCTAATTCGAATGAGATTCTGGCGAGAAGCAATTGAAGTTCATGAATTAAGATTTGGGGGTCAGCATCATTGCAGTCTGTTAAATTTTTTTCATAAATTGAAATGAAATGACCTTTTTAAAAAAAGTCGTATTCCTTGTTATTGATGGGTGGAATAATCTTGATTAGAATTTCCTCCAATTACTCAATAGAGAGAATGTGAGGTACTATTTCTGCATCCCTTAAAAATCTAACTAATGATACCATGTTCATCTTTTTATTCTAAATCCAAATCTCCTTCCATTTCAACATTATTGAGCCTTAGAACAAGTTCTCTTGCATGTAGATTGTAAATATGTTCTTTAATTCCCTTTCATAGAGTGAGATTGTCTAGATGGATGACTCGGCCAATAATCTTTTATTGGTTTCATCAAGCACAAGTATTCGATTTGGCTCTACATTATGATCTCTAACTGCACTTTTCTCAGATAAGATCTCGTTTAGCATCTTCTCCAGATGAAGAGGGTCATTGTGAAATATCTTCTTTGCCAGTTACTTGAGGAAGAAATAGAATTAAGGTTTATTGAGTGCTCTTTCCCCTTTTACATCTCCTAATGCATCATCAAAGTGAGTTAGGAACATGCTGAAGTTGTTGCCATTTGTAACCAGACTGCGATCGAGTGCAAACATGAGAATATCGGCAAAATTCAATGAGGTTCCATTCCTGGAAAATTTATTAAAAAACTCTTCAAATCGTCTTTCTTCTCTTTCTTTGAGCACAACCGTATCTTATCTCTATTATTATTGTGTCGATTGTTATTGCATATTAAATATAATAATATATAATGGGAACCAACAAACAATTAAATCGCAGCTTTAAACACACATCGACCATATTTGATCAATTGTTCCAATAATACTCCTAGATTGGGTTCAAAAAGACTCACATCCTTAAGGCATGGTAACAATGTGGAAACAATCAATAAACATTCCATGAGGAACTCATTAAAATTAGGTAAGCAATTGTATTCCTAATCTAGTGAATAAGAGAATGCCAAATTTATGAATGAGGAGGATTTGTTCAATTCTCAGATGCAACTAAAAATGCAACTCTAATAAATAGAATAGGAAGATTTAAAAATCGCCATCCAACTTTCTTTGGATCAAAATGCCTAGTACTATTTATTCCCCAATATTCATAGATCCAAACCAATTATTTCGGAAGACAGATCCAATAAATCCACTCCAGTGGGTCTCAAGAATTTGGGCAACAGTATAAATCTTTTAAATTTATAACTTTTTAGCCTGTTACATGAATGCCATGCTGCAGAGTCTATTCAATGTCTTGCCCTTCAGAAAATTCATCCTGGAACTCGAACTAAAGGACAACCAATCCCTCGCCTCCAATTTTCTATTATAATTATAATAGCTCTTCCTCATGCTCCAGGAAACCAATCAAACCTACACAAGTCCCTACAATTTGTTTGAGGCCCTTCAAAAATTCAAACCCAGCGCCATGTTCATAAGAGGAATCCAAAACGATTTTAATGAGTTGTAAAACTCCTTCTTGGACGCCATCGAATAGGCTTTAAAAGAAGAAGACTTTGAATAAAAAAAGAAACAATTTTGTGAGATGTTCTACGGAGAAGCCAAAGAAATTCTGAGTTACAAAGAGAACGACCAGGAGATCATCAAGTTTAATGACACCACATTTGGATCGATCAGCATTGAGGCTGCAGACAAGGACCTAGAAAAAGGGTTCTTAAACACAAGGGTCCTCATTATCGATGATTACGAAACTGACAACAAAGAGAAAACCAAAGCAAAGATCGATTAAAATATAGTGCAAGCCCCATTTCTAATCTCCTTCTACATCAATAGAGTTTATTATGATGCAAAGTAGAAGTCAGTGTGCAAGAACAACACGTAATTTAACTTCAATTCCTCCCTAAACATCAATCAATTTAAAACTATCTATTAGGGTTAGAAGAATTAAGAACTCTAAAAGTTAGATGAGGAGGAACAAAGAATTCTAAATCAACTCAAAAGTCTTGGGGATTCAAAGGAAGAGGTTGAAGAAAGCTTTAATAAAATTATCAAGTTATTCAAAAGAACCGAAGGTTAAATCGACAATTTGGTTACTATTGATGGATTTTGCATATGTGATGAAAAAACAGCAAATCCAAACATTATTCCAAGTGACTAAATGCTCTTCCAATTAGAATCATATAAAGATAAAATAATGATAACTGATTAGTTATTAACGGATTAGTTGGAAAGAATTTAAGAACAAAAGAAAAATCTGTTAAAGTCTGATTAAAACATGTATCTATTGACAGCCGTATTGATGCATGATGGATCGGCTAATAGTGGACATTATTATTGTTACGTGTTAGACAAGAAGGACTAAACAACTTGGTGGAAATGCAACGATAGTACAGTTACAAAGGTAGATTTTGCCTAAGTCTACAAAGATGCTTGTGGGTCAAATAGAGTAAATTCTAATGTCTCTGGGTTGATTTATGAATAGGAAAAATGGTTAAAAGTTGACAAGATTGAAATCAATGAGAAATTATTGTCTGTCCTTTAGGAAGAAAAAGATAAATAGTTACTTGCCTAAGATGAATAGAAGGTGTTAAATAGAAAACCCATAATTCTACAATAAATCTAATAATAGAAAAATAGATTGGTGAAACATAAGGATCAATTGGAGAGAGAATTCGAGAGATTCAGTAATTTCGATTAGTTTTTGAGTTCTGTCAATCAAAATGTATACTTGTATTATGTGACATTGTCGACAGTGCAACAAGATATATTGTTGATCAAAGATTAACTGAATAAACCTCAGGAAGTGAATAATTACACTAAATACTTCATTACTCAAACCAATCTGATAACTGCAAACTATGAGAATGAGTTGAAGAAACTTAAGGATGAGTATCTGATGATCAATTCATTATTACAGTAATTACCCTTGAGAAATATTACCAATGCTAATTACCCAGAGGTAATAAGATAGTACTATACCATATTGAAATCAATATCAGAGATTAAATCATGTTCTGCATTGGCTAGTCATTTGAGAAGGATGTACGAAGTTCTCTTGCTTAAGGGATGCTTCTTTGTTGACCTGTCTCTTCAAACCAAAAACATAGAGGCTTGCAAAGAAATCAGTTAGTGTCTGTTGATTCAGATCAATCAAAACTAGTTCATCGATAAGTTGATATTCCAGTAGGTGCTCGCCAATCTAAAAGGGTCGAGTGAGCAAGCCAAGTTAATTACGAAGACAACGGAGATAGCAGATCAAATCATCAAAATACAAAGCAAGGGGGAGCAGTAGATTGGGCTGAAGCAACTAGAATTCAAGTCTCTGGAGTCTGAGATACCACAATTGTAAAGGTTGAGGGATGATGAACTAAAGGTAGCATTTTGAATCTTATATTTTATAGCTTTGGGTCAAACAATATGAGAAGATAAAGGGCGAATAGAAGCTGTTGGATTAGAATGACAGATAAAATGAAGAAGTTCTAAGTTATTTTGGGTGATCATTAATTTGCATTTGACATATTACATAGTTGATTTTATTCATTTATCAATTTATTTCTCTTTTCTAAACAAGTCTGCCATCAATTGGTTCAAATAGAAAAACACGCTGAGTAAATCAACATACACTCTAACACTTCCATTCACAGCGCTGGACTTGATTTGGCTTAAATTGCTTTAGGTGCTGTAAATGAGGAGGAACCTAGCATAGCGTATAGAATAAACACTCACCCAAACACGACTCCTGAAACTAGGGTGATGATCATCTCAAAGAAGGGGATGATAGAATAAATGATGAACAATTGGAAGATGATGAGTCCGCCTGCCAGTACGTAGAGAGATTATTGATGGTAATACATCTCGATTCTGCTTTGCATCACTGACAGGAATTGCGAAAATATCTTGACAATTATAAAATGGCTTAAATTACTTATCCAAAAATCATGAAGGCTACCATCATGGATTGTTCAATGTTTGTTATTGCAGTTAGCGATATAAAAAAGAAATATAAGACTATTGTGAATAGCACGTAGAGTACTACATTTACAGCAGTGTTCTCAGGATTAGTAAAGTATGCAGCCAATGACAACAGGAAGCATCCAATAGAAAGAATAATTATCCAATAGGAATTCTATTCAAAGTAATCCTCCAAAGAGTCCAGTCGCAACTACGTGGGATTTAATAATGGGCTTACGTAACTAAACACAATCACTAGGAAGAATTGAAGCAGCATGAGGAAGTACAGTTTTCGTAATTTGGCTGTTTCAGCTACGATCTCTCCTTCCTCTTGAATTTCGTTTCTGTAATTTTAGTAACTCAAAAACTGGGGATCTTGAGCCATTGAATTTTGTAAGTATTGCGATTAGGCAGGGTCGCCAATCATTCTCGATTGGGGCATGTTAACCTATTATTAACTGTTTTGCATATATATTTTATAAATATAAATTATGCGTATAGGGTTGTCAAATAAATTTTCAATTTAGAATTCGAAGCGCAAGATCACAAGTTTACATTCCAATGAACCGGAAGAGTTGAGGAGAGCCTTGTCAATTGCCAACTCCCCAGATTGTCATAGTATTTGTAATAATATAGGGGAAGACTCTCCTTTGCCGTAATTGTACAGTCCAGCAGCGAAGAAACCAATGTTTTAGCGAGTTCCGCGTTCAAGTGTTTTGTAACCATTGAAAAAGGAGGATGATAAAACGAATGACAAAGATATAATAAAATAGTTACAGGAATCTCCGGAACAAAAATTAGAGGATCAGATTCAGAAACCTCTGGTGGGATCTCAATCAGCAAGAAGCTATTTTTAACACTACAAAGTACTCAACAAAGTTAAGCAACAAAATGAGTATCATAAAATTAATGAGTCCATCCAAACGTAGATGCTCAAATAAGCTGAATCTTCTGATGCACTACCTTGTAAATTAGGTTTGGTGAAAATGAATGGAAATGAATCATAAGTTACCATCAACAACCATCATTATGGTGATAAATACATTAAGATGCTATCCGAAGGTTTAAAACAAAATCAAGGAGTCAAAGAATTCTTTTTGAGCAATAACAGAATTAAATAGAATGGAGCTGTCTCCATTTTGAGTTAAATTGGAAAATAGGCTATAGTGTTGGATTTATCAAAAAATGAAATTGGTCAATTGGGAGTGGACTGTTTGTGCTAATAATTACAATTAAGAGAGAATAAGTAACATTGCATGTTTAAAATAGAATAGAAGTTCTCAGTTTGGAAGATAACAAATTGGGTGACAAATTTGTCATCAAAATTCTAAAGTGTTTATTAAGTACTACAAATAAAGTGAAGTCCCTCAACATCTCCAAGAACTATTTAACCAATGAAGTGGCAGACACACTTAAGGATACAATATTATAGTTGGACCTACTTGAAGAATTATATCTGCATTGGGTAATTTACATTCAATAACGTTTTTAGAATCAAATAAAAGGTTCCGGTGGTCAGAAGATTTTTGAGGCCCTCATTGAAAATAAAACAATGGTTGTTTTCGACGGAAGTTGGAATTGCTTTGGAATCATTGAAAAATCAAATTGCACCTAAAAGATCTGTGAATTTCTCGTTGGTAATAAAGTCATGTTACATTGTGATTTATCTGCCAATCAATTCACCTTACAAGATTGCAAATTGATAGCAACAAGTCTAAAATAAAACAGAACCATATATGGCTTTCATTTCAATGGAAACTGGGGTATTATAGATCCCAGGGGATTTCTAATAATTGATGAGAATTCTCAATAAAAACCACTAGGCGAAACTCCAAGAATGAAGGGACTGGATTAAATCACAACTCTCAGATATGAAAGTGTCTGTTGGATTTGTTAAGGTTGGCAAGAGCAAATGTTTGAATGGACACCTGAAGGGGAATGCGATCCCTTGTTTCTACACATGGATTTCGAAGATTACAAATAAGTTTACATTCCAAAGAAATTAGATAATTTATATAAGCTTCCATTAATGGTGCCATCAGGACAGACATAATTTCTATTCACTGTTATTGATAATCAAATGGTGAGTAATAATTTTAATTAAAATGTTTTTGGACATCTTTTGAAACTTAAGGTTAATGGCAATACTGTAATTTGTTAATTAGACAATATCAATGTAATACAAAAGCTAAGACATTATCAATTGATGGATAAGAAAGAATTAAAAGCCGTAACATCAATATTGCCAAGGACTCCAGATCCTTTGTATATTCCTCCTAAACTCAAAAAATAAAAAAGAATTTGGAGTTTCCCAATTTCTATTTGGTTCAAAGATTTTAGATTTGAAAACGAAGAATTCCTAAGAAAATGTTTTGAGAAGGATTGGAGTTGTAGTAAGATCATGAAGGTGATCAAGAATCCAGATGAACTCAATGAAGTGAAAAACCTATTATGGAAGGATTATAAGATGATCAAAGAAACCTACAGATGGTATTCATCTTACAATCCTACTGGAGATGTTTGGTCAATTTCATCGAATGTCATTACTGAATTTTCATCAGCCACTGAATTGGTAGACAATAAGACGTTCAAGCTTTCAGACTTAGATCTAAAATTCATTGCAACCTGTGCAGCTTCAATTGAATATAAAGGAAATTACCGTAATCCTGAAAGAGCTTTGTGTAGATATCAATTTATGGAATTTCTAGTCAGAGTTTCTGATGACAAATACTTCAAACAGAAATCGGCGAGCTCAATGTTGGAATCTGTTTAGATGATACTCCAACAATGTAGACCGATTATGGAGTAATACAATGCTTAAAGGTGGAGAGATGAGCGCTATTTTAACGAGTAATGCGATGACTGTCTTAAATATTTTAAGCCATTATTGAATTAGGTGTACAATCGATTTAGTAGTAAGAAAGTGAAGCCAGGACAGAAGAAGTTTATGTGTTTGGATGAACTGCACGATATTTGTGGCATAGCAGGTTTATTTGACGAGAGATTTGTGGATAGAGATGCCGATTTAGTACTTATTCCTATTATATTTATAGTCTTTTAATCTTTCAATGATGATGTAAATAGATGAATTGGAAAGTGATAGGATCTTTTAAATGTCATTTATCGAATTCATGGAGGCTATAGCAAGAGTTTCAGAAAAAGTCTCGTTACCAGCTGCTCCTGATATGAGTTGGGAATAACGCTAATAACAACCATTGCATATCAAATTAGAAAGGCTTCTTATTTTAATAGCCTAAACTTGTGCTTCTGAGGAATACAAACAATAATTTGGAAATCCTCAAAAGAGTATATTTGATATCCAACCTGAAGATGATTGATAATATATCTGTTTAACAGTTAATTAAATAAATGCCTTATTATGAACATCTTATTCCGAGTGTTACTGAAAGTGTGTCTCTTACAATGAAATACAAATTTAATTACATCGGAAATAGATAAATAAACAACTATTAAGTAATATGTTTTTAATTTATTTCCTTAATAATTTACGTTTTTGGATTAAATAATCTATATGATATATTGTTTCAATTCATTGAATGATGTTGATATTAATTATTCTCAATCTTTTATTTGTGATTTTATTTACTTAGTATTAATAATATGTAATCATCAATCTCACAAGAAGATTTAAAGACCTATCTGATAGGTATTGGACTTCCCGCTGATATAACATTATCAGTTTCAGTCGAGACATTATATCTCCTCACAAATAAGCAGCTCATTTATACCTTCTATCAAAATGCAGATGCCCATTTAAAAGAATCCAAACCAATTTCACTTGAATTTGTTGATATCCTACAAAGGCTATGTGTTCAAAAGAGAGGGGGGCTCTGCTATGAACATGAATTATTACTCTATTATGTTCTTAAACACATAGGATTCAATGTGGAATTGATTCGATGCTTCGTTTAAGAGGCTGGACCATACAATCCCGATTATCCAACTACTCATGGCTTCATGCATGTTAAGATACAAGATGAAATCTTTCTCATAGATATAGGATTCGGGGTTAGATCCTTGAGATATCCTATAAAAGTTGATTTCTAAAATCTTAATAATTCTCATGATTTATTTCCCTTTGAACATTTCAGAATTACAGAGAATGAAACCCTCTACTAACTACAACATTTAATTGATGGAAAATGGGTAACTTGCTATCACTTTTTTAAACCAATCAGATTCTAAACCTTGGAGGAGATTAAGCATGACTATTATAACTTTCTGACAACCAAACAATTTTTGGTCGGAAGGGATAATAGGTTTCAAATCTGTAAGAATACAGAATCTGGGAAAATTCAATATTTTTGGTTTCGACTTGAACAAAAATTCACTGCTTTCAAGAAAATCCACAATTTTGATAAATCAACAAAAATTGAATTTGCTACTTATGAAGAACTCAAAGAAGATGTCAGATAAGAAATCGGAGTTATCTTACCAGATAGGAATTTAATCAGATGATATATTTTAGTTCATTTCATTTTACAATTTTATCTACAATTTCAATAAGAATGAAAATTTGAGTATTTTCTAAGATGGTTTATTTTATAATTTATACATATGAGGGATAAATATTAATTAAATTTATTTATAATTGATAACTTTGTACGTAATCCATATCATTATTAATTTATTTATTATGTAATAAGAGAGCTAAATTTCGTAAGAAGATTTTAAGACTTATCTCAAAGGTATTGGACTTCCAGCTGATATCAAATTATCAGTTTCAGTTGAAACATTATATCTATTAGCAAATAAGCAACTCATTTACCTATTCTATTAAAATACCATTCTGCATAGAAAAGATTCAAAACCGATCTCCCTTGAATTCTCTGATCTTCTGCAAAGGCTGTGTGTGTAAAAAATAGGTGGACTATGCTATGAGCATGAGCTATTATTTTATTATATACTTAAACATTTAGGATTCAACGTGGAATTGATTAGATGTTTTGTTTAAGAAGCTGGGTGTCCTTATGACCCTTAGTTTCCTAGTACCCATGCCTTTTTATATGTAACTATAGGAGATGACACATACGTGACAGACCCTGGATTTGGAACAAGATCCTTAAGATTTCCAATCAAAGTTAATTTTCAAAATTTAGAGGCAACTCATGATTTATTCCCATTAGAGCATTATAGATTCATATAAAATGAAACTCATTATTAATTTTAGCATCTCATTGATGAAAAATGGGTTACATATTACTATTTTTTCAAGCCACTTCAATTTGCAACTATTGAATAAATAACCAAAGATTATCACTATTTATTTACATACGAAAAATTTTCAGGTGTCAGAGACAATAGATTTTAGCTCTGTAAAAACACAGAAGTTGGAAGAATCTAATTCTTTTGGTTTAGGATTGAAAAACAATTCACATCAATCAAAAAAGTATTTAAAAATAATGAAATAACCAAATCAGAATATCAATCTTATGAAGAATTGAAGGAGGACGTCAAGAAAGAACTAGGATTTGATTTACCTGAATAGCATGAAGTTAAATGAATTGATGATTTAAATGTATATGAATAATTATTATTAATGAATGTTCCTATAACATATAATTTTAGAGGGTATTACACTTTTTTATTTGGTCATTTATTTTTAGTTTCGAGTAAAACGTGATTAGTTTGTTTTGTTTAAGAATTAGTTCCAACGTAATTAGAATTATTTTATTAAGTTTAAATATGGTGATTTCCAACTATTGATTACAATTAAATAAAAAGAATAAGCAATTTTGTAAATATTTTAAGGATTTTAATAAAACATTCTAATTAAATATTAATTGAATTATTATGCAATAATTAATCTCAAAAGAAGATTATTAGACTTATTTAAAGGGCATTGGGCTTCCAACAGACATTAAATTATCAGTTTCTGTTGAGTCTTTATATCTCATAGCCAACAGACAAATAATTTACAATTTTTACTAAAACGCAGAGTTACACTTGAAAGAATTGAAGCCAATTTCGCTTGAGTTTGGTGATATATTGCAGAGACTGTGTGTTCAAAAGAGAGGGGGCCTTTGTTATGAACATGAACTTCTTCTTTACTATATTTTAAAATATTTAGGATTCTAAGTGGAATTGATTAGATGCTAAGTTCGAGAGCCAAATGGTCCATACAACCCAGATCTTCCTAGTACACATGCATTTTTATGTGTTCAAATAAAAGATGAAACATATTTAGTGGATCCAGGTTTTGGAACGAGATCCTATAGATTCCCCATTAAAGTAAACTTTTAAGATTTGACTCAAACTCATGATTTATTTGCATAAGAACACTATAGAATTCAAGAAAATGAGACTCATTATTAATTTTAACATCATATCGATGATAATTGGGTCACCTATTACGATTTTGAGAAGCCCTTGAAATTCGGTTCTGTTGAGGATATTCATAATGATTACTTGAATCTGTTTACTTGTAAATAATTTTTAGGAGTCAGAGACAGTAGATTTGTGGTTTGCAGAAATACAGAATATGGAAGGATTTAATATCTGTGGTTTAGATTGGAAAAGGAGTTTACGGCATTTAAGAAAATCTTGAAATTTAATGAAGTAATTAAGATCGAATTTGAATCGTATGATCATCTAAGAGAGGATGTGAAGAAGGAAGTAGGATTTGAATTGCCTGAACATGGATTGCTAAGATGAATTGATTTATTAGAGATATAATAAATTATATATAGTTTCTTTTTAATCAGAATTAAAATTAATACAAGGAAATTAATTAAGAATTAACAAAAAGCGTATATCTAAATCTAGGATATATGATATTTTATGCAAAATAGATAATTTCATTTAAAATTTTCAGCATACCACTTTTTAGTGAATTCATCGCAATCAAGCAACTGAAATCTCCACCCATTGATCACAACTTCGTTTCCTACAATTAAATCTTGAGGAATAAAATATTCATTATTATTGTTAACATTCTTGTATTTTCTTTTCTCTAAAAACTTGCCATCAGGGATTCCTGAGTTTCTTACAGTTGGCTCATAAACCAATAGACTGTCATCATTCAAGAAGTATGTTATAACAAATACTCTAAATTGATATCTTTAGCATTTCGTACCTGTCTTTATCCTCTGGTTTGGTTGTATTAANTTAAGTTTAAATATGGTGATTTCCAACTATTGATTACAATTAAATAAAAAGAATAAGCAATTTTGTAAATATTTTAAGGATTTTAATAAAACATTCTAATTAAATATTAATTGAATTATTATGCAATAATTAATCTCAAAAGAAGATTATTAGACTTATTTAAAGGGCATTGGGCTTCCAACAGACATTAAATTATCAGTTTCTGTTGAGTCTTTATATCTCATAGCCAACAGACAAATAATTTACAATTTTTACTAAAACGCAGAGTTACACTTGAAAGAATTGAAGCCAATTTCGCTTGAGTTTGGTGATATATTGCAGAGACTGTGTGTTCAAAAGAGAGGGGGCCTTTGTTATGAACATGAACTTCTTCTTTACTATATTTTAAAATATTTAGGATTCTAAGTGGAATTGATTAGATGCTAAGTTCGAGAGCCAAATGGTCCATACAACCCAGATCTTCCTAGTACACATGCATTTTTATGTGTTCAAATAAAAGATGAAACATATTTAGTGGATCCAGGTTTTGGAACGAGATCCTATAGATTCCCCATTAAAGTAAACTTTTAAGATTTGACTCAAACTCATGATTTATTTGCATAAGAACACTATAGAATTCAAGAAAATGAGACTCATTATTAATTTTAACATCATATCGATGATAATTGGGTCACCTATTACGATTTTGAGAAGCCCTTGAAATTCGGTTCTGTTGAGGATATTCATAATGATTACTTGAATCTGTTTACTTGTAAATAATTTTTAGGAGTCAGAGACAGTAGATTTGTGGTTTGCAGAAATACAGAATATGGAAGGATTTAATATCTGTGGTTTAGATTGGAAAAGGAGTTTACGGCATTTAAGAAAATCTTGAAATTTAATGAAGTAATTAAGATCGAATTTGAATCGTATGATCATCTAAGAGAGGATGTGAAGAAGGAAGTAGGATTTGAATTGCCTGAACATGGATTGCTAAGATGAATTGATTTATTAGAGATATAATAAATTATATATAGTTTCTTTTTAATCAGAATTAAAATTAATACAAGGAAATTAATTAAGAATTAACAAAAAGCGTATATCTAAATCTAGGATATATGATATTTTATGCAAAATAGATAATTTCATTTAAAATTTTCAGCATACCACTTTTTAGTGAATTCATCGCAATCAAGCAACTGAAATCTCCACCCATTGATCACAACTTCGTTTCCTACAATTAAATCTTGAGGAATAAAATATTCATTATTATTGTTAACATTCTTGTATTTTCTTTTCTCTAAAAACTTGCCATCAGGGATTCCTGAGTTTCTTACAGTTGGCTCATAAACCAATAGACTGTCATCATTCAAGAAGTATGTTATAACAAATACTCTAAATTGATATCTTTAGCATTTCGTACCTGTCTTTATCCTCTGGTTTGGTTGTATTAAACATAGCCAGAAATCTTAAATTTACTTGATTGTCAACCCATTTGAAGAAATCCTTTTTTGGAGGTTTTGGTTAAAGTCTGTAGATATAACCCAATGAATCCTACTCGTCTCCTATGCCATTGTGTGGGGGTATAATGATATCTGAAATAGAGTGGATAATTACTTGATTTCTGTTCTTATTGGTATTCTTCTTGGCCCCCCAATGGAAAATCTACATTAAACTTTTCTTGATAGTAATATCTTGTAAATGGATCACATCCCTTAATGAAAAACTTTCTGTTGTAAATTATTAATGGCTATCCAAATTGAATATCTTGTGGTCTGATAAAGTCTTCCGCATAAGTTTATCCAGGTTGATTGAGTGAGAATTTACGAGGCAACTTTTGTCTTCTCAACATCATTGGGAATGGAACTCTACCAGAATTGGCTGAATTGATCTCTTTAATTTCAATGGTATCATCAGCCAAATAATAATGTAACACGTAATCTATATCTGAGAACACATAGAATTTAAGCACCTACATATAAGTCATCAATTTACCTTTCTGTCATTTTCTAAGAATTGTTTTTATGATGTTACTTTGCCACCACCCAATTTATGTTCAAGATAATCCTTCATCACTGTGTCTTTCTGGGGTACATACTTAGTCATCGTTTTAGTCTCAAAGGAATCACATCCCGGATTGAATGATGAGGCTTATTATTGACCAATTCCCTAATAGCATTAAGCGGATTGAAACCTCATAAAATTCTCTTGTATATTAATCGCAATCGTATAGTCTAATTGTTTTACCAAATATTTCAATGTCTTGGTTGATTCTAAAATCTTCTGGTATAATAAATGTCTTTGAACCATCAGCTCTTAACACCTTTAGAATATTGATGTACTGCTACTTTTTGTCTTTTCAAAAAAGCTCCCTGAGGAACTCCACTGTTTTCTTGTTTTGGCTCTGTGATACTCAAGGAGTGATCTTCTAAATAGTAAAAGATTGTTATTTTGCGAATTCTGTAATTCTCTAGGGCTGATTCCACGACTGCCTCCTTAAAATAACCGCTGAATCTCAGAACATGTCTGTCCATCTTAACCCAACTTGGTTAATAGAGCTCTTCGGAATCATTTGCCACATTCTCATTATACTGTTTTAATCTAAGTACCTTTGGCATATGCATTGCGTGTGTTGTACTTAAGTAATCTGGATTAAACATTCCTGATTAAGGAGGAATTTGAACAGGCTATTTTCTGGGGACAGGGTATTCTTTATTTGGCAGTTGCTTCTATATATTGTAAAACTTCAATTGTTACTATTTCTCGATTTTATTCCTATTTCACAGAAGACACCTTTCTAAAGTTGGGTTTCTTGGATTAATGTTAAATATACATCCAATTCTTATGTTGGCACAAAACCTGGTAATTTTGGAAATGCCGAAGCCATTTTATTAAATAATTATTTAAGATTTGCTTTTAGAAATAGTAAAACAAATATAATCAAAGTATCACTTCTTTGATTTGAACTTAATTACTGAGACAAAAAATAAGTCAGATCAATTATTGATAATTTACTTATAATATGGGAGTTGAATTTCTTCATATCTAACAACTATGATTTAGTACTTTTAACTTTACAAAACAGTTTGCGGAGAAAACCCCATAATTCCAAGATCTTGAGAGAATATTAGTTACAAATTAAAAATAAAATATTAACTTGGAAAAACGAGAATATATTTTACACTAATACATACCTTAAAATAAAAAATAAGTTATTCTAAGAAAATGACAATACTTATATGCAAAAAAAATGAATTTTTCAGAAGTAACGATTAGATTGAATAGTTTTCTTGTTTTTTCGTTTTCAATATAAGGTGAACTGTGAAGTTTTTTATAATAAAAAACAGAGGTGCTCTTGTTTTAAATTAATTAATTGTATATATATAATATAGTTATAATGAAGAATAAGTAGCAGTAGAGGCAAGAGTATTTGGTTTAGGTGTAAGTAATAGAAGTAAGAGATCTTAAGGGCGGAGATAAGACTGGGGCTTGTGATCCTTTTGTGAAGATATCTGTAGGTAATTTGCCTCCATAAGTAACTACAACTAGAAAGGCTGCAAATACTGCTGTGTTTAACTAATCATTTACATTCACTGGGTTGTTAATGAACTCGATAGAATTCGAGAGTTTTGAGATTAAAATAGAAGTGTACGATTTAAAACAATTTGGATAAAATCAACTTGTTGGCATTTACTCAGTTGGAATTTCAACACTCTACAGGAATCCTGCTCACGAGATCTTTAATACTTGGTTACCTTTGGTTCATCCTAAACAAGGATTAGAACCGTAAGGGTTTTTATTGGCATCCGCGTATGTTATATCTCCAACTGATCGTCCGCCTGTCCATGATATGAACGAGAATAATGTGGAGGAAGAACCTGATGAATTTGGAGGTGTTCCAGATGACCAATTGAATCCAGAATAATTATAAGCGAGAATAGAGAGAAAGAATAGAATCGCTGTTGTTTCTAAGCCTGAAATTCGGGGGAAATCCTATCAATTGATGGTTAACATTGCGAAAGCAGAAGATTTAGCGTTGATGGGTTATCCCACCCTTGATAGTTTTATATCTGTAAGAGCAGGAGGAACAGCTTAAATAACATCGGTAATGAAGAACCAATAGAAACCCTAATATTTGTCTAGATTGATGTTCCCTTTGCATTTCCCATTTTTCAATGATAAAATAGTGGTAAGAGTTTGGGATAGAAGAACTATGGCAACAGATACTTTTATTGCGATGATCCCAGAAGTCCCAACCGAAAACGATTATTTTAATATCAATTTTTTGTAGAGTAAAGGAGGAACTATGCCATTCAGATGGTTCAATCTCTATGGAATACCATAAGATGAAAGACCAGGTGGGTTTCAATAGGCATTTCTTGGTTACAAAAAGAGTATCATTGGAACAGACTTCATGGGCAGAGTCTTGATGTCAATAAACCTTACACAAAGTGAAAAACCTGAATTAATGGTTGTTCCACTAACAACTCAGAGAGAACCACCTATTGATAAATATTTGTTGAGATTCGATACGTNTACTTTTAACTTTACAAAACAGTTTGCGGAGAAAACCCCATAATTCCAAGATCTTGAGAGAATATTAGTTACAAATTAAAAATAAAATATTAACTTGGAAAAACGAGAATATATTTTACACTAATACATACCTTAAAATAAAAAATAAGTTATTCTAAGAAAATGACAATACTTATATGCAAAAAAAATGAATTTTTCAGAAGTAACGATTAGATTGAATAGTTTTCTTGTTTTTTCGTTTTCAATATAAGGTGAACTGTGAAGTTTTTTATAATAAAAAACAGAGGTGCTCTTGTTTTAAATTAATTAATTGTATATATATAATATAGTTATAATGAAGAATAAGTAGCAGTAGAGGCAAGAGTATTTGGTTTAGGTGTAAGTAATAGAAGTAAGAGATCTTAAGGGCGGAGATAAGACTGGGGCTTGTGATCCTTTTGTGAAGATATCTGTAGGTAATTTGCCTCCATAAGTAACTACAACTAGAAAGGCTGCAAATACTGCTGTGTTTAACTAATCATTTACATTCACTGGGTTGTTAATGAACTCGATAGAATTCGAGAGTTTTGAGATTAAAATAGAAGTGTACGATTTAAAACAATTTGGATAAAATCAACTTGTTGGCATTTACTCAGTTGGAATTTCAACACTCTACAGGAATCCTGCTCACGAGATCTTTAATACTTGGTTACCTTTGGTTCATCCTAAACAAGGATTAGAACCGTAAGGGTTTTTATTGGCATCCGCGTATGTTATATCTCCAACTGATCGTCCGCCTGTCCATGATATGAACGAGAATAATGTGGAGGAAGAACCTGATGAATTTGGAGGTGTTCCAGATGACCAATTGAATCCAGAATAATTATAAGCGAGAATAGAGAGAAAGAATAGAATCGCTGTTGTTTCTAAGCCTGAAATTCGGGGGAAATCCTATCAATTGATGGTTAACATTGCGAAAGCAGAAGATTTAGCGTTGATGGGTTATCCCACCCTTGATAGTTTTATATCTGTAAGAGCAGGAGGAACAGCTTAAATAACATCGGTAATGAAGAACCAATAGAAACCCTAATATTTGTCTAGATTGATGTTCCCTTTGCATTTCCCATTTTTCAATGATAAAATAGTGGTAAGAGTTTGGGATAGAAGAACTATGGCAACAGATACTTTTATTGCGATGATCCCAGAAGTCCCAACCGAAAACGATTATTTTAATATCAATTTTTTGTAGAGTAAAGGAGGAACTATGCCATTCAGATGGTTCAATCTCTATGGAATACCATAAGATGAAAGACCAGGTGGGTTTCAATAGGCATTTCTTGGTTACAAAAAGAGTATCATTGGAACAGACTTCATGGGCAGAGTCTTGATGTCAATAAACCTTACACAAAGTGAAAAACCTGAATTAATGGTTGTTCCACTAACAACTCAGAGAGAACCACCTATTGATAAATATTTGTTGAGATTCGATACGTATGAGATCCAGGAAGCCAAAGATTGTGGAGAAAAGATTATTGTGAAATTCAAGGTTGGTGGATAAGTCTTTAAATCAAATGAAGCCTTTATAAAGACAGAAAAGAAAAGCAAGTATAAGCAGAAGGCGTAGACTGAAAACAAAGAGATTCAAGGGATTAGTTATACATGGGGGAAGTAGATTTAAACCAGAGATGAGAAATTGGATTTGCCATAGGATCCTTAATAAATTCCTGATTTGATTGTATCCTTACATAATGAGAAGGGCAAGAGAGTGGCCTATTTAAGAATTCCATATTCAGACAAAGACTTAGAAACAAATAGACCCAAATGGTACACATTCAAGAGTGTCAAGTAAACAGATAACAATGACGTTCCTCATAGTTTTTTCTTAGTTAACATAATATTTCGAAATGAAAGCACTGTGTTCAAGATACCTAAAATCATAGTCAAGAGAGATCAATAGGTATATTATCACTTGTATGCCTAATTTTATGCAGGATATGATTTGTGTCCTGATCTATATTCAGAGGAAGTCCAGGCAAGTTTTGTGATGAAAATAGGGGGTCAATATCTAGAATTAGACAAGCCACAATCAGGCAAGAATCCAATATGGAATAAGGCATTCGAGAAGATTGTGAAAATAGATTAAAATCTGGAATTTGCAAGCAACATCATTATAACTTTTACAAATCAAAAGAAATCCAATTCATGGTTCAGTAATAATCACATTGGAGATATATGCATACCTGCACTTGTTTGTAAGTATGAAGGTGATCCCATCTTTGGATTTCATCATATAGTCAACTAAGGTTAATCAGCTGGGAGAATTTTGGCAGCATTTAAATTAAGAGAACTGGGTAAGAATAAAGAAGCCTTTTCAGAGGATCCTACTCCCATAATTCCCTAAGAAGGATTCACTTAAAAATGGGCTCAATTTCCAGTTTTTGGAGTGAGAAATTTAAAATAGAAAATGAAGGATCCAAAATTAATGGTTTAAGTGCCAGTTCCATTTAATATGGTTGATTCAAGTGTTGAGAATCCAAGCTATTACAATAGCGAGCCTTGTGAAATTATATAGGCTTAAAAAGATTTATTAGAAAATGATAAGAGTTGGTTTGGAGGAGGAATCCAAGATCCAGTCTTCTTGAAATTGGTGAATTTAAAGGTTTATTTACCAGAGGACATCAAATTCTATCCACAATTGGAAATTCAATTATCTGATACATTCAATAAAAGTGAAAGGTACATATGTTCAATTCCATTGATTGATGTAGCTTAGACAAAGGATTAACTTTTAATTGATGAAGCAAGGAACTTTTTTGAATAAGGCAAAAATTTTGAAGATATTTAATTAAATGCAGGCAAAAATGAGGACCTGTAGGAAAATAATGAGAATGTCATAGTAAATCATGATGCAGAATCATAAAAATAATAAGATCAAAAGGATACTGCTATGCCAAAGGAAACACAACCTAAAGAAACTGTGAAGTAGAGTGTTGCACCTGAAAAGGTGAGTTAATAAAAGTAGAGTAATTAGTCAGGCAAATCCCAAAAGTATTCAACAATGTCCAAGTTAAGTGTGATGACAGAGAGACCTGATTTGAAGATAAAATCTACTTTAAAGAATAAGGGAATTCAGAATGTTGAAGTTACTGAGATGACCCATCTTACATTGGAATTTGAGGATATTATAGAGAAGAAGAAGGAGAATAAGGAAAAGGAGAAGAAATTATTGGGAATGATTAAGACTTATAAGACTAAATATAAGAAGTTCGATCAATTGAAATTACTTATTAAAAGAGAGGTTGAAAAGTTGAAAGGAGTAGAGATTAAAGAAACAAATTATTTCAAAGGAACCAATGAAGTAGATGAAGATGAAGGGTATGATTATGGCAGAGAAGTGTTAAAGGGTCCATATGAAGAAAAACTAGCTCCCAAGATTCCATTTAGAAGGTTTGCTCTATATAGATTGTCTTCAACTAAATATGGATTAATTGGGAATCCAACTGATGCTGTTATAAAAGGAGATATTAGAATCTCAGATTATGGAGGAACTGTTGTTGATAACCAAAAATAATCTAAAAAGTCAAAGGTGTCAAAAACTTCAAAAAAGAAATCCTCAGTCAAGGATGTTCCAGACAAGCCTGATGATTATTCCTTTAATCTATTTGATGAAGGCTTTCTATAATTCTTTAATCAGCCTTACAGGCTAAAAGTTAGATTATACATATTGAGATGTCTCAATTTAGCAGCATAGAAATAAGATATTGATGCTTATCATAAAATGGCTGGACTTTAAGCTGTCTGTTCAGCGGATTCCTATCCAGAAATCTTTATAGGGGAAAGTGGACATGATAATCAAGATTTGATCAAACACATCACGGATTAGGATAGACCAATTGAAAATACATTAAGTCCTAATTTTTTCAGAATGTATGAGTTGGATGCAGAATTGCCTACTGATTGGAAAATGAAATTACATATTAAAAGTAAGGGAATGTTTGATTCTGTTATTGGTAGCATTCAAATTGACATTGAAGATAGAGTCGTTGGTGAAGAAAAGTTAAAATAGAGAATCGCCTACACTGTCTTTAAAGAAAGGTTTGAAACTGAAAAAGAAGCTTTAAAATATGATGATAGTCAGAACGCTGAAAGACGCAAAGGATATCTTTCAGGACAAATTACAGATTTGCAATAAAGAATTGAAAACTTTGATAAGAAGTTCAAGGTTCCCGTTGAGTATAAGGATTTAAAAATAGATGGGAGACAACAAGCCTCTCAAGGAACAGTTGAAATGTTTTTGGAAGTCTTGCCTATTGATATAGCAAGAGAGATTGAACCTGCTCCATTACAGGCCCCATTACCATAAGAATATGAGGTAAGATTGATCATTTGGGAGACTTTTGAAATACCAAAGGTAGCAACTAAGAAAGTTGTAGACATTATGGTCACTGTAGCCATGGATGCCTCTGCTACAGGCAAAGATGCTGAAGTAGCCAAAGAGACAGATGTACACAATGGTAGTGAAAATGGTGATGGATCCTTCTCATATCGTATGAGATTTCCACTTGTTATTCCATGCCCCTTCCCAAGATTAAAGATGACAGTCTACGATTTTTCACCCTTCGGTTCTAATGAATCCCTTGGAGAAGCAACTATGTCATTAAAACCGTAAGTATTTATGCTTAATCTATAGAATTATCAAAAGATTATCAAGGGATGGAAAATATGAGATGCCTCCCACAAAAATAAAGCTATCTCATCCTAATTATCCTGGGTAAAACAGAGGCTAAGTACTTATTCAAATGAAGATTCTTACCAAACAACAAGCTGATGGTTAACCTGTTGGAGATGGATAGGATGAGCCAAATGAAGATCCATATTTAGTTAAGCCAACTGAGGGAAGAGGGTTGGCTGACTTTTTCAAAGGAGCAGGATTTGGTATGGGCAATTTTATGCTTTATGTCAAAATCTTCGCTGGACTTTTTATCACTGTAGTGGTTGTGATGATTTTATTCATTAAGCCAGGCATTTTGGTTAATTGATCAATTATTTAGTATGTATAAGAATTTACTTTTAAATAATAACATTTAATTCTGTTCTACCTTCACCTTGAATTTTCTTGGTTCGATTGCCATTAAGCTAATTATTAGAGTTAAAACGATGATGTAAACACAAATATTTGATGAAACATTTATAAAAGATCTCTATGAAAGTAGTAGAAGCTCTTTAATCAATACTCAAATAGATATTTAACTTCTTATATTTTAATCTATAAAAGAATGATCCAAATAATATGATATGAATATTATAATGCTTTCATTATCTGGACCTCAAATTTTGTCCTCTCAACTAATTTCCAGAGTTGGCTAATTATGCAAATGATAATGGGGTTGTCAAACATTCCTAAGAGGATTTGAATTTATGTAGGTTACCAGTAAAGTTCTCGCCATCATAAACTGTCAATCCCAAACCATCTGGGATATATATTGATCTAATTTAAGCTTTGAATTCCCTAGAATAAACAATAAATTTACTCAATTTCGCTTAAACTATTGCATGCTTCTAAAGATTCTCCCTTGAAGTTACATTAAGAATAAATGATAATACAATTTCCTTAAACTAATTATTTACTTTTGGTTGAATCTACTGCTTTAAGCTATGCGTTATCTCCCTCTTCACCTGAATTGCCATTTCCTTAGCCATTTTAATCACCATCACCTTAACCTGCATCACCATCGCCTTAGCCAGTTTAATCACCATCACCTTAACCTGCATCACCATCGCCTTATCCTTATCCAGCATCACCATCTCCTTATCCATCTCCTTATCCTTATCCTTGTTCATCTCCTTATCCTTGTTCATCACCTTATCCTTATCCTTGTTCATCACCTTATCCTTATCCTTGTTCATCTCCTTATCCTTGTCCATCACCTTATCCTTATCCCTATCCCTATCCAGCGTCGCCATCTCCTTATTCTTATTCTTATCCTGCATCAAATTATCCTTATCCAGCATCACCATTTTCTTACCCTTATCCAGCGTCACCATCTCCTTATCCTTATCCTTATCCATCTCCTTGTCCATCACCTTATCCATCACCTTATCCTTATCCATCTCCTTGTCCATCACCTTATCCTTATCCTTGTCCATCTCCTTATCCAGCATCATCATCTCCTTATCCTTGTCCATCTCCTTATCCTTATCCTGCATCCCATTAGCCTTATCCTTATCCTTATCCTGCATCTCCTTATCCTTATCCTGCATCACCATCATCTTAACCTGGACCATCATTTTCTCCTTATTGTGCTGAATGATCATTTGTTGTATGATCTTGACCAGCATCTTAATCTGTCTGATCAGCATCTCCTTAATCGGTAGTATGACCAGTTCCTAATCCTGGAGTACTGGCACCATCCTATCCTGTGGGATCTTGCTGGTCAGATTACGTAGTACCTTGCTAATGTTCTTCAGCTTCCTCTTCTGATTTTTCTTCCCCTTGATCCTCCTCGTTTTGAGGTTAAGGAATTTCTTTTACTTTAGGTTTTTCCATAGTAACTTCACTTTAAGCAAATCCATTTTCCATTTCTGAAGATGATTATAAATTATCTGTATTTGTGAGAACTTCAAAAGCCATATTTGGATCAACTTCATTTTAGCTTGCATTGCTTGAATCGTTAGCCTCAGTAGTAAATCCAACATTTGATTCTAAAATATTTTAAACATCAATTTGATTATCTTGAGGTATTTCAAGATTATTGGGATCAACAATATTTATTTCATTTGGGTCAGCAATCAAATTAGTGTTCTGTATTTCATTGCTAATCTCTGAGCTAGCATCAGCCAAATTAGAAACCTCAGAGTTTTGCATGGGTATAGCTTCTTCCACTGAATTAGGTTCAACAGCATTAATATCATTTGGATCATTGGTGCTGTACATGGAATCTTATTCAGGCATGGAGTTTTCCAAATTCTCATTCATTGTCATAGAATCTAAGGCTGGCATGGAATTGGGGTCAACATTCATACTGTCATTCTCAGTTTATTCTAAATTCATGGGAGCTTCAAGATTGCTACTTTCAACAGACTCTTATTCTGTTGATTAATAATCCATGCTATCAGTTCCAATTGAGTCCATGTTGCTTGAATATACATCTTATTAATTCATGGTCATTGAATTCATGCTGTCAATGTCTTCAGATACTTGTAAGGAGTTGTCTTCCTAAATCAAATTGCCCTCCAAATCATAATGAGTTACAACTGCCTCAGATGTTTGGGCAAAAGGTGTTGTGATCAAACATACAAAAAGTAAGTACTTAATCATCAAAACGGATTAAAATTATTATATTATTCAAGATCAAATTCGAATAAATATTATTTCTTATATGTAAATCATTTACAGCCAATCCTTTTTTCAAGCTCAACGTAAGTGTTCCTCAAAGAAATTTTAAGCTGAATGTTTGTACTCCTCAATAAGCTGTGTCATAAATTGCAACAGATATCCCTTCGTTTTGACATTTTTTCACAAATATTTTGATGTTAAACCCAAATAATTTTGATACTCAAATTCCAAAAGGGGCATATCCTAAAAAATATAATAATTTAATTTTTCAGGATCGATTCGTTTAAATAAACTACACATAATTAATAATATAAACACCTAACTGTTTTATTACAAACTCGTATATCTGAAATATATATATAAACACATTCTTCTTGTACTTTAATTTATTACATTTCAATTTATTCATTTTTAAAAAAGGGATTTATAAATTTTCATACTAAAGCATCAGTTTTTGAAGAATACGCCAGATAAGTGTACATGTAATAATGACACATCGATATTTTAGAGAATTTAGAGATCTTACTATAATTTATGAGGAGACTCTTACCCATGAAGTTTTCACAGCAATTTTATAAATTAGGATAATTGATTGATTCAAAGTTAAATTTGATAATATTGAATGAGAAATATAATGTTTGCTTTTAATAGCTGATTATTCATTATCATATAAAGGCTCGCTTGTCCCCTCCTCTTACTCTAAGTTTTTTCGAGAACGCGGATGGTAATTCATACTTACCAGGGCCTGGTGTAGTACTAGTTGATCGAAAGGGATCTTTTTTTTCACCTATCCCTTAAGTGATTTCCTAATTAATAAAATTGGTATATACTTTGAATCGAGAAGGCGAGGTAAGTTTAGTGGTAGGAGAATAAGCCTCAGGGCCTGGAACTCCATTTTCTGGATTATCATTCAGCATCTTGCCCTTCCCTTTCAATAAAAATTTATATCTATGCTAACCCAAATCCTTTCTAACTTTATATTCTCCAGGACCTCATATTAAGCGTGAATAATTACCAGGCAGAAATTTGGCAAACTCTGGTGCTTAGTTCTTATTATAGGGCAGATATGTTTTAGAGTACAATTCCCAAGGTCCTCCGAAAGACCTTTTGAGTTTATCCTTCCCAGGAATTTCTCTTACATCATATCTGTTTGGACTTGGCAATTCCTTAGCATTTGTTTCCTACCACATCCATTAAAAGTTTTCAATTCTACCCCCAAATCCTTAGGAAGTTGTTTTATTGCCCAATTAGCTTGGGAGTTCTAAGGCCTAAATATTAGTTTCTGATTAGGAGTTGAATCTATGCGCTCTTGGGAAGGAATATTGGAGAGCAGTATGTCTTAAAGTAGATGAGGAAATGTTGGAACTTAATCCTTATTAATTTACGAATAGTTTATTGGTACTAAAAAACCCTTAAGAACTGGACATCGTATCCCTCATATCGAGTGAACCACTACTTCTGAACCTCCTCTTTAAATAGTTTGTATTCTCCATATTCCCTTGTTATTAATTTATTAATAAAATAAAATAATTATTTTGCAAAATAAATAAGATTGTGCAAGTTATCAAGCTTTTTCCGCTCATCTTCAATAAGAAATAAACTTAAGCCATTTAGCCAAAGTTATATATCCGACCTCTAAATGAGGATTCATTGCCTGAGGATTAACAAATTGAATTTCAACATTTTTACATAATATCATGAAGAATACCTCAATTTTCTAGTTATATAATTTCATTAATATGTTACATACAATTATTTTCGGTTTCCTTGAGAGAGTGTTTATGCGAATAAGAAATTCCTTAAATTATTCTTAAAAAACTATTAGACTAATGACACAACATTTTTTAATTGTAAAGTATATATAAAATCTAAACCTTCATTAATTTATTGGAAGTTTTCTTGTAAACAACAAGGTTGCTTGAATCGTCAAAATCTATTCAAAATTAATTTTCTAGAATCAATTGTAGTGGATAATCTAAAATCTTTGATGAAACTCTATAATAATCTCCTTTTGGTTAATCAAGCTTGGAATACATTTAATCTTGCAAATGAACTTTAATGATTTAATAATTAATATTTATAAGCCATATGAATGCACTTTTTCATTTTATTGTGTTTATAAATGGCAAGCCTGACAATTTCCCTTCGGTTTTTAATAGTTCAATAATGAAAGATCGGTAAAAATATTTTCAATTTTAAATATCTTTATACATCTCTAAAATGTGATAATAATTAAAAAATGCCAAATATATTGGAAAAGTTTTCCAAGGGGTTGATAAATTTGAAAAATGAATTTATGTATCAATTAGACATATTTGGCCAACTTCCAAGCTTCACAGTTCTCAATAGGAACAAATACACTTCTCAATTGGGATTTGTGATGTCACTTTTAATAGGAACACTATCCATATACTATTTGATTAATGAAGTACAACAAATGCTTTCAAAATCAAAGCCCTCGATATATTCCTCAGAAATACAAGTCATAGAGACAGATGTAACATTAATTGATTGAGCTTAGTCGTTTTATCTCAACAATGAAAATTTTACGCTAGCAATTACAATAGCTGATCGCTTTTCGGAACCAGTAATTGGAATAAATAGGTATTTCAATTTAAGCGTGAGTCAGTGTAATAGAGTGAGGATAAGAGACCAGTCAACAGGAAATATAACAGTTCAATTAACGTATTAATGAAACTAATTAAGATGTAATGAAATGCCCTTAGAACCCTGCAATATGTCGCATTTTACTACTGACCTTTAACAAGAGTACTTTAAGACCATAAGATTTGGAGCAGTGTAATGTATTAATCGGGAGTATCAATAGAAAAATCCTCCAGTACGATATTATCATAATTTATTAGGTCTTAAAGGGCTTATTCAATGCTCTGGAATATAAATATTTGTACATCCAATTCACAGCTTGCTCGAATAGCACTACTTTTCAAGGGTGTGCTCCTTAAGAAAAGATCGATGAAATCTTATAAGCTGGACGTTATAATGTCTACAAAAGTGACTATATATCCCAGCTTGATCAGCCTGGAGAACCATACAAACAAATTATCACAAATGATTTCAGTGGGTTTTCTTATAGCACATCAAAAACGATAGTCTAGTCATACAGAATAGTACAAACAACCACAGATCAAGGGATGATCTGGGATGATGAAAACGTTTAGTAAAATATTCAACAAACAGAATGGAGAGAAATATCAGACTTTTATAACCAATAGTATCTGGTCCTTCACGTTATTAAGTTAGACTTCAAATAGACTAATAACACTAGAACATACATCAAATTGCAAACGATATTAGGAAAACTCGGAGGTATTTTGCAAATCTTTATGATGGTTGTTACCATAATATTTAAACCTGTCATAGAAAATATGATGAAGCTAGAAATAGCAAACTCCCTCTACAGATTCCATGATTCATCAGAAAAACAAATATAACGTTCAACTCAAATTTAAATTAATCAATCAGAGAGAGAATTCTCACCTCCCAACAATAATAAGAAGATTGAAGGCTAAATTAGTTAGAGGAACGAAAAGCTCAATAAGTCTATGTTTGAGACATTTCTAATAATTTTTGGGTTATAGAAGGAAAAGCATTAGCAATTTCTGAAGGCAAGAAAAAAAATCATAAAGAATTTAGACATAGTGACAATCCTAAAAAGATTGTAAGAGGTTGATATGATGAAACGGATCTTATTTTCAAAGGAGTAGATGGAAATAATAAAGAACTTACCTAGGCCTTTGATTGATAAGAAACTATTCGTTTCTCATAATCTGATAGAAAATGATATAGAAAAGGAGAAAGTGAATTAAATTAATTTATCACCGCTCTAAAGTTAGTAATCAAGGTTCAATTACTTTCCAAATATAAATACAGTTTAGTAGAAATAGTAAATTGATGCCCAATTACAATTATATTTAGATCATTGCAATGTAATGTTAATAAATAAGTTAATAGGATTCTTAAAAACAGAAGGTGAAGTTGTAAAGCAGTTTGCTGAAAAGCCCTTCCTCGCCTTTGTCCAACAGTCAAATAATAAGGTAAGATGAAATAGATGAACCAGTTCCTTAGAAACCAAAAAAATGATTAACAATTAATTTATATATATAGCTAGAAATAACAATTTAATTCTAAAATTAAACTTGAATAGTTTAACAATCGTTCAGAGCAATTTGATGTTGGACGGTCTTTTTTTGGGTTCCCTTTTGCGTCTAATCACAGGGACTTCCAAATACAGTTCTTCATCAGGGACTGAAAGTTAACAATAGGATACTTACTTTCATAATCATCATCAAATTCATTCTTGGCCACGTATTGACTGAGTTTAGAGGGTTGTTGAGTGTAAATTAAAGTTCGTTTAGTGTTGGAGGGAGTTGATTATAATTTAGAATTCATATGATTTAAAGCATTTAATCCACTTTATTGTTGTTAAATAATTGTCATTCTCACATCCATTTCACTCATTTCTCTTAATTCAATAATGGTTCTTAAACTTGGGAGTGGTTTTTTTCTTTTCCTTTCAACTTTCAAAGATTTAATTTTACTTTTCACATTCACAAACCAATGATGTTTAGTAGCTTCTTTTATTGTCAATCTTTTATCTCATATTATAAAACACTTACTTGCATCAGTTTCTAGCATTTTTCTCAGAAGATCCAATTAAGACGAACTGACTTTGCTTTTCTATTGATTTTATTAGAAACCCACTTTTAATTGTTGTTCACTTTCATCAATTCTATTTTTTTGAATTTCAAAATTGTCCATAACATTATAAAAATCTTTATCTTCGTTCTTGATCTAAAAAACATATTGTTTTGAAGTACTTCATATTTTTTTGAGTCATAATAGGTCATAAAATACAATACACAGCCCAATGCATAGATATCAGTTGATATGTTGGGTGCAATGCCTTCAAAGATCTCGGGAGCTAAGAAAGACTCGACTGCTCTATTCAAAATCCAATCTAGTTTGTCATTGACTTTGTATTCTTTGAAGGAGAGATTTATGAGTGTGATTTATAGCATTTGATGTTGCGTGTTGATCAAGACATTCTGAGGGTTGATGCTACCATGATAAAATTGATGCTAATTGAGAAATTTGACGACTTAGAGGATTTAATAAATAATCTAGCATTAGTATTCAAATAATTACAGACGCAATTTATACTTCATGTAATTAGAGATTGGAATTTAGCAGATTGAAGAGGGTCTCTCCTTTGTAGTATTCATAGACAATAAAAAGATACTTATTATTCTCATATACTCTCTTTAATTCCAACAAGGATTGATGTTTGATACTTCTCAGTATCTATATTTCATTGTAAACAGCATCTTCTAATTCTTAGCATTGTTCGAAATCATCACTTTTGTAAATCTGGACTGTGTATTGGGTTTTCTTGGTTTTCTTTGTGCATGTGTAAAATCCAGGCAACAATTTGTCACCCAATTTATATTTATCAAGAAAGCCTGTGAGTTTACAAAATTGTTTCATTTATTTGTACCAGGTTCTAAAAGTTACGAAGTTGGAGAAGAATAAGTATGTAGTGCCTATAGAATTGGTTAAGAGCATGCCAAAGGCTTATTGTGATCTATGTTGGATCATTTTCTAAGTGATCGTACACTCTGATAGCGATAAATAATAGGTAGCTCCACTTTGATTAAATTGAGATTGTGGTATTTGTAACAACCCATTTTAGATGGTTACCTTGATTAGTAAATTTGGCATTAATATAAATTTACTACATTCCAATGTTCCATTCCAAAATGTGTAAAGTTATCCATTCAAAATTTCATCTGATTCTTTTAATTACCCAAATTGTTCTTACTTAAGTACATGCATGTGTTGAGACTCAAAATCTTCTTGTGAAAACTCATTAGGATACTTGAGAATCCAATTCAAGTTTTCATCATTCATATTTTACCTTCGACTCATTACAAAAATTTAATATAATTTAATTGTTGATGTGTTATAGTTTTTCATTATTGTATTCAATCATCATCAGAATCTTAATTATCTTTCATGTACCTATCAATGAGTTTCTGATACTCTTCCCTCGGAATCGAGGACTCTGAAGAATACGACTCCTGTTGTTGTTCAATCATGGGATATTACTCTTGCTGAAACACGTTCGGTTTATTGAAGGATCTCCCATTCAAACTCGTGATAACCGAATCGATTTCTTCCTCCTACTAAGAAAATTGCAATTATTAAGACAGCATCTCTCTCTGTTGAGGAGTCTGCATAACACTCGATCCAAATTATTCAGCAGATTTTTGGAGCGATTATTGAGGTGTGTATTCCTGATTAGTCAAATTGAAGCTTAGAGTATTGGTTTTGAAATAATTAGATTGAATCAGATTCTGTTGTTATGCTGATTGTGTCTATTGTTAGGAGGATTGATAATACGGTTATGGAACTTGTTATTGATAACTATTTTGGAATTACTATTATTTCTATAGACTAACATCAGAAACCTGTTGGCCTCTTTGAGATCCCTCTGAAGACCTCTTTTGATATTGCTATGAAATTCTTTGGTTTTTTCGTTTCAGTAATTCTTGAGCTATAGTAAATTCCTCATCTGATGATTCATCATCATCTTGAAAATTTTGGTTTTATTGAAAACTGTCGGATTGGACAGAGGGATCCTTGTAATATTGATTTTGGTTTTATTTTAACTTGTTTTCTAGAGCCTTAAATTCCTCACAGAATCTAATAGTCTACAAGTTATTCTAAGTTTTAATGGGTTCTTGTGGTTGAATCATTTCTTCCTTTTTGAAGAAGTTGGATGTGCGTGAATTAATTGCAAAACTGTCCGTTTCTGTTTAGATCTGTTTGTCTGCTGAATTCTAATGTGGATTAACGTGATTTCCTGGATCAATGGTTTATACTTCAATGTGCTTCCTTTAATCATGTTTGGGCACATTTACAGGTGTCTGATGTCTTGGGATCACTCTTTATTTGTCTTGCTTAGTTTCTGGTTTAATGACTTTCCTTAAAGGAGAAATCTCCTATCTTTCTTAACTGCTTGATTCAAACTATAACTGTTTCAAACTGTTGGTAAATTCCTCGATCTCCGCTTTCAATTGCAAAATCTCACTCTTCTATTATTTGGGAGGAGGTATTGGAGGTGGAATAGGAGCTTGGGAGACTTTCGAATTATTTTCTTTGTTGTCAATCTCATATTAAGTGAATGAGTCAAATTTGTTCACTCTCGCAAGAAGCATCTATTCTTGGATCAATTGTTCTTGTTACTGCAACTTCTTAATGACTTCTAGGGATTCCTTGAATTTCTCTTCAGTCTATTTCTATTCTTTTTTTGCAGATTCAGAAAGTTGCTTGTATTTGGTTACTTACTTTTTGCATTCCTCTTCCTTCTGTCTTATTTGCTCCTGCAGTTTTTTGTTTTCTTCTTGCTCCTATGCCAATCTCTTGATTAGATCTCCTATTTTTGCCTTGTCTTCCTAGCACAAATCCTTTATGGTCACAGAGGGACTCGTAGTGCGATCTATGTTCTTGTCGTTTTCATCGTCGAATTGAAACTTGAGAGTGTTTTTGATGGAGGTCAATTTGTTTTGATTTCCTTGCTGCTTAGTTTGAGCTATGCGAGTAGTTCTCATATTTAATTAATGTCAATTATTGTTAAAAAATTTCTGAAGACCAACCTCTTGGAAAAGCAACACTTTAACAAACACACTGAAAGAGAGAGAAGACGATTGGAGTACATTAATAAATCTATATCTGACCGCAAGGCTTATCTTTGCTTGTCTCCCACTGAACAATACATATTGAACGACAAAGTATGTTTGCATTCCATCCTATTTAAAAGTCCTTACATCATTCAAGGCAGGAGCAGCGAATGTACGATTTCAAGACTCCCTTCGACAATGACACATGTGCTGAAAAGAAGGAGAGGTCAAAGGAAATGACACTCACTATGGCACTTTCATCCATGAAAAATAGTAATTCCATTCAGCAAAGAACAAAGTCAAAAAAAAGACTAACCTTTTTAGAATCCATTGTATTTTCTCCAGATGGCACCCTCAAAATCCTTTGGGATTTTTTGTGTATGTTTCTAATATTCTATGAAATTTTGTCGATCCCTTTTAGAATCAGTTTCGATTTCGAGATAAGCAATGAACTTAGTACGTTCATTACTGCTATTTTCTTGATTGACATCGTAGTTACATTCAACACAGCAGTCTGGATCAAAGGAACAATCAACTATCAATATTCAGTGATATTCAGACAGTATATGAAACTTTGGTTCTGGTTGGATCTCATTGCATCATTCCCCTATGATATGGTATTAAACGACACAATCATAATTAGATCATAGAATCCGTATTGTTAGCTGATGCCAATGAAACTGATTCAACTACCTAAAATGGTGGATCATCTAAAACCTTACAATAAAGTGCTTAAATTTTGAGACTATTGAAATTCTTTCGATTTATTAAGATCATTAGATTACTTCGATTAGCAAAATTAAAAGTGATTTTCGATAAAATCGAGGAACAATTACAGACTTATACTACCATAAATACAATTGCTAGCTTCCTTAAGTTAAGTTTTTTTGTCTTGTTTTGGTCACATTGGTTAGGATGCATCTTTCACTTCGTAGGAATGTAGGAAGATCCGAATCACAATTGGTTGGTTGTCGCTGGGATCTATGATTAACCTGTAGAAGTTAGGTATGTGACATCAATCTATTGGGCTGTCACAACCATGATTACCGTTGGTTATGGAGATATTTCACCCTAAACAACAACCGAGAGATTTTGTGGAATATTCTTCTTATTGGTAGCTTGTGGGGTGTTGTCATTTACAATGAATTCCATAGGAAACACCATGTAATAAATGAGTTAAAAAAAAGATTAGTAAAAGAAGAATATTGCTGAAATCAACAATTACATGCAAAAAGTTAAGATACCCAAACACCTCTAGTAGAGAGTAAGAAAGTATTTATAATACATTTGGGATTCGAGTAGACTTATTAAACTAGATGCCATCACGGTCAATCTATCCTAAGAATTGAAATAGTTATTAACTGTCCATGTAAATGGCAACATCTTAGCCACTTATACAAATTTCTGTAAGACCTTCTCTCGAGTCCTCCTCTTAGATATTACTCAAATCTTATTCGAATAAACTGCACAGCCAGATGAATACATCATTATTGAAGACAACCCCAAAAATTCGCATCATCTATATTTCATTCAAGATGGATTGATCAACATTGTGTTGCCTAAGACTCGACAGGTCGTAGCTAAATTAACTAATAAATAAATCTTTGGAGAGATCAACTTCTTTGGAAATGTGGGTCGAACTGCCTCAGCCAAGAGTGAAGGATTCAGCGATTTGTTTGTTCTAAAAAGGGAGGACTTCTTGCAGATATTGCAAAAATACCCCAAGGATTTTGAGAAATTCTATTTAATCTAAGATGAGGTCAATAAACATCAATTTTAAGTTCTTTAGATTCATTGCTTTGCATGTGAATTGCCAGGACATGTAGTTAGGGACTGTCCATAATTGCATTTCATTGTGGATCTCTATGTGTATAATAAAACAAAGAATAGATGTATCAGATAAATCATGAAGGAGTATGTGAGAAAGGACAGGATACATTTTAATGCTATTAAGCATTAATAGCTTATCAAGAAAGAGGCATTAAGTATCTAAACTGTAATTCCAATGACAGGATTTATTGTGGAAGAATGTAATTTGGAAGATGGGCAATTTAAAACTATCCAATTTAAAAGTGTTCCCTAACCCTTCAAAATCAAATCAAAATTTAAAGAAGATCGAACCAGAAGAAGAGAAATACAAAAGGTCATGCGTGCATAATAGAGTAAAGTCTAAATGATCAATCAAAAACAAAATGATATCTATAATCTTACTAAATCTCTCTCTTAATTAATTTAATCCTCAACTCCCTCATTAAACATGCAGAGCAGCAGTATAAGTCATAGTAAAATTAATGAAAATGAAAGTTCAGATGAATAAAGTGATTCAGAGACAATCTAATAAAAATTGGATGAAATCATCTTAGAATATCAAGTTTAAAAAGAAAATCAAATTTAAGAGAATCTATTCACTTAAAATAAAGGTTAATAGACTTATTCTTTGATTGATCATTTTGAATTTGGATTTGATTTTGAAATTTATAAAACTCACAATAATTTATCTGTTGTTTTGAAAGAAGTGTAAAAGTATTACAATGGGGCACAAATAAAACCAAAAATAGACACAGAATACGAGTAAGAATTTTAAATTTTAATATAGTGTCAATGTGTTTGAAGAATACTTGGATTACTATGCAATCAATATGGAGGACATCAATAGATTTAGACTTGAAGTCAAACCAGAAAGATTAAAGCAATTTTTACCATTTACTACCTTAGTTGAAATAAAATAATCACGACAGGTTTTTATTTTAATTTACTATTTTTAGTTTAAATTAAATTAAGGACGCATGAAAAATCCATAACGATAATCCGAAGTGAGTTCCTCTGAACACTATTCAAAAAAGATGTGGATAAGTTGAAAATAGAAACATCTATATTCTAATTTAGTTTATAATAAAGTTATAGTATGATAGATTTTAAATTCTAATGCTTGTATCCAAGTAGATAAATAACATAAAAAAACTTAAATTTGTTGTAATTTTATTTATATAAAAAGTGGAAATAGTTAGATCAATATAATTTCTCATTTTGATTCTTTCGTTACTTATGAATATCTTAATAAGATTTATTTTAACAACATGAAGACGGTCTCTCTATGCTGATTGGGTTATAGAAATGAGGAGTGAATGTACATTTGCTTAGCTCCTATTCATCTTTATCGACTCTCATTTTCTGTAATTTTTGTTGCTTCCTCTTAAGAAATATTTCGTTTCGTTCTATTACTGATAAACCCACCCAATTCTTATAACTTGCCTTAACATCCGTCCTTTCACTCATAATATTACTAGCAGATATTTCTTGTCTCCTGAAACAAGGTTCTAGTTAGGCTAATGACTACTGTCTTATGAACTATTGTCTATAAGTGGGTGTTTTTGGAGTCTAAGTCTAGGTAGTAATTGTTTATGAAGGAATTTTGTGTTCTTTATACTAGTTCTAAGATGGAGGAGAGGGAGGTTGTGGTTGCTTGACAAAAGCTCTCAAATTAACGAATATTTTCTTGGAGTTTGTTTGAGTTTGGAATTGATCTCTGAAGTCAGGTTTCTTCTCCTTCTTCTGGGCCATCAAATAACTTAGTCGTTCTAAATTGGCTTACAACGTTGAATCAATTGATACCAATTAATTCATTTTCTTTATTAATAATAAATGAATAGTTTTATATCTCATTTATTTATTCATAAATTCTAATTAAAAAATGACATATATTTATTCATATACTTTCTAGAATTTATTTCATTTTAAAGCTCACTCACTATGTTCTTTTTCATAAAGAATTAAATTTTAGGTGTTCTTTCCTTGACTCAATCAACTAGCACCAGCTTTAAGCTCTTAAATAATACCCAAAACTAAACCTTTTTTATGCAGAGTTTCTTTGTGGAAAATTTTATATTGGAATTTTAAAATCATTTTCTTTTTAAATGAACCATCGTTTGTCAATTCTATTTGCCAATTAAGAATACTACATTTCTTTAATGTTAAAATCAACCTTAGATAAGAACAATTGATCAAATTAAGTAATTCATATAAAATAACTACTAAGGATTTCTTAAAGCAACTACAACAAAGATATCGCCTTATAGCCGCGTTAAGAGAAATTCCCAAGCATCTTGATATAAATCCAAAGTTTTTCTTTAGATTACAATAATGCTTCGATCTGATTATAATTCAATTAATCTTTATGTACTAATTTTTCCTAAACTTTGCAGAAGTTTTACTTGCGATTTCAAGGATCTTCATTGGAATTCCAAAAATAAAATACTAGAATAAAGATAAGAATTTAGACATTATTATTATACAATAATCATACTTAAGTGCTCAGTCAATGTTAAGATTTGCTCTCAGATATGTTGGAATATGAAGAAACTCTAGAGCCAATTCTCCATTAAAAGTATGTTAAAACTGAGAAGGGTCAACAAATTTTGTAAAGCATATTAACTTTTGGAGAAGAATAATTTTATTGATAAATATTTGGGGGGCTATATGGAAAATCTAGCAAACATACAAGAATTAATGAGTTTCATCAGATATTTTTCATTTCAAATCAGTTTAATGAAAAGCAATTTTCTAAATTATGTTATCAATAAATTAATAAATTAATATTAATAAGATATTTTATTGTTTAAAAATATATGAGAAGTATAAGGGAAATAAGTGATGATATCTAAAAGTTAATAAGATTACTTGAAAAAAAAATAAGGTTCAATAAAGAAATAGCTATCAAAAACTACGTTAGAAAATATAAAAAACTATTACATGAATTTAGAGAAATAGAGAAAGTAGGTGAGTTAAATAGGAACTGGCAAGATTGAAATAATATATATTTCTATAATATACTAGTATTATTAGTAATGATTTTTTATGATTTACCAAAATAATCTTAGGTAGTCTTCAAATTTTGACTTAAATAAAAGAAATCAGTTTTTTGATTCTCTTTTCTCAAAATAGTAAATATAGTAAAATTAATGCAATTCATTGAATTTGATTAATCATAGCTATGGATATATTTAGAAAAAGAAGACTTTGAAATCATTTTTATTTATATATTGTAATTTAACAACAAAATTTAATATTCAATTTTGTATTTTATATAAATTATGCTCAGTAATGTAACAAAGATGTATTCATTTTCAAAAGAAAGGACAAAAATGTATACTAATAAGTAAAATTTAGTCTTAACCTAAAATTTAACTCTGTGATTGTGATGATTGTACAGTTTAACATAAGTTTATGAATATATTTGAAAAGAAATAGAAAATTATGCACGTATTTCATGGCAAAGCAATTGTCCAAAAAGCATGAGAAGATATAATAAAATATTGGTCGAAAAATGTAATCTGTTGTAAGTTAAACTAATAGAAAAAAAAAAATTGATAAGAAACAGCTATCCTTATCATTACTTCAAAATGGGAAGTGGAACTCTCATTAAAATAATTGAGACCACAGATTAGTATTAAAAATGATAGTTAAGTTCAATCGCTATATTATCAGGATATAATAAATTAAGAGTAAGTGATACATAATCAATACTTATTGATTATTAATGGCCCTTAATTTGGCAGACAGGATAGTTATTAAATAGAAAATGGAAGGTTAACTTAATCCATTTTTTCATTATATCTAAAATTGATAGTAAAAGTTCATTAATACGAACAGAAGAGTTAAGGTAGTTAACTCTAACTATTTTGAAGGTAGATTAATTCAAATGGTGTTACCTAGGAACTATGTTCATTAGAGTTAAATTCCTGTCAAATGGAGGATAGTTGATATGGAAAGTTTCATTTGCTTTATAACAATTTAAGGAGGAAAATTTTAATAATCGAATTCCTGAATAGAATGGATGACATGCTTCTAAGTTTGGGAGATTAGAGTAAACGAGTAGTGAAAGCTTACAATTGTTGTTTAGTTGATGCATAAATGAATGAGTTATAAAATTTTGAGATTTAATATTATTAGACATATATGTTGTTACAGGAATGAAAATAATAGAGGGATGAATTTCTAAATAATTGAATTGCATTAGCAATACTAAAATAAAATCTTAAGTAATTAATTAGCTAACATTCTTATCCAATTGGTATTTATTTTCAATTTAATAATATTTAAAATTTTCATGTTTTTCCCTGAATAGGAGTACAAGACGAGTACAAAAGTATGAGAGTCCATTCTATATTAGAGTGAAGATGAACTGAAGAAACTGACTTTGGAGGAGGATTTGAGTGAATGCCAGAGGTCGTATCAGATATTGACAAAGGGGCAATAATTGCAAAAGAAGGCAGTAACACCTATGGTTTATATTTAGATATATTAAAACTTGCACAGAATTTTAAAAGAACCAAATGCATTCTAGATTTTATTCAAAGTCATAGTGTATGATATATTCTATATTTAAGAGAGGAAATTCAGCAACAAGAGGAGGACAATCAAATAATTGCAGCCAAGTCACTTCATAAACTGATTAAGGAGAACGCACTTTAAATAACAGAGTTACTACAAATTTATGATTTGACTGCTCAGATTCTAAAAATTTGGTCATTGCCAGTTTTGAATGAATGGATTCACACTATGGATGCATTGCTTAGAGTTATCAGTCTCAACATCGTTCTTAATCCAGCATAATAATTGATACTACTGCTGACTGATGCTTCATAGCCGGCAATTTCTCGTTAAAGTGCAGCGAAACTCATAGGCACATTGGCATAAGTAATTTGGTTAATGAAGATTAGCTTTTAGGAAATGAAATCAAAGGGCCGTTGTTGGATAGAGCTAGAAATTTGTGTTCAGATCATGATAAGGAAGTAAGATTGGTGATGGCTGAAGATGTGATAGTGAAAGTGTGTTAACAATTATCTAGTGATTTGATTGAGTGTTATTTGCTTGAAAAGATCATGGAACTGTATTATGATACAGATATCATTGTAAAGAGTTCAGGCATGAGATTATTCTTCAGCATTGCCAATTTATTATCAGTTGATGAAATCAAAAACAGATGCACTAAGCTATTCATTGATCAAATGCAAAGTTTAAATGAGGATAGTAAAGTTGTCATGTCTAAGATGTGTGGTAGAGTTTATATGTTGGTAATCAATTTTGTACAAATTTAGGTTAAAGATTATTTAAATCTAAATTAAACATCTCTATTTCTCAACATCTATGTTTCATACGCCAAGAGTAAGAACTTGGATGTGAGAATCAATTTTATTTCCAATTTCCCAGCCATACTGTCATTGAGTCTCAAAAAGTTTGAATTCTTTTAGGAGTAATATATGTTGTGTTGCAATGATACCAATGAATCTCTTCAGAGGTCTATCTTAAGTAGTCTCCATGAGGTTGTACTTCTAAGTGAGAATACAGACATTTTAGTTCAAGTTTTCATTAACTTTATGAAATCGAAATGTGTGTCAGTCATACAATTGTTAATAGTGAGATTTACTTAAATTGTCAATTCGTTTCAAAAACAAGTAGTTTGTTCATCTTATGCGTAGTCAGTAACAACCACTATTTGGTCAACCTGCCCTTGAATTACTTAATAGTCTTATTGCGAAGAATCAATGGGATCTGCAAATAGATTTACTATCGAAATTCTCGGAATGCCAACAAATATTTCCTGATCTCACTACGTTTCTAAATACTATGATCGCAACAATAAGTAAGGGAATTCCAAAAACCAAATAATTGTGTTGTCTCAACATTGCAAAGTACTTAAGCAACTTAGGGGATCTAAGGAAGAGAAAGGATTGGATCATCTAGCTATTTGAACTTTACTTTAAATCAGATAGTCACTTCAATAGAATCACCTTCATTGATATAGTCCAAGAATTCACTTAATTCATCTCTAGAAAACTATTCAAACAATATTAATTCTACGACATACTCATCTTCTCCAAGGACCCAATCCTTAATGTGAGGATGAGATTGATCAAGGTATTTTTCAATTAGAATCCCCTAGATCTTGCCAATCCTCTACAAGAAGATAGATTCTGAAGATGCACTCACTTTGAATATGTTCAATGATGCTGTCCAAGACTGTATCCTCAGTGGATCTCGTTCTTTCCAGTACATGATCCAACAGACTAAGGAAGAACTACTCAAGCCAAGTGATGAAAACGAGTTGAATCAGAAGGATCAGGAGATGCTTGAAAAGGAGGAGCAGGTCTTTAAGAATGATTAAAAACAGCGATAATTGCTATTGGATTAAGAGCGAGATGATTTGGAAATCAATAAGATAGATTTAAATGATTACTTGAACAAATACAAAAAGAAGTACCCTCTTTCCAAAATAAAAATCACCAATTCAACTTTGCACAGTCAAACCATGTTGATCAAGAAACCTCAATTGTAAAATAATGCCACTTAAGCATTCCTGGTAAAGAAGTCAGTTGACTTTGATTCCAATAAGAGTCCTCTCTTGGATGCTGCTTCCTCTTTGAAAAAGCCTGTACTCAAATCCAAAACCCCTACGACTAAGAGTATTTGTGATATTAAGAAGTAATTTAAACTTCCTAGTATCAAGAAATGAAAGAAGATAATATTATAGATTATTAATTCCTAATTACATGAGTTATTCTCATGATTCCATCTTCTTCTCATTCTCGATCTCAGGAGCTGCCTCAAATTGATTGGCTGGCAAATTGCTATATTACTGTAGAATCTCTAATTTATGCTTCTCAGCCCTTCTCCTCCCCCAAATTATGAACCCGATGGTCAGAGCCAAGTACACACAAGCCGATACAATTGCAGTAGTCTCTGAATTGGTTTGATTCTTAACGGGATATCTGTAAAATTCAATCTAGTATTTGAGTATAAGGAACAAGGACAACTACGATTAAATGATAGTCCATTACAAATAGGATGAATCCACACGCAAAAATGATAGTCCAGAAACGAATACAATCCATATTTATTATTAATATTAATGAACTGTTAAGAATAGATTCGCTATTCTGACATCTTGGATGGAAAGTATGAAATCGATCAATTGGAATCCATCCACAGAACAGAGAAGTACCGATCCACAAGTTCAGTTCAAACCAATCACTACAAAGATCTAATCTAAGACTTAATCCAAGTGTCCTATTGTCTCATATATTAGGCTCAAAGTAGATGTGCTGACAACATCAACCAACTGGGTTACATGCTCAATCAACAATCAAGCAAGAGGTACACTTAATCCGACTTTTCCACTCCCAAACTCAATATGTCCTAAGTCTCTCAGATTTCACAAATTTAAACCCCCAATAAACCCATCCAAAGCACTCCTGCTTCTCCTTCACTTTTAAACCAATTGAACAATGAGTAATCATTATTACTAAGTCATAAGCAATCTGTTGGATCAAATTGATAAATTAATAAAGATTAGGAAATTGGATTAATCTATCCTCTTAAGAATCATCAGAAAACACATGAATGATTGTCCCTATTTTGTGTAATTAGTCAAGCAAGAGTTCCGCAATAGTATTAATAGTTTATAATGATTGATTATTGATGTACTTTTGAATCATTCATGATAATTATATACTCTTCATTTCCTTTCAATCATAACAGGGTTTTTAATCACATGAATAATTTGATAATATCAAAGCAAATTTATCGATATTTACAAAAAAAGAAATGAATATATTATTATGATATTAAAATTCTAATTGTTAAAAACATTCATCCAAGTAGGTAGTCTGATTTTCACTTATATATCAATTATTTAAATGAGGAAAATAATAGATAAATGATAGAAAATAATGAAAATAATCTAATTGATTTAATACATTTATGTTAGTATAATTTGATGTATATATTATATAGGCAGTTAATTATATTTTGAAATCAAAAATGGGAGCAACAGATTCGAAACCAATCACTAAGCTTTATGATCACTTCCGATAGATTAATGTTTATAACAATGGTATGTCGTAAAGTAGATGATCATAGACTTTCCTGAGTGTCAAATCCTATAGCATAAGAGAGATCCTCATCAGAAATTGATACTTCGTACTTTGAACATAACAGATGAGGTTCACTTCAAGAAGGCTGTCCAACAATACCAAGTAAGACATAAGATCAATCATTAAAATGTGCTTAATTTGAGCAATTACTTTTACCAATTCGAGTAATAACTCTGTGGACAATTCTACAAAGTGTACTTACTTTTTGAATATCCAACGGGCAATTTGGAGTTGGTTCCAGCACTAAATGAAGCCTAATTAGTATCCTATTTGAAACAAGCGATTACAGGATTGGCATGCATGCAAAAAAATGAGATTCCGCACAATTCACTGTAACTCAAATACCTATACCTGGTCGATGACATAATCAAAGTGACAGATCCAATGTACTTTCAACATAACACAAACTTTATGCAAGTACTCCAAAATCCAAATTGTTTGGAATGCATTTATCTATCCCCAATATTGGTGAAATCAATCCAATTAAACAATTGGTAACCAAAACACAATGAACACAAGAGCGACCTATTCACATTGGGCATGCTCTTCCTCCATTTGGCCTTAAATTAACCAAGTTCAGATTGTTACTCCTACGAACAAGGCCTATTAATTGAAGATGTTTTGAATAGTAAACTCTAAAAATTGAGGTAGAGATATGGACAACAATTCTGCGATTGGATAACAACAATGTTAACAATCAAAGAAGATCAAAGGCCAGATTTTTTATAGATGGAATAATACATCACTAATTAATAAGTTCTGAGTAAACACTAATACATCCCCAATGTAATTTAAAGGTAGATCATTATAGATCCTACATATTAATCCAATACTCTATAAACAATACAACAACAACATCCAACAATTGCCAACACTACTATTCAACCAAGCTTAACTCAAGTGAATAGTCTCTAATAGATTCAATCGAGAAGAGTTCAATAAGTTTAGAACATCGCACCGCTAGAATACGTTCATTAATATTCAATTAAAACTGACACTTCATAAAGAAGTCTCACTCCTTTGGGCAAAATATTAGTACCTCAATAGTAGCTGATAGTTAGAGATAATAGAGATAGTTCAGTCCCAAGACTCAGAGGATCTAGACATAGTAGTAAGGATGTTAATTAGACATACACATATGCTATTCCAACTATACCCACAGATTTATCTATACTTAGCAACAAAAGTGGGCAGCACTAATAAATATATTTTCCTCCTAAACCTTTATCCAATAAAATGTCAAATACAAGAACAGCAACTTAGTAATAATCCAGAATGAATTATACCACTTAATAAGCACAAGAATACCAATTCAGTAGTTAAAAGGGCAGCAATATGTAAAAGTAGGCTGCTCCAATCCAGGCTCTGCAACCTGATAAATGTGACAGTCTACACTTCAAACAACCTAGTGAAACTATAAGCAAGTAGTCGTAATTTGATGAGAATATCGATCCTCAACCAGATGAAGATATCGAATAAACCACTTAAAGATAGGAATATTTCAAATTTTCTAAAATTCTTAGCGATTCAACCAATCTTCCTTAACAAATAACTGCAACATAAACTAAAGAGTTTTCATTACCATATGACATTCCTTAATTTAAGGCTGACAGTGTCAATAGACCAGAGTTTGTAGTTGAGCATTATTCAAATGGGTCACGCTATGAGGGAATGAAAGCAAATGGCATGAGACATGGATAAGGGAAGTTTTACTATCAAGATGGTGGATTGTATGATGGTGGATGGAAGGAGAACAAGATGCATGGAGATGGTAATGAATCAATTTACATTCTCTTTTAGGCACTCTCTATTATGCAACAGGACAACCTGCCTATTAAGGACAATGGAGTGAAGATTAGTTTTAAGGTCATGGAACTCTTTACAATGAGCACCCTTAACCATTGCAAGAATCTTTTGATTATAGAGATTTCGACAATGTTGAAGAGTATTATATAATATCCTATATGTTCCTAGTTATTGGATAAAGTATAGTGGAAATTTTGATTAAGACAACAAGGAAGGGTAGGGTACTCTCTATTTAACCAACGGAGAACGATTTGTGGGCACTTTCTAAAAAGATTTTATAAATGGTCCTGGAATATTCTATTGTATGAATGGCAAAATCATGGATGGCAGATGGATAAACAACAAACTAGTTTATTGAATTATCTCATTAAAAATTTTTGCATCAACAGGATTTGATTAATTATGTTCCGATTTCTATGTTCAAATTCTCATCAATCATATTTCACACTATTTTGAAATTAAGGGAAATAGTAAATTAAGTTCTGCCTTCATAATCATTAAATATTGATTTATTTAATTTAATGCAAGACCCAGAACTTTATGTTCGAAGCTTCCAAGAGGAAATTAGCCAAAGAAACAAACGCAAATAGCCTTAGCAATATCCTGATGATTTACGATTGCATGAACGACCAAGAGTCAGAAAGATCGAGCCTCCTTCTTAGATCATCAGCCAGTCATTGCTAAAGAATCAGAGCTATGTGTATCACAATCTACGTAATCTAGACCCGACCCTCTCAAAAATTTTACGAAACCGCTTATCAATTATTAAATCACCAGTCCATCCGGAAGAGATCCATAGCGATACAATCATAATTTTTCGTACCTAGGGCAAGATAATATCTTTCGCAAAGAACCCTACAATCAAAATCAAAAGGATTATGCACCTCAAAGATATTCACAGCAATCTAATGAATAAAGAATAAATTACTAAAACGTAGGCAATATGCTTATCGGCTATGATAGTTAATAATAGTTAAAAACCCAAACACAATTATAAAATTAATAGATGACTCAGTCATAATTATAGAATCAATAAGCAGCAAATGCATATCCTTAATAGCAACAAAATTATTAATACCAATAGGAATAATAATTGTAAAATTAGTAATTACAACAATAATAAATGCAATCACAATAATTACAATAATCATAACAATAACTGTCATAATCATAATTACCACAATAATAATATTAATTGTAACCAAGTCAATCAACACAATAATATTAAACATATTAATTACCATAACAAAATAATTAACAAAACTAGTATTTCTCTTAATAATATAATAATTATTAGGCAGGAACACCAAACACTTTCAAATTAAAAAGTGATAGCAATCATCAGCCTTTCAATTATTACGGGTATATATCAAATCTAATTTTATAGTTCAAGAGCTTTAAAAAACTTAGACAGTACATAAATTTATTGAATAATTTAAATTTATTATTAAAAATATCTTAGAAAAAAATATTAAATAAATACAACGACAAAGTTTGAGTAATTAAATCTAATTTTTCTTTATTTTAATTTAAATTCAAAGTTTTTTGATGGGATCTTAAGGTGAGGATTTTTAATGAAAATTTATATATAATATTATTATAAATCGAATTTCAATGACATTATTTAGAATATAGTTGATTTATTTATTGGTTTATTTACTCAATATGATAAGGTATTAGATGAGAATACCTTTGTAACTTGATAAAATAATATCACAATATAGAGTCATAATGATTTTAAAATATAAAATTCCACACACTTTATATATTTTTTAAATAATAAAGAAACATTATATAAATTTTATAAGATTAACTTAAAACAGTTTTAAAATTAAATAAAAAATGGGTTTTGGTTTCATCTTGTTACAAGTTTATAAATGAGAAAATCTTTTATCCAGATTTTTTTGGAATAATAACCAAATGCTTCTAGTTATTTGTAAATTTAGAACTAAAAAAACTTATTTAAAATAATTTATATATTAATTTTAGAAAGGGTTATTTAATTTATGTTAAATTTATTGATGTGGCTATTAAATAGAAATTTAATAATACTGATATATTTTTTGATAAGTAAAAATGCTAAATTTTTGTTTTTAATTTGTTAATTTTAGACTTTATAATTAAAATTAAATGATGAATAATGAGTTCTTAGACTATTAGGTAAGCAATTATATAAATGATCTTTAACAGACCTAAATCTACTTTCTGACTGAATTTAATTCAACAAATTGAGTGGGCTGTCAGAAATTTGAAACAATTATTTTTATAAAGTTAGTACTATATAAGAAATATTTATTATTATTAAATAATAATGCATAATCTTTCAACTACACCGAGATGTCCTATAAAATTTCCCACTGAGCATATGAAATAAGATAGTAAAAGCATGACTTTTAGAGACTTCATTCAAATGTAGTCGACCAAGGACGATATGAGATTCTAAAATACAAGACGATTGTCGCCATTATAAGGCTCTCCTATTAACTCTAAAAAGGAAAGATGGGAAAAATAGTTAAATACACTGTTACGATCTGATTAATAGAATGAGTTATTGATTAAGCATTCATCTTAATGTCAAATAGCACTGAAGGACTTCGTAAGTAAGTCCAAGAATTTTCGAAGCCAATAACAATCTCCTGCGAAAACTGCCTATCAACGATTATTAATAGGTGATTCACAAGACATAGTACTCCCTAATTCTCCTGTTCATTTTAAATTCACTCCCATCTCAACAAAAACCAAGGTATCAGGATTTGCTGGGTTAAGAAATGTACAAGATCAACTTGAACAACTAAAAAAGCCTAAAATACATTCCAGTCATAGAGAATTAAAGTAATAACCAATGACTTAGACAGAAATAATAAGCAAATTCTTTGAGACTAAATTTTAGAGAATCATAAAAACTTAGATAAAACAATATGGTTGTAATGAACTACTTGATTAACATTCAGAGACTCTTTATTCACGTATTATTCAAGATAGATAGTTAAAGGTGAAATTCTAGGGAAAATCATTAAAGTACTTGAAGGATATTTATAAGAGCATCTTAGGAATTGGGTACACACAGGAGATCTTGCTTGATCCATTTCGGATGAGAAGTATACATGCACCTTTGTTTATAAAAAAGGAGTAATTTATTCGATTTAAGTATCTCTTTATAAACCAATTTATGGACATGGAGACTCCAGTTGAGTTGTTGTTTAAAGGATGCTATAAATTAGAAAATTTTAAACCTTTAATCTTAAATGAGAAGAGTGATTTTGAGATATTTGGGGGAGAATTCGGAATTAATGAAATTGCTAAAATTACTTATGAAAAGATCTTTAAAGATTACACTTTAAGTCCATATTTTAAGGCAATAGAATTAGAGGAATAAGCAGTTAAGTTTGCAAAATTATTTGCCCAATTGATTGATCATACTGAATCACCAAATTATACACTAGAAGTCTTGAGAGAAAGACATGTAAAATACAAGCTTACGCATGTTTAATTGGCCAATTTTAAGTTTTATTTATCTACTACACTTTAAAAGTTAGGAATCAGATTTAAACATATTAGAATCTTGTTAAGGAAAATGGATACATACAAATTTGCCATATTAAACAAATAATCTTTGTAAGAATGCATAGTCAGTTCTCCTGGAGGTTATAGGGAGTTCATTGATAGTTTTGTTCGTTTATGTACAAGCGAACCAATCCTCTTTGATTTAGTGTAAAAAAGGGGGAAATAGAGATTTACTGCTCATTGTGAAAATGTTTTCCATTATTTTTTTAGAGATAATGTCAAGTCAATTACAGATAGTGATATTGAATCGATTCATAAGAATAAAACTATAATTTCAGAAAAAGTCTTTAAGAAATTCAAAGAGAAAGCCATGCAAGCAGTAAGCAAAGTAACTAATGATCCCATTTTATTAAGCGATTTTGAAGAGGATTGGGAAGAAATCACTCCTATTCTTTTGAATAGACCTAGGAAGACTACAATAAAATAACTTGGGGGATAACATGTGATCAATAGAATAGCATCTAAACTTGAAAATGAGATCATGCAACGACCTTTATTATACAAAGTATTTGAAGTAAATAGTAAAATTAAATAAGGATAATGAATCTTCTGTGGGGTAAAACTTAAAATGTAAACTCAATTTAATTCTATATGGACTCCATTTTTACAAAAGAACAGATATTGAGGTTCTTCATAAACGATTAAGAATAAGAGAGTAACCATATTTCGAATTTTAATAAGTACTTATTTATATCAACTATTTTTTTAGGCTATGAAAATAGTTATGTAAGATGAACCACAAAAATTATAATTTATTCTTGATGTAATAGATGACTACAAAAAACATATAGTTTTCGATTGATATAAATTTTATTATTTATGATATCTGACTCTTAATAATCATTTAAGGATTTCGTATTAAATTATGCAGTTAAATAATACAGAAAGAGCAAAAAGAATTCCCAAAATAATTATCAGGAATCCCAAAGGACTCACTTTGAATCATAAATACAGGGAATTTAAATCGAATAAAACTTGAGTTATGCTCTCAGCAACAGGCGAGTATCTAATGGAGATCCTTAAACGCATTTAAGATTCAAAGAATTATCATGCTCCAAAACAAGTCGGTCAGAATTGCCACTCTTTACTATTAAATAATGGAGTTAGAAAAAAAAACCTTCGTATATAATTCGAAATTCCTAATTGTTTAATGATGTTATTCGAAAAGCTAGTCATTAGAACTCATAGTAATAATTGATGCCTATAAAATCTTAAGATTAAATAATTAAAAGTTATCTTCAAAAGTTATCAGTGAAGCGTAAGGTGGCTCCGAAACCTTAAGGCACTGAAGATCTTCTCAATTTTGAGGTAGATCAAATATATTTTGATATTACTCGTAAAGATACTATGCTCGCTCCAAAATTTCCTAATAAAAATCACAATGGAGTTAAACAAATTTTTAGGAATTTGTTGGCAACGGCATATGATTAATAAATGTTTTTGGATTTACCTCGTTTAAGAGTAATTCATAATGGCATGCAATTGACTCATGCTCATTTTTTTAAGTTTAAGTATCACTTTCTGAATAGGTTTATGCTTTTAAACATACCAACAGAGAAAATGTTCAATTCCTGTGAAAAAATTGAAAACATGAGGCCTTATATATTGAATGAAGTCTTGGAATATGAGATTTATGGGGGAGAGCAAGGTATCTAAGCCATAACTAAATCCATGTATAAGAAAATCTTGTCTGATGTCACACTTGCACCTTACTTTGAAAAAATTGATGTGGCTACTCAAGAGATAAAATTTGCAAGATTGTTCTTTCAACTCATATATCATTTAGATTCGCCAAACTATTCTTGTGAAACTTTAAGAGAAAGACATGTTAAGTATGCATTAACAAATGTTTAGCTCACAAATTTTAAATACTATCTTTCTTTAACTCTTTAAGAATCAAATATTCCTTGGAAAAATATCAGACAACTATTACGCAGAATGGACATCTATAAATATGCTATAATCAATAAGAAAGATCTCTAATATTATGTGAACTAAATTGGTTTTCATTAATTCATTGAAAGCTTCGTGAATAGCTGCTAGTAAGATACCATGCTATCAGAACTAATAATTCGCAGAGGCAAGCAAAGATTTACTGCTCACTGTTGCAATATATTCCATTACTTCTTCAGATATAACATAAAAGCTATTACTAGAGATGATCTACATTTAATACATTGCAAAAAAGCCATAATAAATGAAAGGATTTTTGAGAAACTCAAACAAAAAGCCGTCTAAGAAGTCAAACTATTAACCAATGACAACTTGATTATAGAGGATTTCAAAGAAGATTGGGATGAAATTAAGCCTATCATTCTGGGTGAAGCAAGAGGTCAATTAATAATAAATTTTGGAGAGGATTACTTGATTTCAAAAACTCAGTCGATTTTAGAGTACGAATTTGCTCAAAGACATCTTAATTAAATATATGAGACAGAAGAAGCCAATATGAGTAAAAGTATTTTGTGCAAACTTAATTTGTTACTTTACGGAGTTAGATTTTTTAAGAAGTAGGATTTGCAAATAATCCATAAAAGATTCAAAATAACTTACTCCTAATATTATGACTTTTAATAAAGTTTTAAAGTTGCTTTGGAGGATTATAAAGTCTTAGATTATGTGCATTAATTAATCGAAGAATATGAGTAATTCATTGTCTCTGACTGAACTGTTTATTATAAATTATTCAATCATTTTAAACTTTCATGTAAGAACTTTGCTGCCAAATCTAAGGCTTACTTAGCTACTTCTTAGTTATAAACTTCTGGTCTATCTTGATTACAAAATGCGTGTCCTACTCCTGGCCATATTTTCACTTACAATCTCGTATTACCTTACTATTATGCAGTTTATTCTAATCTTTTGGCATCTTAAACTGATGAGAACCCTACCATCTCATCATTTTAACCAAATTAAGCTAAAATTGGTCCATTTGCATTTGATAATTTGAATGCACTCAAGTCACATACTCCATAAAATGGTGCAGCAGCAGATATTATTTTAGATGTTGTAATCGCTGCTAAACTAAGTGCTCCTCCCATACAAAATCCCAAAATTCCCACTTTTTGACAATGCAACTCTTCTTTTAAATAGCGTGCTGATTCTTCTATATCAATTAAAGCCTATTTCCAATCTAATCCAGAAAGAAGATGTCCTGCATCTTCTGTATCCTTAGCTATCTTTCCTCTATACAAATCAGGCACAACACATTTGAATCCATAAGAACTCATGATATCTGCTGCTTTACAAATGGATGAATTGAGACCCCACCATTCCTAAATTACAACCAAACCATAAGGCGCAGGTGTAACATAGACTGGCAGTTTTCCACCAATTGTTCTAGTAGGATTGGCCTTTTAGTAAACTAGAGAGTATAAGAATTAAGGCCTTAAAATCTATCTTTGCATATAAATTATTTTTATAATAAATTCATAATTATTCTGAAAATACTTATTTAATTCATACTTCTAAGTTACCTCACTTTATCTTTAAGGTTTTTCTAAAAATCAATTAAGTATGTCTAACTTCTGGCAAATTCCAAATTCCTCACTTGGCTCCAGCATTTAATAAATTTTTCTCTATTTGTACAAACTTCTAAAATAGAGCTGTAATCGATAAAGATACTCCCATAACTATACTTTCTCTTAAACCTTGAATACTCCGTTCCTTTCATATATTTTGCTTCCCCCATTTATGACCTCCTAAAGTAATTCTTCCTTATATCAGAGATGGATTTGGCTACATTTAATAATTATTTATATAATGAATTTGCATAACTTAATATTTGATTAGTATCATAGCATTCAGTACTTCTTTATTCCTTATTTCAAAATCTGATATCCACCATTGTTTATAGGCTCTAATTTCTATGATTGTGTTGATAGAGGTGTAGAGAAACCCTAAGATTAGGATACCATAAATTATGCATCCTATTAAGCTATCTTTTATCTATAATTTGCTAATTCCTTTGCATGTTAACTAATCATTTCTTTGATTCTCTATTCTAATTCACTGTTCTTCTTTCTTAAATCATAAAGTTCTTTTATTGTTGAATCGTCGACCTAGGTTTAAGAATATGGTTATGATTTATCCTAGAAAAGAATTTTCTCGTATTTCTATTTATACTATTCATTCTCCTTTTCTAATTAATTAATTCGATTTCTCTGCATCTCCAACACTTATCTCAAGGCATCCTCATTTTAAAAGCGTCTAAGTTATTTCATAATGAAATATACTCAGAAACTGAATTGCTTCTTCCATCTGCTGTCTTTACTCTTTTAGTTGAGATGATATTCGTAAATGTGTTTTTCATTTGAGAAAGTTATTACCTTTATAACTAATTTTCCTTCCTCAATAATTCATTCTCTTGTTGAGTCAATTTCACTCTTTTCTAAAGAAACTGAATATCCTTATCCTTCTCCTTATTACTATTAGAATCCATGTTATTTTAATTAATAACTATTATTTAAAAACTCAACTAGAAATATTACATAAATAAGGAAATCACTTGAAAATCCTATCATACAAGAGTGAAACGGTAACAGGAAACAATTATATAAACAATGTTGAATTCATTAAAATATTTTCATTTAACTATATTTTGTTATTTTGGTTCTATTTTCTGTTGAAAAAAAACGAGGGGATGCTTAAATTGAGTTGCTTCTTTAATCGAGCTATCGAATTTATCTTTGCTTTATTGGACGTAAATCCTTATTTTTCTTCTCACAGGCTTGAACCATATTAAAGCACTACTGAATTAATTCAGTCCTTTTAAATTAGATACCGTCTACTTCTACATCAGAAGGGTTGTAACCTAAACAGGCAACCTTGAAGAATTAGAACAGTTGTATCGGTGATCCTGAACATGAGATGCAATCAGTATTTAATATTATAGAGTTCCTTTTATTTCCAAAATTTACTTAACTCTAAAAATTTTATTAAATAAACTACATTCATTATCGAGAGAGCACTGTCAATTTAAACTTCCTTTGCACCTAATAATTTTAGACCTTCCTTATCCTATTCATCTTATTTTAACAAGCTTAGCATATTGGAAGATAATTTTATCATATTTTGTTGAAATTTTTTCAGAAGATTTATTTCTTCATTCAAAATCTTATAATCACTCCTTTAGAATTCACTCTACACCTCACATATTGATTACTATAAATTAGTTATAGATAACTTCTAATTTATGGACTGTTTTTATATGTTTTGTTCTATGCTAGCTTAGAATTAGATCTAAGACAAATAGAGCTCATCGCTAAGTTATTTGATCTTATATTTTAAAGAATCAATTTAATTTTATTTTTCATCAATTTAAAGATCGAAATATTCTCTTAATTAACGCAACTATTCTTCAAAATAAACTAAATTTGCTGATTATTTCCTTTTTTTTTAGTTCTATTAATTTGAAATTTCATTATGTTTTACTATTTTTTGATCTTCTCCTCTTTAATCCTCTGCGTTAGAATCTTGATCGTTATTTTCCATATTTTTTACAGTTTCTTAAACCTTCTAAAATCTTTTGGTAGCATTCCTTACTATATCTTATTACTAATTCATCAGTTCTTAGATACTGATATCATTACTCATATTTAAAATATATTTATCAAACTCATCGAGTTTTTACTTTTCATATGATGCATATTTATAAAAAAACTTCACAGGTTAGCTAATAAAAAGAGCATCATTTATCTGCCTTTATACATGATATTGTTGATAATATAATAAATATATTTCTATTGAATTCATCCTATGAGATATTTTATCATAATCTTATAATTTTATTTTAATATTTTTGATTTCTTCCTGTTGCAGTTGACCTCTTAAATTCATCTTATCTAAAGTGGAATCCTGTTTAATTTTTAGCGAAATTTTTGATAATTCCTCTTTCATTTCATTAATTTTCATTGATTCAACCAATAACTTGTTCTCTTAATGAGAAACTTAACTTATCAACTTTCTCTAGCCCTACTCAATGTCCATTTGTGATTTTTTTAGTTCCTGTAATTAAAAATTATTATTTTCATTCAATTTATTCAAGACTTATTCTATTGAAGATTTAAACAATGTATTGTTTGCCTTAGCATCCTCCAGTTCTCTTTTTGATTCTATATATTGCTTCTCTGCTTGCTTATTCAATATTGTAAATTCTTAAATTTGGTTTTTAATCAAGGAAATCTGTTATTGTTTTTCCTAAGATTATGTGATACAAAGTTTAAAATTATCTTGTAATTTATCCTCTAAAATTTACAACTTTTATTTCAATTCATTATATTTAGGTTCCATATTTTCTTTTAAAGTTGAAACTTCATTAACTTGCGCTTTATATTTTTGAGACATTTCAGTTATCAGTGTCTAATTTTTATAAAAATTATGAATGTGAGGTTCCATTAATCTTTATATGAGAGATGTTAGCTTGTTTTCCAATTCAAAGTTTTCAAATTTATTCTAAACGTTTAACATCAGTATAAATGATATGAAAATTATATAAATATGTTTTATAAAATAGTTTGAACTCTCACTTACTCATCATAAAAATATTATTATGATATCCTATATTGTATTATATAACTACAACTTAGTCTCCTTCAACCTATCCACTAATCTGAAGCAGCGACGTCCTTATACTAAGAATAAACCATCAAATTCAATTTTCTAGCCTTGCATGATCTAATGTATAAATTACTCTTTCCAATGAAATGTTCTTTTTAAACAACGCCAAACTCCCCTAAAGAGGAATTTCCTTTGTTTTGCACAAGAAAATAGATCGATCTTTTAAGAAGTTTATAATTCAGATTAAACTCCAGATTTTTTCCTATTAAAAAGATTTTAGAGTTTGAATCTAAAATCCATTAATTATTGTAATATCATTTGAAGAAGATCAAAAAATAAAATTGATGAAAGCCCATCTTCAGTGATTAAAAATTTAATCTACCTTGGTAGTACCATAGACAAAAATCCTTGTGCATTTATGATGTCTCTTCAGTTTTAAAGAATTACCTGATGAGCTTCCAAAATTTTTAATTAATCAACAATGAAATTGGTTTTATACTTTGTAATCAAAAATTTAGGTCCTGAACTAAAAAAAAATCTTTGAAGCATTGTACATAGAAAATATTATAATTTTTCAAACTAGTTAGCTTTAATTTCTTCCCAAACTAGCTTTTGATCAATTTTAATTTAAACAACCTCATTGTTTCTTAGAGTCAATTTCCACTGAATAGCATTTAATTATTATTATGTAATGATGTTTAGTTTAAAAATAACTAATAACTACTCAAGCACTAGTCTTATAAAAATTGCAAAAACAAAATGACATTTTTTTGAACCTCCAAAATCATCAGCTGAAATCACTCTATTATAATATCCCAAACTATATATTTGATATTTAGATTAAGAGAGACATTTCTTTCCAATTCTTATCTTATTCGCGTTTTTCTCTATCATGTTCTTTGTAATAGATATTTATGGACCATATAAGTTAATCATCCATAAAGATGTATCCCTTTACATGACCATAAATCAATTCTACATAATATCATATATAATTTACTTTCAAAACTTGACTTTTAAGTTTATTGAAGAATATGGTGGCAACTCAAATAATTTGCTTGCAATTTACTTGCTACTACGACCTCCAATTTTGAAAAATAAATGTGCTTTGGCATTCTGTGATTTAATCACGCATCAACCAACTATTAGCCTTATAGACCATTCATTTTGTATATAACGATCTATGTTCTAATTTCCTTGAATGATTGAGATACAACTTAAGGTATTCTAATCACTATATTTGAGTAATATCAAGATCACTGTTTTGAAACTCATAAATAAAATAACATCTCCGATTTCAATACATTAAAAATGAATTTTCAAAAATTTATTTTTTAATCATATAATTAACTTTATTAAGGAGTGTTTCATTCTTTATTATTTATATATTAATAATTTCAATTTTCACAAAATATGTGGTTAAAGAGAGAATTTTGTTTAATTGCAATAATTTTGTTAATTAGTTAAAATGAGTTTGGGCCTGCTTCTAGAAGATTTTTGATTATCGTTTTCATATACCAAAGCATAACTCTTTGTTCATTATCTTAATCAGTAAATAACTTGAATCTTTCAAGGAATGTAATAAATTTCCTGATCTGAACTCTATTATTGATTCTTTATGAGAAAGAAAAAAATATATGTTTTCATTGTTTTGTTTCGAATTACCATTCTTTCACATGTAATAATATTGAAATTCTTAAATTAAGTGTGTTTATTAAAGAAAAATAATAATCTGAAAGATATAAGAAATATAAATAAATATTAATAATAATTATTATATTATTCTTATGCCCAGTCGGTAGAAGAGAAAACAAAATATAATAAATCAAACTAATTTATTCCATTTAACCTCTTTTAGCTCTTCTATCTTTCTCTCTATTCGCATTCTCCATTTTTTGCTTCTATTACAACTCGTTACTCATTTATTAAATTATTAATAATTATGAGAATAAGTTACAAGCGTACGATCTTTCTTACTTTTTTAAAAATTTCAGATATTTTTATAAATATTAAATTGCTTATATCATTGCTTATCTTTATTTTTTTAATCATTTTATTTATCATTAATTGAGGATCCTTGCTTTTCTCCAATTAATTAAGTGAATTTATTAATTATTCGTAAATTAGATTGGAATTGTGTATTTTTTATGTTTATTAACAGAAAATTTATAAGTATAACACATGTATAAATATTATCAATTCAATAACTTTTTATTTTATTAAAAATGACTATATAAATTTATCAATCATGAGTTCATTCTAATGAGGATTTGCGATCTATTGGCGAAGTGATGCTATATGAGTGTTAATTAAATTAAAAAATATAAATACATGTAGGAATTAAATGAAAAGATTTATGAAAAGTATAAATGCTAGTCTTGTCCAACAATTTCTCCTTTGTTAGTAGATAAAACCCATTATAATATTTAAGATTTTTGACTATTAGATTTCGAAAGCTCTTCTCATAGGATAATCTTAGCTTTAGTGGAATATATTATTAATGGATATGTTATATTGTTGTTCTATGTATATGTATATGAATCATTGTTCGACTTCAACCCAGCCTCCTTCAACGTCTGCACTCATTTAAATCAATGAAAACTATATTGATAATGTCAAGATCTTACATCAAAGTTTTAAATGCAAGGTTGATCCTAGCTGTAAGTAACCTTCTTTCCATTGTAATCAGTGCTTTCATATAAAGTCACTCTTCCTTATGGTGGAACTCTGATGGATCTAATTTATGGTGGGATATTGTCCTTTTAGAAATCAGGAGATTTAGAGCAGAATTCGAATGAAGCTCCCTTGTAATCGCATTCGCTATAGAAAACTGCACAGGCTTCTTTTGGTTCATACCATAACTTGAAATCTCTGAAACCCCAAGATTCTAAATGATATATCATTATAAATACCATCAGCAGCATCTTAATCCAAAGTGGATGTAAATACAATTTCAGCTTTTGGAGCTTAATGATTAAAGATTTAATCTACTCCTGTAATGCCATCAAACCAAACTCCTTATCCACAGAAGTTAGCACCTCCGGTTTAGAGATTCCATGAAGTCTTCCATACCTCGGTTCCATCAACCTTGATAATCATGAATTCTCCATCCCAAGAGTCAATTTTGTAGATGGTGGATTAGAGTCTAAGTCTTTTGTGTGGTGGGATATCAAATGTCTTGGTTGCACTAGCACCAACACCCATAATATCAAAACCTCCGACCATTGATTTGCCACTGCATTCGTTAATTTATCTTCCTCCTTTGTTTTTATTAAGAACCCATCCGTTAATTCCTGTGAATTTATCTTCCAAAAAGGATTATTCCAAGAGAATGAAGTTTGGTAAAGCTTAGCATTTTCCTCCAACTAAAGCCCAATTATTGGCACATTCTAATAATAATAACTAATTGTTATACTTTTGCAATCAGAATCTTTAGGTCCTGTGCATTCATCACAATTTTCAGAGCAGGATGCATAGAAGATGTATAAATCTCTCAAACCAAATGATTCATTGTTTGCAGCTTCATCTAAAGTTGTGGTGAATTCAACTTTAGCTTAATCACCAGTATGATCGATGTCAACTTCAGTTCTGGCAAACATTGATTTCCATTCAAAGACAGGGCATCCACAGATTTTGCCAAAGTAACCCTCATGCCATTAGAATCTTCTTTCCCAAACTAACTTTCCATCAATTTTAATTTAAGCAGCTTCATTGTCCCAAGAGTCAATTTTAGCCCAAAGCACTTTAATCTTCAACTTGTAATGAGGTTTGATCTTTAAGACCTTACTAATTACAGTTCTAGCACCAGTCTTGTCAAAACCACCAAATAAGGCGACACCTTTGAATTGATAATTATTTATATATACCTCCACAATTAGTAGCGGCATTTTATCCACCAGCAACCTCCCAGCCATCAGCACCTAATTAGTTTGAATCTAAGGATCCCCAACTATTAGCGAACGACTACCAGAATTAGCAATTCTCAGGTTTATCATCAACCTAACAAGCAGAGCAACCCTCTGGACATCTTTCAACAGACAAAACAAAGTCTCTTATGGCCCAAGATTCCTATTTTATAAGATTTATAACATTACATTATCAGCAGCTTCATTCAAATTTGATGTGAACACTACAACTGCAGTTGCACCTGTATGTTTGATATTTAGATTAAGATTAAGAGTCATTTCTTTCCAATCTCCACCTTATCCACACTTTTATCCATCACCTTCATTATATTAGAACTTTCTGGACCACACAAGTTAATCATCCACAAAGATGTATCCTTCTTCATTGTCCCATGAGTCAATTCTAAATATTTATCATATATCCTTACTTCCAAAACTAAACTTTCAAGTTTATTGAAGAATGTGGTGGCAACTCAAATAATTTGCTTGCAACTGCTCTGGCACCAAATTTACCGAAACCTCCAAACATTTTTGTGCCACTGCACTCAGTAACATGACCTGGTCCACCAGCAACGGCCCAACCTATTAAATAGTTTATCTTATTACCATCTGCATCATTAAAAGCATTTCCTGTGAATGATTATGACACTACGACTGGCTCTCCTAACACTGTAACCGCACTACAAACTAGTACCAATAGAATGACTGTTCTGTTTTTCATAAAATAAATATTACATATCTCAGTTCTCATGAATACTTAAAAAACGAATTTTTCATAGTTAATTAAATTTTATTCTTAAAATCGAATATTGAAAAAAAACTAAATATTAGCACGGGGATTTATTTACTATCCTTTAATTTACAATCATATTCAATAGTTCTTACTTTTATTTATTTATTATAGTGAATTGTAAAAAAAGTTTCATCTTAGTTGCAACTCGTTTTTTCTCAAAACTACTTGATCCTTATCCATTTAATTACAACAAAACTCATAAACTCTATATTTAGATCTCTAAATTTGAATAAAAATAAAATCGCTCATAATTTTAAACCTATTTTGCTGATTTAGGGATTAAAACCATTTTTTATAATATTAGTTTATGTGTTGCAAAGCTTAATGTAACTATATAAATATTCTCAATTATTCCTAAACTTATTATACTTTATGATCAATTCATTTAAGTCCTTTTTAAAAGAAGCACTTAATATTCAACATAACAAATATAGTTTTATTAAATAATAATTTTTGATTCAATCTAATTTTTCTTTGAAAAGCTACTTTTACTTGGGTTTTTCAGATGACTTCTGTGTTGACTTGTTACTTCCATCATGAATTTTGAAATATTAATTTATGCATATTAACTTCAATAATTTCATAGAATATCTGTTATTTAATGATTTGCTTTGCCTTGATTTCGAGATGAAATTGAGAATTTGAAACTTCTGAAATGATGAATTAAAGCAATGAATAATTTGCCTAAATTAAATATTAAATACTTCAATTCACAGGTTATCAAATATTGGTTAAAGAATGAGAATTTACGATAAAAATCTTGATTAGAGGCTTGAAGCTTCAATATAAGGAAAAAATAAGAAATTATATCCTGTATTTATTCTCAAAAAGAAGTCCAATTTAACAATTAAAATGATATGAATAAAGGATGATGTTTAAGGAAAACAGATAAATTTTATTACTTCGACTTATAAATCACATATTCAGTATTCAAACCTTATATTTTTTTTTTTGAGGTAGTTAGAAATGGAAAAGTTGCAGATTTAATCAAAATATAAATCATTATAATGAGTTAAGATAATAACCCGAAACAATTTATTTTTTGATTTTGAGTATTATACGATCTCAAAATTAAAAGAATAAAGATTTTGAGCCATTCCTAATTGAGTATGCGATAAAAATTTTAGTTAACCGATAATCTAACAATAAAATCTTCTTTAAAAGTAATTCAAATATGATTGAATAAATTAAAAATAATTTTTAGCTTAGGAATTAAATTAATTAACATACATCTCTGTGTCTAATATACATTAAATATACATTAGAAAAACGATATCAACAAACCAAGAAAAATTATTTTTTGTATTTCTTTCGGTTTATCAAATAATACAGCTAAAATAAGTCAAAGGAAATTTAGTATATAAAACTAAAGGATTTTGCAAATAATCTTATTATTAATAACAGTAACATTTAGATGTTTATCTACAAACAGAAACTATAATTAATATTTATTGAAGGATAATTAAATATTAAATTAATTTAAAATAATTATAGATCTCATGTAAAATATTGTTAAACAAAATCTCTCTCGCTTGTCTTGAAATATTTTATTTCAAATTAGGTAAGTAATAATCGTAATTGTTCACTAATGAAAAATATTATGTCAACCATTTAATTGTTAATTTACATGAATTCTTCGTTTATTAATTGTAAACTCTTAATTTGATAGTTCCTATTAGGTATCAATTAATTCAATTTTATCTTAGAAGTGAACAATCAAAGCTAAAATCACTTCCATTTTGAAATATCAGATTATAATTGTTCTTCAAAATTATGATATTTAATTTAAAAATGCCAAAGATATTAGAAAGCATTTCTCTAACATTGTTAAAATTAAAAAATGAATTCGCGTATCAAATAGACATATTTGGTCAACTTCCGAGTTTTACAGTTCTCAATAGAGGTAAATACACATCCAAATTTGGATTTGTAATGTCAATATTGATTGGAACACTAAGTGCATACTATTTGATTACTGAAATCTCTTCTATGATTTCAAAATCCAAGCCTTCGATATATTAAACGGAAATATAAGTTATCGAGACAGATGTAAAATTTGATTCTTATAACTTAGTCCTATTATCTTCATAATGAAAATTTCACCTTAGCCATATCAATCGCCAACCGCTTTTCCGAACCGTTGATTGGAATCAATAAATACTTTAATTTGAATGTGAGTCAGTGCAGTAGAGAAAGGATAAGAAATCCATCAACAGGAAATATAACAGTCTCGTTGAAGTATAAAATAAATTAAGTTAGGTGCATTGAGATGCCCATAGAGCCTTGCAACATGTCGCATTTTACAACTGACCTTCAAAAAGAATACTTTAAGACGATAAGATTCGGAGGAGTTTAATGTATTAATAGAGATTATATAAAAACAAATCCCCCAGTAAGAAATAATTTTATTTAATTAGGTTTTAAAAGGTTAATTCAATGCCTTAGAATATAAATATTTATATATATAATTCACAGCTTGCCAGAATACTAGTACTTTTCAGGGCTGTGCTCCTCAAGAAGAAATCGAAGATATCTTATAAGCTGGCCATTATAATGTCTATAAAAGTGATTATTTAGCCTAACTTGATAATCCTGGAGAACCATATAAATAAATTATTACAAATGAATTCAGTGGTTTTTCATACAGCACATCAAAAACGATTGTGTAGTCATACAGAGTTGTACAGACTACCACAGATGAAGGATTGATTTGGGATGTTGAAAGTGGTTAGTAAAATATTCAACAAACTGATTGGAGAGAAATATCAGACTTTTATAACTAATAATATCTAGTTCTTCACTTCATTAGGTTAGACTTCAAACAGACTAATAACATTAGAACATATATCAAATTGTAAACTATTTTAGGAAAACTTGGAGGTATATTGTAAATCTTTATAATAATTGTTGCCTTAATATCTAAACCTATTATAGATAATTTGATGAAGCTTGAAATAGCAAATTCTCTCTATAGGTTTTAAGGCTCAACGGAAAAACAAATCTAACCTCCTACTCAAGCTTAAATAATTTAGACAGATAGGGAATTCTCATCTCCAATCAATTTGAATAATCAACCGATAGAACATTTAAGTATAGAAAGTAATTAAAAGCTAAATCAATCTACATGGGAGACATTTCTTATAATTTTTGGGTTTTAGAAAGATAAACATTAACAATTTGTGAAGGCGAGAACTAAAATCATAAAGAATTTAGATATTGTAACAATTCTAAAAAAGTTATAAGAGATAGATTTGTTGAAGAAGATCTTATTTACTAAAGAATAGATAGAAATCCTGAAGAATTTACCGCCTCCTCTAATTAATACGAAATAACCGATTCCTCAAAAATTGATAGCGCATGATTTAGAAAAAGAGAAAGAGAATCAATTAAATATATCACCATCGCAATGTAAATAATTATAGTCCAGTTAATCTCAATTTGTTCCAAAATTGAACCCAATTTTGTCGAAATCTTACATCAATAACTAATTAAAACTATATTTAGATCATTGCAATGTATTTTAATAAAAATAATGAATAGGATTCTTAAAAACAGAAAGGGAAACTATCTACCAGTTTTATAAAAAGCCCTTGCTCTCCTTTATCAGACATTCAATTAATTCCATGTGATGAAATAGAAGAACCAACTCCTTAGAAACCAAAAAAATGATTTAAAAACTAACTTAAATAGATATTCAAATCTAATAGAATAACATTATTATGAATTGCTTGTCATTCTCAAATTTATTTCCTTTTTTTTGTAGAATTTCAATGATTTTCCTAAATTTGGAAGTTGTATTTCTTTTTCTCCACACAATCAAAGATTTTATATTAGTTTTCACATTGGCAGACCAATTGTATTGAATTTTTTAGATACCAACTTTTAATTGTTGCTCATTTCATCAATTTGATTTCTAGAATCTCAAATTGTCCATAAAAAATAAAATCTTTATCTTCATTTTTAATCTGAAATCATAAAGGCACTATTATTTAACTGTTCAAATTTATATTATTTCTTCTCCTTCTGTTTTCTAGCTTTATTCAAAAAATATATTATTAAGAGGCTTTTTCTTGATTTTAATCACTTATATGTTTTTTCTATTTTATTATAAATATTATATATATTATCTACAATGAGATTTACATCAATTATGTATCAAAACTTAAAATTTAGCTTAACTAAAAATATATATTAATCAAGGTTATAAGATGATGAAAATTTGAAGAGATTGAAATAATCTATATCGATGTTAATCTTTATATTATTATTGTTGTTCATTTTGGTTCAGTGTGTCCAACGCTTTTGCTGGCCTCATAATAGCCAAACTCGGATGGCAATCTATAATTTCCAGGTGCAGGGGTTTGATCTGATTTTAATCAATTATTTACGTTTTTCATTAGAACCTGTTCTTCTTGCTTCTTTTGGGAAGCTTCTCACATTTGAATCATGGAATTTAGATACAAAATATCTGCCATCCTATATATTTATTAAACTTTAATACTTATTAGATTCCTGTCTTATCAAGTCCATATTGTCCTGGACCAGGTACTTTAGTGGCTATAAAAATAAGAGAGGTACTCATTCTTACAATAATCAGTTGTAAATCTCTTTGAGGATTTTGGATTGAATAAAGTGGCACATGAATTGTTGTATTTTGATATTGGATATCTCCCCTTCTCATTGATAGCTGGTAAGGATTCATATTATCCTGGTCCTGGAACTTTAGCATTGGAAATTAAAGAGCTTTTCTATGGTTTCGGCCTCATTGTGTATCTTATATCGCTTAAGGTAGTTCCTAAATCATAGGTTCCAGGAGCTAAAGGTGTAAATTGAAGAGTTGTAACCTGGAGTTTTGAGATTTAAGGTTCCCAATATGCCTGTACTGGCCATTTTATCTCTACTCATTCCAAATTTAAATCCTTTATTCTTTTTCTAATTATTTTAGACATCACTGCCTAAATCATATTGTTGGGGAGATGGACTTGGAACAACTACTTTGGTGAAGTCAACCCTGTATTTTATATTTCAATTGTACTTATTGCCTTTGCCGATGCCAGCTGATCTTTTTTCAATCATTGAAGGAAGATTGTAAAAGGCTTATTAGCAACTAAAATTGAGATCAGAATCAGTTACAATACTGGATTGGCTAATTTGCCAAATCTCTCTGATTTGGAGAATGTCCATAGATTCTTCGATGGACTAAGGTTTAAAGGTGATTGGCAAATCTGTTGACAGGTCGAAACAGTTATTGACATTATAAAATAATTATTGTAAATCCATAAAAACGAAGTATTCTAATAAGTATTCGCAGTATTCAAGAATATAATGCAGACTGACAGCAATTGTATTAAATTCAATGGAACTGGTAGAATGAAGAATAAATTTTCACGATTGGGCTAAGATATTTAAGTAATTAATTTTTATAATGCATTTTTGATTACATAAATATAGGAAAATTAACCATAATTGCATATAGATAATTTGAAATTAGAGTGTAAAGGTTCAGTAGATATGAATCTTTGATGAATTCAAGGGAATTAAGATTAATATTTATAATTATAAAATTGAATAATTTTATGATTTATGGTGTGAAATTCAAACAACCTAAGTGGTATAAATTCTATATATGTCATCAAAGGTTGCAAGTTCTTCCTCCTTTTGCTTTCTAAGTTCCAAGTAATGTTAATATGAATCATTGTAATCCTAAGAATAAGTATTCAATCATTACATCTTAGCTAACTTAATAAGCGATATCGATTTGCTTAAGTCTTGCATTACATTGTCTAGCAATTCCAACTCTACTAGTTAATTGATTTGTGAGTTTGATCTAATATGATAAATAAGAGTACTAGGTTTTCTTTTTCTCCAGCAATTTATTTATCAAAGTATTGATTTTCTAATTCAATGTGCAATTTAAAGTCAATGTAGATCATGGAACTTCTGACTTCATCTTCTTATTCTAAATCTAATGACTTTTTGGAATGCCTTTCAATTGCATCTAAGACTTTTCTGATATCCTAGAGTATATTAAAATTATGATTATACACTTAAATCTTCCTCTTCTTCACCTTATTTTTCACCGCCATCGTCTTTATTGGATTATTTATCATCTCCACTCTTTTTATCATCACCATTATTATCTCCATTACCATCTCCATTACCATCTCCATTATTATCTCCATTATTATCTCCATCATCATGGGTACCTTCTTCACCAGTTGTATTAGTTGGTTGGTCATCTGTTTTATCATCATCATTAGATTCTTCCTCTCCTGCAGGTTCATCAGAATGTTATCCATCATCTTCTTCAGAAGCTTCCTCATCTTCAGCCTCTTCTTCTGGCTTCTCTTCTTCTTTTTTTGGTTATGGTTTCGGTTATGGCTTGGGTTTAGAGGATCCTCCTTGAGTTCCTGAGCCTCCTCCATTAGTGAATTTAATGTGTAAATCATCATCACCACCTGTGCCATCATCATTTTAAACAACGATAACAGTGTTAATAGAATCATCACATTGACTAGGAATAAGGACCACTGCACTATCAGCCTTATCATCACCATCCCCAGAGGAAATAACAGTAGTCTATTATTATTGAAGGAGCACTTTGTTGGCATTTCTTTTTCCTCTTCTTTGAGTAAGTGCTGATTCAGTGAGATCTTATTCTTCCCCTTCGATGTTTGGTAATACATAGGAACCATCATCATTCATTTAAATTTATTCAACCATGGTTAAGAGCTTGCCTGTTTGATAGATTTACACGAATTTGTGTACTTTTTATAAAAATTCTTGTTTTTAGGCAGGTGTTGCATTGGAATCAAGTTTGTCTAATTATTCTCTCAAGAATTTGACTAATGCCAATGCAATTTTGTAATTCTTGATGTCATGTACGTAATTGTTGCTTGCTTAACATCTATTGATAGATGATGTACATACCTGTTAACTTCCAAAACACCTAATCTTTGAGAATTCAATCCCTATCTTTTTTACATCCAAGCTACAAAATCATTAGTTATTTTGATATCCCTCTATTTGCTTTAAACATCTTCGTCTTTTTTTGCACATTCACTTCTTTACTCTGATGCTGAGAAACCCAAGGCATCGATTATTGATTGCTTGTTTTTCTTATGTAATTCCCAGGCTGCATCCAAGGCCTCTATATCTAATTATACATTGGTTTTCAAATCTGTCAACAGTTGTTTGACAGTATCAAGATCTGAATTTGCATGCAATGTATACATGCAAAGAGCCACTATAATCAGTGTCCACTTCATTTTATTATTAATAACACAAAAACGGATTTCGAAATCATAATTGCTTTAAAAGTTCATAATATAATTGTTTTGTTCTCTCGTTCAGTCGCTATGGAATCTCCAAGTTCAGAATCACAATATGATCTCCCTTCTTCCATTGAGATTACCCATATTGAATTCCGTACTGCGGTATTTGCAACTTAGTCCTAGGCTATTGAGCTCCTGGAATGGAAATCTGATGCATTTATCAATTCGATACCTCTAATGCACCCCAAATGGTTTGAATCTGTTTCTTGCATCCCAACACCATCTCACTCACACTCAACTCTAATTCACTTATGATATTATTTCCATCTCTCCTCAAAGTGTTATCCTCCTCCACCTCTACTTCTATCAGCAAATCCCCTGGTTCTCCCTAGTATTAACTCTACTATCAAAGAATGTAAATACTGCATGGCCATATCTTGACTGTCTAATTATGGTTCCATTTTGAATTCCCTTTGGTAATTCTATTTCAATATCAAATTCTTTTTCAACTATTCCACTCCCCTCGCAAGTGTGACAAGGATCTCTAACTACCTTCCCCCATCCATCACAATTGTTGCACTTGACTTCCATCGAACTCCCTCCATCTACATAAAACAACCACCCTGATCCACCACAAGAAAAACACTTTTGTGCTGTCTTCCCTGGAGCACATCTACTCCCCTTACAAGTATCACAAGTCTTCTATCTACTATACGATAACTTATGCTTTCCACCAAACACTGAATCTTTGAAGCTCAATTTCAAATCCAACTTTATGTCATCTCCCTTTTTCTTTGCATAGTAGGCTTTCTTTTTACCATGCTTTTACTAGAAAAATTGATCAAACTCACTAAATATCGTCTCATATTCTGCTTAATGAAATTTTGAATAATATTTGCCCTTCGATTATTTCCTCCTTGCTTTTTATTAATAACTATTTGCATTGCCTCTCAATTCATCCTCAAAATCTTGTTCATCGCTATTATCATCTTATACCCCACATGTGTCATACATCTTTCTTTTGCTCTATGCTATTAAATACTAATACTTCATCTGATAGAATCTCATAGGCATTATTAACTTGAGTGAACATCTTAGCAGCATCCTTAGCAGAGTTTTTATCCGGATGGTAAAGCTAAGCTAATTTGTAATATGCTTATTTTATTTCTTACGGTGAAGCTCCCTTGTTTATACCCAAAACTTTGTAAGGATTAGAAATAGTTGAAAATGTATAAAATAACTTTTTAATCATTGATAATTATTTAATAACATCATTTATTATTTAATCACATTATTAATGAATCCTAAGTAGACGGATATTCCTCTTTCTTGACATGCTTAATCGTATTCATTAAAAGAGTTCATCTAAGGCCTATCAATATGGATTAGATAATGGGCATCAATAATTATACGCTATACATAATCTCTTTTAGAATTACAATAATAATTGACCTCCAGTAAGGAGGGTATTTAGAATGAACATATGTTTAATTGCATTGAACCATAAAATCAAATTTTCAATCTTTGCATTTACTCATATATGTAATTATTACAACCATTTAAATATTCCTTTCATATTTATCTATTAAACAGCCATGTCAACAAATTCTGCATTTATCAAAAGTATTATTTTGAACACTTCCATGTCATTAGTTGAAATTATTTGTATCTGAACCATTTTTGATAGTTTCTCATATAATCTTTATGATAAGCGTAAATCAGTTTCAGAATATTTTTAAATTGCATAATTTTCCCTCTTATTGAGATATCACTGCTTTTGTGATACTACGTCTAAATTAGTTTCTAATTTAGTAAATCCCTTATTGATTATTGCAATCATAATCTTTCCAGATTATATTAACTATAAATTTTATTCATTTCAAAATTTGAATTTTAGAAATGAAATATTATTATCAATTTAAAGCTATCATATCAGGAGCAAAAGCAGTTGGTAAAAAAACAATCCTTAAATCATTGGACTCTTCAACTGATCTTAAAACTGTTTAATTACATGATAAAATGCAAGAAACACTATTTATCTATGAATTCTAAAAAGATGAATCCTACATTCCAGATGCACTTTGCTTTCTGATAGTGTGTGACTAATCATCGTAATCAATCCAATATGCCAAATCAAAGTACATATTTTCATCTATTTTCATAGAATTCAAATAGTACTTAAATAACTGAATCGTTCCTATTAATTTATTGTTCTCATCAACAACAAAGTAGATTCCCAATTATCACTTTAAGACGAATTAGAAAATTATTGCGCTTAAAATCAAATAAATTTCATAGCAACAAGTGCTAAATTTGGAACCAACGTTGTGCTACTCTAAAATCTTCTTAGAATCAAGGCTCAATTGATAATGAAAAAATGTTAAATCCAACCATTTCCTCTAGAATCTAATAGAGAAAAAGAATTTGAAACCATCGATCACCAAATTAAATAAGCCACCCAGAACAGACCACTACCATAAACACCCTAATCCTCAGGAAACAAAGAAAACTAATCAGATTATAAGAGCATCAAGAGTGAAACCGTAGAGAGTTTTAGAGCATTTGAATTAATCCAAGATAAATCAACGTAGCATAATGATACCATAAATATTCTCACATAAAGCACTTCATACTAAAATTGCCAAATACAAAATTCACAAGTCCTACCAAGCACAAAAAGAGCGTATCTTGATTTAAACACCAATTGTCGATTGAGATCATCTTCACCTATATCAAAGATACTAATATGTTTATAAATTGAATTGAATGAGTAATTAAAATAGAATTATGATAGTTAGATATTCAAAGTGGATGTCTATTTTGATGATTCCTATCCCCTGATTGTTGAGAGAATTTGCTCCACTATGCAGAAGAAGGTTAAGCAAACTGCCAAAAAATAATTGATGTCCATTATTGAAACACATGTCACTTCCTTTATACAAAGGCTGAATCAATAATTCTAAGAAAAGAGATGTAAAATATCAATATAAATAATTGAAGATTTGAGAGTTAAAGATTGCTACGAGAAGTTTATCTCCATACACAATCAACAAATATAGTAGAGACCAGTTATTGGAATAATAGCCCTGTTAATTTAATCTTAGATAATTAAAATTTAAGTGCATGAAAGCGACGAACCCTATGATTTAGCATTCAATTCAATAGTCTAACACAAACTGAAAAAGAGTTGCATTAGTGCTTTAGTCTAAAAAATCAAGTTCTTATAAACTCAAAAGAATGTCGTGATATTGGGATTCTTTGATATTACTCCTCATGAATTCATTGTGTACAAAGGAGAAGACATTTAGAAGTAATGTATCGGTTTTATCTATTTAGAAAGTTATTTCAATTCTTCATGCAATTCAAATTGGACTATGAATATTATAGGCTACTCTCATAAATATAATGACAAACATATTATAAAAATATTATCGTTAATGAATCATCGACATAAAACAGAACTCACCGAGAGGCATCTCAACTATGATATCAATTATGATAGCATCATCATTGTGAAGGATCAAGAATAAAAAAATAAAACTCCATAAGCCCTATTGAGTCTTGAATTATATGGCAAATAAACCCCAAATCAATCTACCAAAGCAGTCAACCATTTCAAACACACTTAAAGAATCACCCTTTCATCCCTTAAAAAAGCTCAAGCAATTTACAGTCCCAACTTCAATTCAAAACAAAAGAACAGAATCCCAGAATCTCCTGCAAACTTTCGAATTAAGCAAAACAATTTGAAGTTCAATTCTCTTAATCCTTCTAAACCAAGTCTCCATACACCAAGTACAAAGACTCAAGACAGTTAGTTAGAATGGCAAACTCCACTTGATATTAAGACTACAATATCAAAAATAAAGTAGATATTGAGTCCTAATAATCCTAAAAAGTATCAAGTCGACTTTACTAAATTTAAAAAATCTATATATTGATTATAGTTATAGTAAATTATCATTAGAGCTTTGTTTTATGTTACATTATTTTTTTATTGATATCCATTATTTTTCAATAATCATTATATCGTTGTTACTTATCACTTATGTAGATTTCCATTATCTTACAATTAGAATTGCCAATTCACCCCAATTTAAAAACAATGTCAATAATCCTAACCCTAATTATTAAAATCAAGAAAATATCTCTAATAAGCAATCATGTATTGGTTCTTCATTTACTTCCACTTATTGAAATTAACTTCCCACTTCTACCACATATTTAGCTGCTGCTTTACAGTCTAATTCACATATATAGAATGTAATAATTTTTATTTTCTCTGTGAGCATCTTGATTTGAAAGCAACAGAAAATAACTGTCTTGAATCTGTCATTCCTTCCCCCATACAGATAGTTTCTACTCTTAGCTATTCTGATCTTATTCAATTTATTTAGACAATTCATTGCATTATAAGTTTATCATGCTCCTATTGCTCTTAGATTTACATACAATACATGAGCAATGCATTCAAGATAGTTATATTGATGTAAGGCAATTAAATAAGGTCAATGATTGATTAGTTATTAGCATCTTAATTAATCAAAATTTAATTGATTAAAAATAAATTATACTATTTTATGGCAAAATTTCTTAAAAATTAAAGTTCAACCTTTTTCAATCAAGGTATATTTTAACGTTTTCTAATTTCTTAAAGTTTATTATTAAAAAAATAAATATTTATTTAGTTTTGAAAAGCTATGGGTGTATGTTTATCAAAAAAACAAAATGCAAACAAACAATAGAGCCCTGTTAATAAGAATTTGGAAAAAACCTTTTAAAAAACAAAGTTTTATCAAGAAAAGTACATGAAAGAAGTTTTCGATTCTGAAAAATAGGTTGAAATAAGGATGATAAATGTGAAAACCTCACAAGTAAATGTTTTACATATCTGATCAGTCAACTGATGCTGCCCTTAATAATTCCTTTTAAAGAAGGAAAGCACTCTCAAAAAGTAGAATCGGTTTATCAAATAAGAGAAAAGGGGCGATTCCTATTCTCAATACAAAGCAAGTTAGTCTTAAAGATTCATTTAAATAAAAATATCATAAAGTGATAGGACTTTTATTGTGTAATTTAGAATGTTATTGTAGCCAATTCAAATTTGAGTGTAGTACAGAACAATCAGAACCAGTAATTAGCAATTTGTTAGTAGTTGAGAAAGAATGATGAGAAAGACCAAAGCTTTATAAGGTGGTTGAAGGAAAAAAACATTGTAATTAACCTGATATACTGTTTAGGAACACGATAACATAGTAGGAGTGTAAGAGATTTAAGTTGATGATCAAGATTATTATGTAATTTATGAATACTGGGTTGATCATTAATTAAAAAATAAAACTGAATTAGAAAAGGCAATTCTTATTCATTAAATGATAGAATCGATTCAGTATTTACATGAAAACGACATGAGACATAGTGCTCTGACCTTGAATAGTTTTAAGATGATCAACTCGACTCCATTTGGAGTGTTAAAATTAATAGAATTGAATAAAGTGCATGAAGTATCAGAACTGACACTTGAAAATTGGATGTATTTATCTCCTGAGAGTCTTTCTGCTCTTGGGAATAGATCCAAAGCAAGAGATGTATGGGCACTGGGAGTTATTGCATTAGAATTATTGATGAATGAGCATCCATTTATCAATAATTCTAAAGATAATTCAATTAGGAAAATATCAACCAAGATCAATGGTTTAACCAAATAGCAAATCGAATAACTGCTAAATAATTACCATAAAGATCTAAAGCAGTTGCTTTCTGGGATGATTTGCATTGACCCTCAACTCAGATACACGATAAGTGATTGCAAAACTAATCTTTGGCTGAATACATATGTAAATGATTATATACAGTCTTTGCAACAACCATTATACAATTTTGATAAACACCAAAATAATAGTTTCAACAAAATCATGGCCAGATACTACTTGTTAAGAATTCTAGATTAAAAACAATTTAACTGTCTTTTCATATTATTTCAACAATTAGATTTAAACAGAAACGGAATCATCACTCCGAAAGAAATAAAGAACTATTACAACTCTATCTACTTGCCATCATCATGCAAAGATGATTTAATCAATTGTTTATATTCGTTACCTAAAACAATGGAAACTGAAGTAACAGAGTTTATTGGTTTAACAAGTGACATAAGTGTATCCAAATTACGACAATATTATACGATTCATAATCTTGGAGATTTAAGATTGAATTGTTATCTCAATTAACTAAATATTCCTAAAAGAGTAATAAATTTAATTACTTCTGATTTCACTTTATCAGAATTGGAGTAGATTGTAACTCTTGATTAATTTATTTAATATATTATTTGATATAATTAGATAACTTCAGTTTCTCACCTTATTTAAATCAAAATTGGATGTTTGATCGAAACTCTAAAGTTTGGAATGCTATCCCTTGGGACTTATGACACATTCCAAACTTTTAAAGAGTGGCACTTGTTTGACTTTAAATTTCTTGAGATTGGATTCCATTTCATTTATTAAGAGATTCTTTTACTTTAGAGTCAAGAATGTATATGATAGGATCAACATTAATAGGATTCCACTCAGAAGGAAACCCAAGACTATTTTCATTGTGTTGGATTTATGAATGAATACTTCAACTGAAAATTCTATCCTTTTCTTATGAATGGTCTTGTTTATTTCATTGAAAGTTAATGAGTAATCCAAAGCGTATGGAATCTCTTCATCTAGATGATAAAAACATTACACAGAATTAGGAATTGGTTCAAATTGATACTAAAATATGTCGAAAAAGCTTATTCCCATAATCTTATTACCAATTATTTGAATGTCCTTGATTCCAAATTTTAGGATCTTATATATTTTATTCTCGTAAAGCAAATCTATTTTATTGCTTGTGAGAAATAACGTATACTCTTTGAATGCAATGATTTTCTGGATTTTTTTCTTACTCTGCAATTTCCTAACGATCTGTAATTGTGAATCAATTATTTAATATTGAGCTATAATATATTTATATTATCTCTTATATGCTACGTAAATGTTGCTTTCATTAGAAATGCCCATAGTCAATCCATTCTGTATTAAATCCAACTGAGTTATTGTGTGAGTTGTGAGATTCCACTCAATCTTCTGCAATCCTGTTTACTTGTCCAAAATATAGATGTTATATCCATTTTTGTTACTGTTATTTATTACAGCAAAATGCGTAATGTTGTCTGAGTTCTTCATCTGAATTTAGTAAACTTGATCGTTGTTGCTATAAATAGTAATTAAGCCCTAGTTGAGCACAAATATATATTGATCACATATTTCTATTTGTTGAGGCTAGTAATTTAAGAACATTTCGAATTCTTGGAAATTTTTATCATAAGGATTGAATCGATATACTTGATTCGATATGAAATAGACAAGGTACGTCACTTAGCAATATCTCATGGTGGCATTTTGAATATCTATACTTGTAGGAATCTCGTATTGCCAAAAAAGGATTTGGTCTTGAAAATAATTGATCTGTCGATCATCAGTCAACACCAAGATGGAGTGCTAAGAAAGGGATAACATAGCCAAGTTGCTTTTATTGTTGCCATCGTATTAAGTATATTGTAATTTTAATTAATGCTCCTACAATTGACATACATTCCATTCGTCATTGTTTGTTTGCAGTTCGAAATCCTATCCATTAATAGGCAACGCGAATAAGGTCTTTAACTCTTCTTTTTTTATTGTAAATAATTCTGCTAATGCCAATTAAAATATTAAAACAATATACATTTATATAGACATTTTTTATAAATTTATTACAAATCAATTTAAAACTCTAGTTTTTGGTTTTATTTAATGAATAAAATAATCATCCTGAACCAACCCTCCCAACTAGATTTGTCAATTACTTCCACTTTGTGATTAGAATTTTTGTTGAAAAATATTAGCCATATTTTTAATTAACCTCCTCTAAGTCTGACTTTAGTAAACCCACCGACTCGAGAATACAATGGTGGGAACACAGATTAATGAAAATTTTAGATTTGGATATTTTAGAAATATCGTACTTATTAATTATAAATTTTCATAAGGAGACAAATGATAAGTAGTTATTATTATATTAGATTGTTAATTATTTAATTTTAATATCGAATTTTCAATGATTTGCCACAAAAAATATCTAATTTTTAAAGAATCCTACACTGTCGAATTACGTTCCAATGAAGTTGTCTTATAAAATGTATTGTATTTTGAAATTTTAAGATTAAAAATCAGATTTCGAATATTCTAAATTTGCAAGATAACTCTGTAGTGGACTGGAAACTAGATAAAAAGAATAGCAGAATTATTGGCTTTGGTATTCAGATTGATAGTCAATGGGAATACTTCTACATGGATCAATAGAATTTATCTTTACTTAAGTAATTTCTTGATGGAAAGGTGCAATATCACAATATTTTTAAATTATATCAACTAATTGGCTTCCTTGGTTCAGGAGCATTTGGAACTGTATAATATAACATATAAATAAGGTTTTTAAATGCTAATCCAAATATGATGGGAAACTGGTGGCTTGCAAATCAATTAAGAAGTGTAGAAAGTACGATGATAAAGTATGAGAATTTTCTATTATTGAGGACTTTTTGAATGAAGTATTCTGTATGCAGAATCTCAAACATCCAAATATGGTGCAGCTTAAGGAATATTATGTGGAGTAAAAGCACTTTTACATTTTAATGGAACTTGTTGAAGGGAACACGTTGAGAAATCTTATAAAACAGAATTCGTTAGATGAGAACGAGAAGCTGATTATTGTCTAAGTATAATTTCTAATGAGTTAGTAACTTCTATCACTCGTTAATTATTTTCATTAAGAAGGATTTATCTATAGAGATTTTAAACCATAGAATGTAGTTTTCTTTTAAAATAATATTGGGAAGTTGAAGCTGATAGATTTTGGACTTACAATCTCCATAAATGATGAAGTTTGCAATAAGGATTAATTGTGTGGTACACCAGGATATATGGCTCCAGAAGTTTTTGAAAGGAGCCATAATTACAATCTTAAATCTGATATATTTAGTTTAGGAGTTATGATTTACGAATTGTAATCATTTATTTAGACAAATAGGTTTTCTGGAGAATATTTAATATAAAGTCTCGATCCCGAAGAATTGCTAAATACGAATAAGATATTCAAATTTAACAAGGAGATCCTATCAGCAATTAAGAACCAAACAATCTAGAGATTATTGTAAGGGATGTTGCAAGAGGATCCTTCTTTGAGAATCAGCAGTAGGGAAGCCGTGGAGATATTTAAACAAGTGAATTGGAGTTGCGATGAATTTTTGACTACTAACGCAGATTGACTTATTTATGCGTTTGTAAATACTTTAATTAACTTATTGAGGGGATAATATTAATTATGATCGATAAATCTACGAAATATGATTAATTATATATTAATTTATGTAAATAAATTTTTGCACTCCTTAATACTTCTTCAACATCTCTCAAAAATATCCCTTTATCGTGTATGATTTAAGAGAACATTAACATGGTTTTTTGAAAAATAGTATTCATGTTACTAATATACACCAGGTGGAGACTGTTGAGGATGTATAAAAACATTTTTAGTACCCTGAATAATAATCAGAGAAGAAGAAATTGGAAAAGTTGTTTCAAACCAGAAAGAGAAATTACAATTTCTTTGTTCCATTTGATACTTCTGATATGTTCAGTTTATTACTCAAGGATAGAATTAAGGGAGAAGGATCTGAAATTTCTGATTAGTTTTGCATTCCTTTGGAAACTGTGGTAAAGTGGTGCCATGAGATTTCAAAGAAATTGCCATACAAAAAGAAACATAAAATCAGAAGTAGAGCAAACACTATGATTATGTAAGATGATGATGATGAATTAGTTGATACAGATTCCTAATAAACTATACTCCATTTCAATAAACATTAGACTATAGTTTCTAGCAAGAAAGTCATAGAATTACAAGGTAAGATTATTTATTTAAATAATAAGAGATAACAATATCTAATGGTCCAAAAATTAAATAGAGATCTGTGAGTTAGCCAAAATGCATAGGACATGGGGAAGGCAGTTTATATATGAATTCAGAATTGTTTGGAGCTGCTTTANAGTATGGTCATTTATCTATTGAGATAAGTAAAACAAAGAAGTGATGTATAACTTCTATCACTCGTTAATTATTTTCATTAAGAAGGATTTATCTATAGAGATTTTAAACCATAGAATGTAGTTTTCTTTTAAAATAATATTGGGAAGTTGAAGCTGATAGATTTTGGACTTACAATCTCCATAAATGATGAAGTTTGCAATAAGGATTAATTGTGTGGTACACCAGGATATATGGCTCCAGAAGTTTTTGAAAGGAGCCATAATTACAATCTTAAATCTGATATATTTAGTTTAGGAGTTATGATTTACGAATTGTAATCATTTATTTAGACAAATAGGTTTTCTGGAGAATATTTAATATAAAGTCTCGATCCCGAAGAATTGCTAAATACGAATAAGATATTCAAATTTAACAAGGAGATCCTATCAGCAATTAAGAACCAAACAATCTAGAGATTATTGTAAGGGATGTTGCAAGAGGATCCTTCTTTGAGAATCAGCAGTAGGGAAGCCGTGGAGATATTTAAACAAGTGAATTGGAGTTGCGATGAATTTTTGACTACTAACGCAGATTGACTTATTTATGCGTTTGTAAATACTTTAATTAACTTATTGAGGGGATAATATTAATTATGATCGATAAATCTACGAAATATGATTAATTATATATTAATTTATGTAAATAAATTTTTGCACTCCTTAATACTTCTTCAACATCTCTCAAAAATATCCCTTTATCGTGTATGATTTAAGAGAACATTAACATGGTTTTTTGAAAAATAGTATTCATGTTACTAATATACACCAGGTGGAGACTGTTGAGGATGTATAAAAACATTTTTAGTACCCTGAATAATAATCAGAGAAGAAGAAATTGGAAAAGTTGTTTCAAACCAGAAAGAGAAATTACAATTTCTTTGTTCCATTTGATACTTCTGATATGTTCAGTTTATTACTCAAGGATAGAATTAAGGGAGAAGGATCTGAAATTTCTGATTAGTTTTGCATTCCTTTGGAAACTGTGGTAAAGTGGTGCCATGAGATTTCAAAGAAATTGCCATACAAAAAGAAACATAAAATCAGAAGTAGAGCAAACACTATGATTATGTAAGATGATGATGATGAATTAGTTGATACAGATTCCTAATAAACTATACTCCATTTCAATAAACATTAGACTATAGTTTCTAGCAAGAAAGTCATAGAATTACAAGGTAAGATTATTTATTTAAATAATAAGAGATAACAATATCTAATGGTCCAAAAATTAAATAGAGATCTGTGAGTTAGCCAAAATGCATAGGACATGGGGAAGGCAGTTTATATATGAATTCAGAATTGTTTGGAGCTGCTTTAAAGATCTATGAAATTTATCAAAAGGATAAGGTCAGATAGTTGTTTATAATATTGGATCCGATTTAGATAGTGTTTGGGAGTCACTCGTTTTTGAATTACGAGATAAGTAAAAACAGGGGATTTCTGGATAAGACATTTCCGAATGAAATAATAGAGAATAAACTGTATTTGGGAGGAGGTGATCATGCACAAGATACGGAGATGTTGGTGGACATTTTGGGGATAACTCATGTTGTGAATGCAACCATTGAGATCCAGAATTATTGTGATTAATGTAAGAATAAGGGTGTTATATATGCTAGTGAAATATTTGAACATTAAAATATATGATGAGCCTCACATTGAAGTGAAACAGTACTTTGAAGATGTGTATTAGTTTATTGAGAATGCATTATGGATGGAGAATGGGAAAGTAATATCGAAATAGTATATATTAAATAGGTATTTGTGCATTGTGCTTAGGGGAAGTCGAGATCAGCTTGTTTTATAGTGATGTATTTGATGAGGAAGTTTAGTTGGGGATTTGAGAAGGCATATGAATTCGTAAGGGAATGCAGAGAAGTGGTTTGTATTAATGAGGGATTTATTAACTAGTTAATTGAATTGAATTGAATTGAATTGAATTGTATATTTTGTTGTTATTTATGATGTTTTGATTCGTCATTAAATAATTGACTTGACTTTAGCAATAATACCTGCAGCATCCAAATGATACAATGATAACATTTATGCTGGAGTGCCACTCTTAGCCACTTTGTCTACATGGATGGAATGTACCTTGATTTGGTTGTCCAAACTCAAAGCGGAAGACACAGCCTCTATAAAGATTACATAATCGATGCATACCAAAGAGTCCTCCTTCACTATAATGATCTTCGACTACAAGAATGGTCTTCAAAGCAGTTTTGTTGGCAGCATTAAGGATGCCATCATGATCAATGGGTTTAACTGAGAATAGATCCAAAACTGCGACATGTACCTTGTCTTATTCACTCAATTATTTGGCTGCTTTGAATATTTCATGAGTAGTCACACCTCCACCGATTAACAAGATCTTATCATCATCATTTTGCTTAAGGATTTTTGATCTATAGAGATATTCAAAATAGAATTTACTTTCCAATCTCAAAGACTTCATTGTTGGGATACAAAATGGGTAATGAGGGTCTGCTCATTCTGACATAGCAAGGAGACTTGTGATTGGCAACCAATTCAATGGCTCTTTCGGCAGAGACTCCATCAGAAGGATACAAAACAACGCAATTTGGGATGGTTCTGAACATGGCAATATCTTCTAAGCCCATTTGGGATGGTCCATCTTCACCAATTGAAACACCAGCATGTGATCCAACATACTTGACTTGAGATCCACTGATTCCTCCCATTCTTATTTGATCAAAGCCTCTTGCAAAGAAGGCTGCAAATGTAGATGCGAATGCTACTTTGCCTCTGCAACTGAATCCTTAGGCCCAACCGACCATATTTTATTCAGCTATGAAACACTCGACAAAATTGGTTGGAACTGCCTCTTTGTATTTGATTGAGAATGTTGAATTTTTGGTGTCTCCATCCACTGCCACAATTTATTGATTAGCATCCGATTTACTCAAACCCACCAAAGCTTTTCCGTATGCTTCTCTTGTTGATTACTTGCCATCAGCTGCATAATTGACTTCCACTGTGAAATGACTTTATTGAGGCCTGTCTATTTATGCAGGGACCTCTGGGGTGAGTGTGAATCCATCTTGCTACTTCATTTGTTTTTTGACAAAGTCCACTTATGCTTATGAAACTGGTTTTCCATGCCAATCCTCTTTGTTCTCCATTTCCAAATATTTGCCTTTGAATGTTTTGGCAATTATAACTTGTGGCTAATTCTTAACATTTCTACACTAGAAACAATATTTCTGGAATCACTTACTTATTCAAAAGCATCAGTTAATGAATTCAAATTGTGTCCATCAACCACAAAAGTCTTCCATCCAAATGCCTCCCATCTCTTCTTATAAACATTAACATCATGTCCAATTGAAGTCTCTTCGGATTGTCCCAATCTATTTACATCCACAATTGCTGTAAGGTTGTCCAATTTGTAATGACTTGCTAAATGAGCTGCTTCCCATACTGATCCCTCGGCAATCTCACCATCTCCCATCAATACCCAGTATCTATTGTTGATTTTGTCCAAGAATTTTGATGAATAAGCCATACCACCTGCAACTGACAATCCCTATCCCAAGGATCCTGTAGCCACATCCACAAACGGCAATCTAATTACATACACAACATCAATTACTTTGGAACTGGATGACCTTCCAAGAGTGAATCGATCTTTCTCAAATTCAATAATTCTGCCTTATCAATATAACCAACCATCGACCAAGCAGCATACAGAATTGGAGCTGCATGTCCTTTCGAAAGAACAAACCTATCATTTCCGAAATTCTAAAATTAGTAATACGAAGTACTCCTGGATCCTTAGGATTAAAGTGCATTCCTGCCTTTGTGAAAAATAGCACTGCCATGACTTCTGCCATTGATGCACACGATGTTGGGTGTCCAGAGTTCGATGCTATTGTCATCTCAATTGAATGTATCCTCAATTAATGAGCTAACATTTATCTCTCATTCTCTTACCTATATCCTGCAATTGGACCACATCATAACTCTCCTTTTGCACCTTCTACTTCTTGGCTTGCTTTGGTTCCTCCTTCTGTGGTTAACTCTTTCCTTTCCTAGTCACTCTGTCTGACATATTAAAATAATTTAATTTATCTAAAATTCCGTATTTTAAATCAATTTTTATATATATATAAAATGAGTGTCAATGTTATTCCCGTTGCGAATCCCCATCAAAAAATGGAAGGCATCCAAAATGTAAGACCTGAGGAAATCAAAAAAATTATTGAAAAAGCCAAGAATCTCCCCAGCAAATAAGAGGGTGACTTTGTTAAGTTACAAAATTATGAATTCCAAGTTGATGAATTCGAAGAAATGGAAGACCCTCAAAAGAATAATAAGAAAAACAAAAAGCAAGCCAAAAAAGATTCCAAAAATGAAGTCTAAGAATCCAAGGATAAAGAATAACTTGATCAAAGCAGTGACATTGATTTAAAAAAATAATAAAAACCAAAAGCCAAAGAAATTAAGAAGTAAGAAAAACCAAAGGCAAAATAAAAGCAAAAAGAAGAAATTGAAGAGCAACAAGAGGAATAAGAAATCCAAGAGAACAAGGAAGAAGAATAACCATAAGAGGAGGAATAATAATAGGATGAAGAATAACAGTAAGATGAAGAGGTTTAACCTAAAGAAAGTGAGGTAGATCAGGATGACATGTAAAAGTAATTAGATGAGTATGATGAACAAAATAATCAATTATAGCAATCATAAGCTTAAGAGAATTCGTAAATACAATAGTCTTAAGTTTCTTAAAAATCATCAAATTAAAAAAAGAAAAAGTTCTAATCTGGTTATGCTGCTATGATGGATGATCTATTGAATGAATCAGAAGTATCTATTAGTGAAGAACAACCCAAAAAACAAAAAATTGAAGAAAAATAACTGGCCTCGTCTTAGATGGATGCTAAAAAAGAATAAGAATATCTAAAGATTATTAAATAGTACTAACAAAAGATTAAACAACTTAATGAGGCCATCGATTAATAGAAACAACCTGTTCTTAGTGAAATAATTGAAGATTAAATTGAAGAATTTTAAGAATAACTTGATAAAACAGAGGAATCCATTTCCAATAAGAAACACTTATATCCAGGTATTGCTGGGATTGGAATAAGTCTATATGATGAATTTAGATTGCCTTAAATAGTTGAAGAGCAAGTCTAACATCGACTCAAGGAGTTGGGTGTTCAGGAAAGATAAAGTGAAGAAGCTGAATAAAAAATAAAAGATCTTGAAGAGCAACACTAAGCTGAATTAGATAGAATCAAACAAAATTATGAAGAACAATTGCAATAAATGAGATTAGAAATTGAACTTTAATAAGAGAGGGTAAAAGAAGCAGAGAGACTGAGATATGCTGAATCAGAGATTAGTAAAGTCTTAGATAAAGATGAAATTGAACGATTAAAAAATGATCCTTTATTTTCTGTTATGAGTTCCAACCTCGTATAATCAGTGGATTCAAATGTCTCTTAATTGATGAGAGATGAAAGCATGTATTTAAAATATCGAGATTTGTTACAGAAATATAAACCTAAAGCTGATTAGTTGGAGAATTGCATGGAGATTGTCAACTCCAAAATCCATGACTTAATAACACTTAAAGAGGCATAAGAACTGAATCAACTTAATACAGATTCAAATATCTCTATCAGTAAGGTTATGGATATTGATGGGGCTGTCAGACTTTTAGAGTAAAATTAAAATGTCAATTCAGATATTGATTCTATCATTTCTCCATCAGAGTAAATCAAATTTAAAAAGGATCCCAAATATCAAGAACCTTCTCTTCCTAATTCGAGTATAGACTTCTCAATTCCAGAAAATTATAAGTTATAAAGAATGGTAGATAGTGATTACAGTAACTTCAATATGAAGATTAACGAAGATGGCTCTTTGTTTATTGAATTACAAAAAGAACTTGAATAGAATTATCCAATGACTGAATCTAACAGAGAGATTATTTATCAATAAATTATTCAAGACTAAAAGTAGGAGTTTGATAAACAAGTGAAAAAACTCTAAAAATTGAAACCAACTTATAAGTCTAAATTATATTTTGGGGAATCAATAGATTCCTCTATAGGCTCTTTGGCTAATGAATAAGTTCCAAAGAATTTAAGCAGCAATATAAGTATGATTAGCAAATCTTAATCAAATGAGTCTATAATTGGTTCTGTGGTTAGTAGAAAAGAGAAGGCGGAGTTGTACGAGTAATGCCAATCTAAAGAATCCTCTATTTCAAAATTATAATTATCTAAAAATGATTTTGAACAATTAGGCTAAATAAGTAGTGGGATCAGCTAATTGAATTCGATTGTTGATAGTTACCAATCACATGATTAGTCTGTCAGTAGTGGAATTAGTAAAGTATTGAATGATAAGCAATTACAAAAGGAGAAGTATTCCAATATTGATAGTTCATTAAATATCAGTCAAGGAGGATCTTCGATAAAAAGTTTCCTCCTACTCAAAAAGTCAATGATCTCTAAAAAATATTGAGGATTTATTAATATTTATTTTATAATTCAATTTACAAAAGATATCATTTATGTAGAATAGACTTAATAAATAATAATATGTTATTTATATTCATACATTAGTCTTTCCTTTAACTAATTTACGATCAGAAAATTCTTCTTAGATGGGGAAATAATGTTAATGGTTGTTTATTTGTTCTTATTTTTTAACTTTGGCTCTTTATGGAAAGGGACTTTCTCCAATTTCCAAGACAGGTTGGCATAGTATAGATTGAATCGATTAGGGATTAACATTCTTTAATCCTGCAACTATGAATTCTGAAGGTTGTGTTTGATATTGTGTTTCTTGAGCTTAAACAGTTTATTGGAGTTATTATTTTGGTTAAGCAGAAACGATGAGTCTCTCTTTTTTAGTGTCAACGGACTTTTATCTTTGATTTGAAAGTTTCTCTTCATTTTTTATCTCTTCCTTCTTATGCTATTATACAATCTATTGACGAATAGCTTCAGTAGCAATAGGTTGATTATTAGTTTTGATGGATTATCTTTGGTTGATTAGTTTTTATTGTTCTTTTTGGAGTTCTATTTTGAGTTGTTCTTGGAGCATTTTTTCTCTATCTCTTTGACTTGGAGCACTGCTTTGGATTCTGGTGCTGGGAGTGGAAGGCGGTTCGCCTTTCTTTCTGGGAACAGAAGGATAGTTGCCTTGATTATTATTCATGGGAGATAAATTCTTGTCTTTAATTTATCCAGGTACTAAAATAGATATTAAAGGGGGGATATACATGCACTATGGGCTCTTTAATTAATTCTTGGCTATTCAATAGTTTTTTTGGTGGGTTCCTCTTTGTAATTAGATTTGGGGAGCTATATTTATTGTAATTTGATGGTTTGGAGTAATTCAGCCTTTGAATTTTGTTTTTCGATCGGTGGGATTACTTTTAAATTGTTGATGAGAAGTGGGTTTTGTAGAATTTAATTGCATGATAATCTCTTCATAGGTTGAACCTGGATCATTTAGACTATGATTGATTATAAGTCTCTGGAGTATTGTTTGGGTAAGCATTCAAAGAGACCTCTTTGGATTTTATTGCAAAGTGCTTGGAGATCAGGAGCTTTGAAGGGTAATTTAAGTGAAGCCATTTCATAGATTACACATCCTAGACTCCAAATATCGCTCATAGAATTGTATGCTTCATTTCTCCATACTTCTGGACTAGCATAATAGGGAGTTCCCGTTTATGTATATGCAAAGCCTTTTTTAGTAACTTTGGAGACATTCAAATCTCCCAGTTTATAGTTGCCATTGGAAATGAATATGTTGGCAGTTTTTAAATCTCTATGAACAATTTTATTGTCATGCAATTTCTTAAGACTAATTTAAATGATGTGTTATACCCTTTGGTAATTTAATATAATGCTTTCCATATTTCTGTTTCAGGGAATAATTGATTACCAGCTTGTTTGATTTTATTCTGCAAATCGCCCTATGTTGCAAATTCCATAATAATGTATAGCATATTATCATCGATAAAAGCATCTTTGTAATTAATGATATTGGGATCATCAAATGAAGCCAATATTCTAACTTCGTTAAGAGCATTTTCTTTCTCTTTTTCTTTCAAATCAAAAAGTTTAACTTTCTTCATGGCATAAACTTGCTGATCTGATCTCCTGATCACTTTGTACACTTAACTATATGATCCTTCACCCAAACGATTGAGTATTTCAAAATCACTAATTCTAGACATATTACTATATATATATATATATTTTATTATTTATCATTCTGAACTATGCTCTATCTTTTTGAAATTCCATCCTTGTTCTCCATCAAACTAGATCATATAATCATGATGTTTGAACAATGAAGGTCTGTGACTAACTGTGAAGAGAGTGATACCCAACATCTTGGCAGTCTAATATAAGGTAGCCTCCACATCCATTGAAACTGCACTGGTGCACTCATCTGAGAATAACAAATATGGATATACCTAGGATTGCGAACACTGGTTTGTGATAGAACAGTCTAGCCATAGCAATTCTTTGTTTTTCACCTCCACTCAACACATCATTCCAATCATTGCATTTATCATATCCTCCTTCTCTTGCAACTAAATAATCCAAGTGAACTAGTCTCAATAATTCTGTTAAATCGTCATCTGATACTTTCTTTCTCAACATTTGTAATTTTGTGTGTGGATAGATGATTTGATCCCTCAATGTTCCAGCAGGTAGATAAGGTCTTTAAGGAATGTAGAATAATTTATCGATATGAGGTCTATATAACTTACCACTTGAGATTGGCCATAAACCGCCCAAAATTCTGAACAATGATGACTTTCCACATCCATTGGGACCAGTCACAATGCAATTCATATTTGGTTGAATCTAAGTATAAGCATTTATCTTACTTCAAATGTCATCTTCTAAGCCAAGATATCATTGTTTGGTGATATAATGGGGACTTCTTCAAATTTGATTGTGTTTTCAGTTTCAACGATCTAACCTCTATTCATTGAAACCAATGATTATTTCTATGCAAAATATCCTGGTTAATTCTCATTGCTTTACAACATAGTTCTCATGTACTTACCATTTATCAAATCCTTCAATACTTCATCTAATTCAGCCACTAAAGTTGTGTATCCTGCCAACTACTAGATTTCCTTGTATGAAACCACCAATCTTCCAATAGCTTTGGCTAAATTAATCAAAAGAGATGAATTTCTAACGTAATCCCTTGTAATTGTTGAAGGATCATTATTTACACTCTTCAAATACTCCTCTCTTCTACTACCAAATACAGGTAATCCCACCACTGCATAACCAACCATAACAGCTCCGTATTTCACCAACATACTATCAAAAACTCCCATGTACAATCGTTTCAATATGATCTACCCAGTGTGTCCAATCAAATTATTGAATGAATTTGTGATTCTTGTTTTCTCCCAAGCATGTCCTCTATAGAATGCAATTTCTTCACTGTGATACACCAAATCACTATGACATGCTCGATAATCTCCTTCAAGTCTCTACTCAATGGCTGTCAATTTACCAAAAGGTGGACTTAAGAATCTCAATAAAAATCCAGATATCAGATAATACAAAATGACGTACATAGGTCCTTAATATCCGACCAATTCAGCCAACTTTCTGGAGAATAAGATAATATCTAAGACAGGCTTTGAAAAATTGGAATAAATTTAGGACAATGAATTAGCCCACTTTTCGATATCAGCTGTCAATCTTTAATCGGGATTGGCAACTCGACTATCTAGATTACTCAATTGATAAAAGATCATATCATTGAGGTAGATATCATGGAAATGTTGGGTTAATCGTTTTCTAAACCTTATTGCTAAGGATTTGTTTAAATAATCCAAGAAGGAATTCACGAAAGATGCAGGAATTGCCACCACTCCCAATTTCAAGATTCTCTACAAGAACATATTCAAGTTTTATTCAATGATTGCTCGGACTATTTGCCCATTTACATTAGCTACATAGATACTTAAAAATGTCCTCGCGACTAGTGATGCTCTATTACTTAGAGAATAAGTTACGTAAGCAATACCAAGTCCAAAATTTCTGGTGAGTTCAACCTTGGAATAACTATTTTGAGTAATTTCAAAATCCTCTTTAAGAACATACGATCGACATTGCCCTTTCCTTTTTTTTCATCTCTCTTCACTTTCATATTTTCAGTCTTTGATTTGGTCAATCTGATCTTTAGTAAATACAGAATCACTGCTATTACAGCTCCTGAGATCACCTAATTGGATTATTGATTTGTTCATACTTTTCTCTTTGTAGATTTTAACATAAACTATTTCACATCTAAGATCTTAGATAACACAGGAGGCATATATGTATATATAATATTATCAATAAATATTTAATATGTGCTAATAATTTTAAATGGTTTTAATATTTTCTAATTACAATTACTTTTTCTCTAATTTTCCTAAAATTAATACGCACCACATTCCGTGTCATCTTTATAAATTACCAAAATATCTATGTTTTTATAAGCTATTGCTATGTCACATCTCCTTGGCTCTAGAACTGCTTACAAAAACAACTGCGGAGTTGGATCCTTGATATTTATCCTACCATATGTACTACTAAATCACCTTTCATTTAAAGATGATTTATTTAAGTTATTATTTACTAAATTAATTCATTTTATCTGTCCCATTACATGAATAACAAATTAAATTAGAAGAAATTTAGATGATATTGAACTAAAATATGTTCTTAAATTGATTGTAGAAATATTTGATAGTTTTGTTATTATTAAAATAATAGTTGCAGGTTTAGTTGATCTTTACGAAAACTGAAACATTGACATATTGTTGTCAGAATTAAAGTATAATCATTAGTAAAATCTAATTTTGAATTCATTTAAGAGATCAAAATCACTCAATCTTAAAACTATATTAGAAATATTTAACCTTTAAGTTGGATATCTTTATTTAATTGAGAAACTGAAAATTTATTCAGCTGTTTTTATCCTCAATAAATACAATTTTGTACTTAGTACTGAAAGAGGAACTTATAAATTGCTTATTGAAATTAACACTTATGAGCTAAAATCCATTATTATTGGAGTATAAAGATTGAAAATATATATGTATTTGCTTATATCGTAATAATTTCTAGAAAATATTCGAAAAATCTATTTCGAGAAAATTTCCTTTTTTTGAGTTGGCCTTTCGTGTAACTAAAATTTATTAAATATAATATGGAAGGAGGATTCATAAATTTAATCGAAGATGGCGGAGTTAAGAAAAGAATCCTTTAAGAAGGTTAAGGAGAGATGCCTATAGATGGATCTAGATGCAAAATTTTGTTTAAAGGAACTTTGGATGATGGAACCATATTTGATTCTTCATTAGACAAAGAGAGACCCTATAAAGTCAGAATTGGAAATGAAATATTAATTAAAGGATTTGACATTGCTTTAAAGTCGATGAAAGTTGGAGAAAAGGCCGAATTGAAAATCACTCCAAATTATGGATACGGTAATGAAGGAGATTAATATAAAAATGTTCCAAAAAATGCTAATCTCACTTATGAGATAGAATTACTCAATTTCAAAGATGGTAAAAAGTAGAAATGGTAAACCAAATAAATACTTATTTAGGGAATTGACTATTGAGGAAAAGCAGCAGGAAGCTATGAATAAACGAACTAAAGGAACAGCACTCTTTAAGCAACAAAATTATAAAGAAGCCTAAAAGATTTACAAGAAAGCTCTCTCTTATTGTACTCTAACTACTGCAGAAGGCAATGAGTTAAAAGCAAGTTTATAGCTTAATCTATCAATTTGCTCTTATTAATTAGAATAATATAAAGATTCAATTGACTATGCTAAGAAAGCCCTTGATCTAAAGACTAATCAATAATAAAAATTAAAAGCCTTGTATCGAAAAGCCCTTGCTAACATTAAAACTAATGAATTGGATGAAGCTTTAGCTGATTTAAAAGATGCTTTAAAAATAGATTCTACAAACTCTGCTGTGATTGAAGAATTATCAAAGGTGAAGTAATTACTAAAGGGAACAAAGATGAAAGAAAAGGAAATTTATTCTAAACTGTTCTAACAATAACTGTATGATGAATCTGAAATTGAACCCAAGGAAATCGAAATAAAGGATGCTAAATCTGAATGCTCAAGTCTTTGTGATCCAAATGAAAAAATAGAAGAAGAAAACCAAACTAAACCAACAGATGAAAATTTAGAAGTCTAAAAACTAAAAACAGATAATAATGATAATTGTAGAATTATCAGCGAAGAATAAGCACCTGTTTGAATCTTGATGAAAATTTAATTTTATTTTGCTATAGCATTATTTCTAAAATGTAGAACGAGTCTATTTATAATGATTAGAAGTACTCAAAAACTGTTTTATTATTTATGATATTATGATTAGATATTAAGAAGTTTGTTACCTTAGATGGGATTATTGCATATTTTTTGTAAAAATTTATAACTTTAGAAACTGTTAGTTTTAAGGATGCATCTTTAAAAATAATTATGGATTAACAAAATATCAAATTTTAATTAAACTTGTTAATAATTAGTAACGTATTAGGTGAAATTTTATCTGTTTAGATAATAAATTTATGAATGCTATTGGATTTATTAGTTTGATCATAATATCTCTTTAAAAAAAAATTCACCAAGGTATAATGATTTATTATATTTTTATTATCAGCTTTGATCTTGAAATATAATTTACAAGGAAAGATTCAATCTGTTAATTAAAAATAAAGTTCTCAAATTATTTTAATTTAATTAAATTGGAATTTAGAAATAATACATGTTAAAACAAAAAATAACAGTATATTTATAAATGTCTATTTTCAATCCTCATTATTGCAAAAAATAAAAATATTTCAAAATATTTATTGATATATTATTTAAGTTAGAAAGGTCTTATACATAAGCAAGTTGACGGCTTATTAATCGAATATTTCATTTATGCTCCTTACAAGTATGATGCAATCATTTTTTTTGTTTGAAAAGTTTAAGCTTTTTAAATTTATAATATATATATATTAAATTACATCCAATATCACAATGAGTAGCTTATAACAAAGGAAGGTAGATACTGAAAATACACCAAAATAACAAAATTCTGGTATTTCTCATGAATATAATTTTCCAAAAACTATCTAAAGTCATTAAGAAAAAATAATAAGTAATTAGCATAATCAAGTTGAAAAGAATGCTTCAACCAAATAAAGGAATTTAAATGAAAGCTTGAGCATAAAGAATTTGACTGAAAATCTTATAGAAAGATAGGAATATATCTGAGAAAGAGATGCAAATTTGATTTACAATTAATTTAATTTAACTACACCTCTAATAATTTTAGAATCTTCTAATAAGCTTTTTTTCCTACGAATTCCCTTTTTATTGACAGAGCCTCCATTGACTTTGAAATTCTTTTAAAATATGACATAATCTTTACTTCTTAAACCAGTTGGGCAAGATTCTTTCTGCCTTAATAATCTTCAAATATTGAAAGGTTAAATACTTGTGTTTTTTTGATTAGAATGTCGATAATTTCATGTATACTTTCTTTTTTGGAATTTTAGAAATTTTACAGTTATATTCCGATGCTTAATACTCATTAGTTTTATTTTAGGTTTGGTTTTAAGGACTAGGTAGAATTTAATACAAATTCATGCTTAAAATTGTGAATCTACAATTTTAAGAAACTTGTAACTGTTATCATCAGAGCCTATCTCAAAGTATTTACTAAATAATAAATAAGATTCACTACTATCATCATCCAATTTGAACATAATAAGGAGTGATTGGAAATTATATAAAGGCCTTTCTATTGGTAATTCTACTGAAAATTTTAAATTTTATTAATATCACATATAATGAAATAAAATAGTGATTAAATTCTAAAAAGTTAAGGTATTAAATAATTTTATAAACTAACTTATTTTTATTCGCTTTCAATGAAATTTTGCTATAAATCACATTAATTGGACGTCTTAATAAATAAAGCCATTTTATACAAGATAATAATAAAATTATAACAAATCATTTTTATTTAACCTTCTTATTTACATTATCAAATTCTTCAATTTCTTATTTTTTTGTTTTTTTCTACAAGTTTTACTCTTATTCTTCCCTCCTCTTATACTTTAATAACATCTTTCTTCTTTTGATTTTTCTTAATTTCTCGATTGCTTTATTTGTTTTTGATACTGAAAATATAATATTATTTAATTACCAACTCTATTAAAAACAACATTTCCTTGCATAAATCCTTCTTCTATTTTATACAACTTTAATTCCAACCTAGGTCCAACTTCATGCAATCTGATACTCATTTATTACTTTTTATGTTATTTATTCTCAATTTCCAACTCTTCTAAATCAGATTATTCTGTATCGGAGGCAAACATTTAGTGATTGTTCTACAAAAAATCAGAAAAACTATTGTATTTTGATAAATTTGGTAATTTATTTGCTTTAATGATTTTTTTCATTTTTTTATCAATTCCTTTTAAATTGAAACTAATGTAATAATGTCTTATGTATATCTTATCATTTTTATATGAGAACAATATGACTCTCTTCTATGTTTTAGGATTTGTATTTTAAACATTGATAGCAGGAAACATCGATTAAATCATATTACCTACAAGTTTAATGTGTTCACTAGTGGGTTTCTTAGGATCATCACTCTAAAAGTCAGTTTGGAATCCATTCATAACAAGCAATGGAGGTGAAAATACTCTAGAAAAGGATTTGAACTTTCTTTGAGCATTAAGAACTTCATTTCTATTTGCGTATTTAAGAATACGGAATGTGAAGGTTGGTCCTCTAGGATTCTAAATAAATCTTATGTATGAATCTATTTATTAGCCATTTTAGTATACTCTTATTGGTTTATGTCATTATGATCATATGAGATATTAAATAATAACCAGCTGCCTATATGTAATCTTTCATTTTAGTTTTATCTGATTCTTATAAATTCATGCTTGTGAACGGATACATAACATCTCTGTAATCATCAATCAATTGCCGAATCGTCGAAGAAACTTTTCCTCTCTTTAATATGAATGCTTGATAATAGAAATTAAACTAAACCTTTTGGTGTCTATCCAATCAAATCAAGATCCTCCTCTGTGGCTTCTTTATGTGTTCTTGTTTTTTTCTAGTTTTATCATAATTATAAAATGTACCCTTCTTCCTCCAACTTTAGGCATTAATTAAAAATAATTAAAAAATTTTATATCAAAACCAACAAAAATAAACACATGGCTTTCATTATTCTTGGTATTGCTTCAATTTTTCTAAGTAAATATTGTAAAGATCTTTCGAAATAAATAAGTCATAATTTAGTAGTTCTAGCAATTCTGATTCTAATTGGTTCAACTCCTTTAAAGTGATTCCTGCTATTTTTGAATAATAATCATTCCTGTAATAATCGTCATCTTGAAATTTAATTGCTAAAACTATTGCTATAATTAGAAATCTAATTCAAATGATTTGGATACCTATGAACACAATGGCTATTTAACAATATATCTGGATTTAATTCTTAAACCTTATCCAAGTAAATCAAAGCAATAACGAAACACTCATCTGTGCATTTTGCGTATTTTGCTATTCGAATCAAATAGTTTTCTAGTGTTATCGCAGGTACTTTTGAAGCATGAAATAATGTTTATTGAGAATCTAACTTGTCCGTTTCTTCAACTATCTCCTCCAGTATTGTTGCAATGCATTTTAAGATAGACGGATGTTTAGTTCTTTCATGATTCTTCACATTAACTTGTGTGCTGATTTCTGTCATATTATTTTGATATTAGTAATACGCTTATTTTAAAATATTTAATTTAATCAAATCAAATTAAAATCAAATTCATATACCTCTTAATCAAATCTGATGTAATGACATAATTAACTATGTTAATGGGATATCTTGATATTTCCAATTAATTGATCATTTTTATTAATTTTAATACTCCATCATCATTAATTAAATTATAAAACTAAGAATTTTCTTATTTCTCAATACTTAAGAAATGTTTAACAATCAATAGAAAGAAAGAATTAAAAAAGGAGCTTGTTGTAATTTTTTATAAATTTTATATAAAACATTCCTGAATTGATAAAAAAGTTTTTATAATAAAACAATAATTAGCACATCAAATTTATCTAATTATATTACTCAGAACATCTCTATGTAAGTATTCTCTTTAACTGAAGCCTTTTATTTAAGTTAGATCTAAGTTTTTTGTTTTCTACTATAAGTTTATCCTATGTAATGCAATTTACTGACTAGACCATTCATAATTATTTAGCTTACAATAGATTTATAGATTAACAAAAATGTTGAATAATACATAATATGTGATTTCATAAAAGAATATTGACTTCTATATCCGATTTTTTTTAAGATTTATTAATATCAAATTAAAATTAGTTAAAACTTTAGTGTTAAATAGTATATCTGCATCTTAATATTGGCCTTCTTAAATTACATGTTTTAATTAACCAATAGATATAGAAGAATTAATATTATTTAAAATCGATAGTAGTTTTAGATATATTTTCTTCTTTCTTATTAATAAATAGGAGGAGGATGAAATAACCTCATTAACTGAGCTTAAAAAGCCCTTTATATTGATGAAATATCCCCTCAAATATTGGATAATGGTTCATGATAAAGGAGAGGAAGATTTGATAAAATAAAATCTTGATAACAGACAGAAAATATAAAGATACTTATCTATTTTAAAAAAGTTGTTTTTAATTTCAAATGCATACTCATAACCACAAGCATGTAATTTGAGGAAGCCAATTCAATTTCAATGTTAAGTATTAGAGGAAGAAATCTTAGAATAACTAAACACTATTTAGTTTTGTAGGCAACTACCTGCGACAGAAGACGAGTTGGTTAAGTTGAATATGGATAAAATTAGAAATTCGAATAATGCTGAATTACATAGATTATTTTTAAAAGAAGCTTATTTATTATAACCTTGCTGTACTCACATTCTAATGTCTTTTAAATAAGAGGAAAGTTCTAATTGTCCAAGATATTGCTTTGATAAATGGAAATGGAAATTGAAGTCTACATTGAACCTACTCTACACATTTGGTAGATGTATAGTAAATTTATTCCAAATCATTATCTTTGATCCAATTTGTAATACCTCAGGTAGAATCCTATATCATCTTCTTTTGCTGAATACTGCATTAAAATTAAAAGATTTTAGGTTTCTGAACTACCAATCTAAATGATAAAAGATGTGAAATGGAATAAAAAAATGAATTACTTATGGCTTGCTTATATATTGATATATTCGAATAGAAGAAACAAAAAGCTAGCAACCAAAGTTGTTAAAGATTTGTGAAAACAAAAGAAAACAAATTAACAATGTATTGGATTTGATATTGTGATTTAATTATTGGTCTTATGGAAATGAAAGCGTGGCTTATAATTATTAGAGATACGCCAGAAAAATATTAATGAGGCTATAGGTTTATTAAATAAAGTGTACTATTCTCATTTATTAAGCTACACTTGTAAATAATAGCCTAATCCTTACTTACTATCTAATTTCAAGCAACAAATGGTTGAATAATTAAAAGCAATAAACTTCAGTGTTAACTTCAGAGAAAGTATTAAATTAATTAAAATTAGTTGTAGAATTTACAACTAGGAATATTACTTAAATTATTATTAATACAACTAAATTACTATAATCATCAAATATAGCTGAAAAAGCATTAGTATTTGTAATTTAAGACAAAAAAAACAACTCCTCAATTAAGCGTTATAAAAGCATAAATTCCTTTATTTAATAAAAGCCATGCTGAGGGATTGGTTTGATATAAAAGGTATTAAATTAAAATTCGAGAATTCTATGGGTTTTTAATTGAAGAGATCTTATACTTTAAACAGAATAATATATGAAGCAGAACCACTGTAAAAGAACTTTCCTTTTTATCCAATTTTTGAAATCTTATGAAGATTAGGGTGTTTATAATTTAAATTAAATTTACTATAAGATGCCAAAGCAATTTTTGAGAAGGTTTTGTTGTCATGGTTGGGTTTAAGAATTGAAAATTTAAGATAAAGACATTCTATATCCAAGGAACTTCTTTGTTTAGCAAAAATCATTGAACCTTTAAATAGAAAGGTGTGGGGGATATTAGCATAAAATTATAGAGAGAACAATAAGTAAACAGTGTTTATAACGCTTGGATTAAACATACTTTAGTCATTTAGGTTTATTACTTGAATTAACTGAAGAGATGTTTAGTGTTAAGTTAGTCAGACTATTTTGGGTGCAAGTTTATGCTTCCAAAATATAGTTTTCTAATATTGAAAAGGTATTAAAGAATTTAGGTTAAGTGCATTCATTATTAGGAAAAAATGAAATGCAAAACAAGACCATCTTAAATCATAGAATTATTTTGGAAAGTGGAAATGAGATTGAAAGGATAAAATTTGAAATCAAGTTATTATGTTAATAATACTAATATAATCAATATTCCTCGTCTTCTTCCCAAATCTCCTATAAAATTTAGACTAAATTTTTGAGCTTGATTTTCTTCTAGAATGGCTAGTAAGGACCTTTGATTTAACGAACAACGTCCTCAATCTATCTTCTTTCTTGATTGTTACCCATTAATTTTGATGGCTGGAACATTAATTTATATAATAACTAACAATTACTATAATTTAATTTCAAATTTATGTCAACATCATCCGATTTCTAGCCTCCTTCTCCAAGTCTCTCGCCTAATTCACAAATAAAATGTTATCAAGAACAATTAGAAAAAGCTCATTCAATGATTGATTATTTGGAGGTAATGCTTTCAGAGAAGCAAGCATTGAAAGAGAATTTTAATTCATTTAATATGCCCAAGAATAAGTGTCACATGAAGAAACAAAGTCTTTGCTTAGATAATATACCTTAGGCTATTTAAATTCAATAATTTGTTACTCCCAGAGAAACAAATCAATAAATGAGATTCTCATCTGCCAATATGCCTAATTACATTTCAGAATTGCAATAAAAACATTAAGAAATCCTCTCATCTAATAAGGAAAAATCCACTGTTAAAAAGCTCTAGATCTAAGAAATATAAGAAAAAGTATAGGATCTTTAAGATGAAATAATTATTTGTAAAGAGAGGTAAAAAGGTACTGAATTAGCAAAAGGCTAAGCAGAAGAAGTCCTTGAATAAATTGATGTAGATATTCTGCAAGCGAAGCAAAAATTAAAATAAGTAAAATCATAAGGAGAGTAAATCTATGATAGTATGATAAAATTAGAAGATTAAGAACATGACAAAAAATATTATATGGGCAGAACCTCTACATTAAAGAGAAAGAGAAGTGAAATACAACCGCCAAATCAAATCAAGAACTAATTAACTTAATTAAAAATTGAAATTGAATAACTCAAACAGTCCAAAAAAGAAAAAGAGGAATTTTATTCATAAAAAATCAAAGAAATTGAACAATAATTAGATTAAAGAAAAACTAATGAGTCAGTGCCTGATGATTAACTGAATGCCTAATTAAGTCCTGATAGACAAAAAGTAAGGGTTTATAGGGGAAAGTAAGCATTGTTGCAAGTAATTAATTATCAATATTGCAGCTTACACTCAATTCTGATTCTTGCTCGAGGTCTTATGGATTAAGAAAGTCATAGGAAAACAAATTGAACTCAGCATTTGATTTCAAACAATTTGATGAACATGAAAATGTTTCAATCGATTCTTTTAAGAATAAAGATAAAAAGAATAGAACCTGCGATCCTTGCACTATCTTTTGATTATATACATAATTAATATTGCCTCTATGGTATTAATTGCAAAAATTATTTATTCAAATAATAGTACAATTAGTTTTAATAAAACTATTACTGTCATGTTTGATAATTGAGATTTATTCATATCTTAAGGCTTTTCCTTAGTGATAATAATTGCACAGGAATTAGTTAGTAATATTTTATTTCCTTAATTTCACAAACAGTATATTATTAATATCATCCAGTTCAACATAATAAAATTTACTTAAATTTCAGTCAGATTTGTAAGTAGATGAACCCTTTGGATGATGAAAGCTCTGAACAAAATTTGAACCAATAAACTGATTTGTTCAAGTTCTTCATTAGTTTAAAGGTTGAAGAGCGATTTTTTTTCATTAATTCATATTTATTATTAATTAATGTAAAGAGAAAAGCGCATACCTTCTAGGGCTTGGCGATATGAAGAATACTCTCCTCCAAGAAGACCCTCTTAATCAATAAATCGAAGACAAAGAAAGAGAGAATTATGCTATTATAAAATACAAAAAATATCATAAAATTCTTAATTTACTAAAGAAGAAGATGAAAGCATTCTTTAATACGTTAAAGAATTAGGACCTAAATTTGTTAAGATTGCTACTTTCTTCCCTAGCAAGTCATACAGCATGGTGAAGAATAGATACTACAAACATTTAAGGAATAGGCTGTTTGAAAGAAAAGGAAGTTAAGAATTGAACCCTAATAATCAAGACACTACTCAACAGCTTAAAAATTCAATACTACAGCCTAATAATGAGAAAATAGAAGAATTGAAATAACTGATATCTTCAATAAACTTGTTTCCTGAAATTACAGAAATAACCAAAAGTTTCATTGGTGAATTGTCAAAGCATTTGCTCTGAAATTCAGAGGTAAACTCTGTTGACATTGATTTTAATTCATTTGTTAAATTTATATAAATTCAATCATTACAATACTGTGGGCTTATGGAAGGCAAATTAATAATTTTCCATTTTGCTAAATAAATTTAAGGATTGAAATTAAACACCCTTTTTCAATGAGTTTAAATATTAGATATTAAATCCCAACCATCACTTTCTAAATCAATAGTTATAAATTCTCAAATTAATAAATTACGTTATTTCAATAGGTAAATCAAAATAAAAATTAAATAATTTTTATCAATATGATGTTTAATTCTTCAAAATTCTAGAATTTCTAAAAACATAGTATTTTAATTAAAAAATATGTCGAACAACTTGTTACATTAAATGAATAGTTTTATTTATTATGACTACTATGTATCCATCATTTAGGGTATTAAATATTTTAAATTATAAATATTTTAAAAATTGATGTAACAGATGTAACAACAAAGATTAGCCACTCATAAACTTTTGTCTTTTTTATAGCTTTACCGTGATTAGATTAAAATCTTACTTTTTTTTAATTGATATCAAAAGAAAACAATACAAGTTGGTTATAAATGTTTGGCATCAACAGATTATATTTATAATATCAAAATGCTTGAGCTAATTAGGATGTTTAAAATTAGTAAATTTTCCATAGGTTAGGTTAATTAAATATAATACTATGATGCTAATTGATAATGATTTTTTTATGAGTAAAAATTTGGTAATAAGCTGATGATATAATATTAGTTTTGAGAAAAATATCATAAAGGATTTAAACAATTCAATACACAATCAATAATATTGATGATTTAAATAACTGCTTTAGTATTTCTCATTTTATTCAAATATAAAACAAGCATCAAATATAAATGCCTATAATTGATTGCAATTAAATTAAAATTTGAAAGTATAGTATTAGATTCTTCGATACTAAGGTTTTAATGTTAATTTTTCTGTATTAAACACTCATTTCCAAAGGCGTAATCTAAATAAAAAGGCAAGGTGAAATAATAAATATTTACCAGAGTGCTATTATAGACCAATACTGGATAGTATATATCTTTAATTTTATTTGATAATTTAATTTTAATATCAATTACACCTATAATAAATTATATACAGTAATAATTTTCCTGTTATTATTTATTAATTTTATTAATCCCTCCAAATTATTTATTTAAAAGATGTCAAAGAACGTTGAGGATGTTTATAAGATGGTTTCATAGGTTGAACACATCTTATTGAGACCTGATACTTACATAGGGAGTGTGGAGATTTCAGATTAAGAATTATGGATTTGTGAAGATAGTGATTAAATTTCATTCAAATTTGAGGAATTTAGTTATTGTTAAGGATTGTACAAGATTTTTGATGAGATATTGGTGAATGCAGCAGACAATTATTAGAGAGATAAATCTACGGATCGTATATCTGTGTCAATAGATAATGATTCTATAATGGTAGAGAATACAGGAGCCGGCATTCCAATATAAATTCATAAACAATACAACATCTATGTGCCAGAGATGATTTTTGGAAGACTGCTCACATCTTCAAATTATGACGATTCTGAATAGAAAGTGACCGGAGGTCGAAATGGGTTTGGAGCAAAGTTAGCAAACTTATTTAGTTCTTATTTCAAGGTGGAAACCATTCATCAATCAAAGAAGTTCACAATGATTTGGACAGAGAACATGAAGAAACATACATAGCCAGAAATCACTAACACAAACGAGAAGCCTTACACAAGAATAACATTCAAGCCTGATTTAAAGAACTTCTAGACAGATAGATTATCAGACATAGTTCCATTATTGTAGAAACGTGTAATTGATTTGGCAGGCATATTGCCAATATCAGTATATTTGAATGGTAAGAAGGTGGCAATCAACAATTTTAAGGATTATGCTTAATTGTATGGAATAAATGGAAAATTTGCATATGCATCTTAGAATAAGCCATTCAAGTGGGAAATTTTGGTAAGTTCATCGGATGGTCAATTTAGTCAGGTTTCGTTTGTAAATTCAATTAATACCATAAGAGGAGGGACTCATGTAAATTACATAGTGGATTAAATAGCTGAAGGCTTAATGAATCATATTAAGAAGAAGTACAAAGAGATGAAGAACATTAAGCCATTTTAGGTAAAGAGTTTCATAAAAATATTTTTAAATTGTTAAATAGTGAATCCTGCATTTGATTCATAGACTAAAGAAACCTTAACAACAAAGGCCTAGAAATTCGGGAGTACATTTGAAGTAAGTGAGAAATTTTTAGATGAAATCATAAAAAAAACTGATATTATCGACAATGTTATATTGTAGGCTAAATCGAGATTGAATAAATAATTAAGTAAATAATTGTCAGCAAAAAAACAATAACGATTATTGGGAATAGATAAATTAGAGGATGCAAATGATGCAGGTACAAAAAATGCTGATTTATGCACTCTGATATTGACTGAAGGAGATTCTGCTAAATCTTTGGCTATGGCTGGTATAGAAATAGTAGGTAGAGATAGATTTGGAGTATTCCCCTTGAGAGGTAAGTTATTGAATGTTAGAGATGCCTCTATACAAATGATAATGAAAAATGCAGAAATTGAGCAGTTGGTGAAGATAATGGGATTGCAATTCAATAAAAACTACGAAAATACAAAATCTTTAAGATATGGATCAATCATGATCATGACTGATTAAGATCATGATGGACATCACATAAAAGGGTTGATAATTAATTTCATAGAGAAGTTTTGGCCTTCTCTATTTAAAATGAAGGGCTTTCTTAAACAATTTGTGACACCAATTATCAAAGTAACTAAAGGCAAAGAGTTTCATAGTTTCTTTTCTATAGGAGAATACAAGAAGTTTATTGCTGAAAATCCAAGGGAAGATTACAAAGTCAAATATTACAAAGGGTTAGGTACCTCAACTGATGCAGAGGCATAATAATACTTCAGTAATTTAACATTGCATAGGAAAGTGTTCACTTACTCTGATCAAACAGATTCCGATTACATTGATTTGGTATTCTCAAAGAGTAAGGCTGATCAAAGAAAGGATTGGCTATCAGAGTATTCATGGAAATAAGTTGAAGACACTCTTGATTACAGTAAACCAACTGTTCGATATCGAAATTTCGTAACTGATTGTTTGGCCATGCATTCAATCAGTGATAATTTAAGATCCATACCTTCTAGCATCGATGGACTCAAACCTACATAGAGAAAGATCATCCACACTCTTCTTAATCATAGCAAATAAGAATATAAGGTTAGTTCTTTAAGTGGGTTGGTTACTACTTACGCATAATATCATCATGGAGAATAATCTCTTTAATAAACAGTAGTGGCAATGGCATAGAATTTCACTGGATCCAATAACATCAATCTATTATTGCCAATAGGTTAATTTGGTACAAGATCCATGGGGGGCAAGGATGCAGCTCAAGCTAGATACATAAGTACTAAATTAAGTTCTCTGACAACCAAACTCTTTAATGAAGATGATTTGCATACCTTGAATTATTTAGATGAGGAGGGATACACCGTTGAACCATTTTGGTTTGCGCCAATCTTGCCTTTGGTTTTGATTAATGGAGCTGAAGGTATAGGTACTGGTTGGTCTACTCAAGTGCCAAATTTCAATCCAAGAGAGATTTGTTAATAAATTAAGCGAAAATTGAGGGGAGAAGACTTTGAAGAATTGGTACCATGGTATAAAGGATTTACTGGTACAATTACAGCTGGAACCAATTAATATATAGCTAAAGGTTCCTTCATCTAACACAAGAATCACTTATATATAACTGAAATACCTCCGAAGAAGAGTGTTAAGGAATATTAGGCATTCATCTAATCTAAAATGGAAGTTGCTGAAGGCAAATCAGAACCTGAAATCTTGGACATGAAGGAATATCATGCTGGCAATAAAATTTGTTTTGAATTGAAGGTTACTGATGAAGTATTAAAGTAAGATCTAGAGAAATACTTTAAATTGTAAACCACTATTGCTATGACCAACCTTGTATTATTTAATGAGAAAGGTTTATTAAAAAGATATTCCAATGTTTCAGAAATCTTAGAGGAGTTCTATTAAACGAGAATTAAATTTTATCAATTAAGAAAGGAATACTTACTTTCCAAATATCAAAATGAACTGGAGCTGGTCCAATCCAAATCTAAATTTATTGAAGGGATGATAGATAATTCCATATAATTGAGAGGATTAAAGAAACTTGAAATGTGTAAGAAACTATAATCTCTTGGTTTCAAAGGAATTAGCAAAATGGAAAAAATAAAGAGCACCAGAATCTCTAAAGATTTTGATACAGACAACTTAGAAAAATAATATGATTATCTACTCAGTATGCCAATGTGGAATTTTAGTGAAGAAAAAATAACAGCTTTCAAATAGTAAATCAAATAATTATAGGATTAAATTACTGCTCTGAATAAGAAAACCCCTTAATAAATCTGGTAGGAAGATATTGATGAATTCTTAGAGGAATTAACTAAGGTTGAGGAGTAAGAAACTTAAGAAATGATTAAAAGAGTAGAAAAAAATGCTGAAAAATTATTAAAGGGCGGAGCAAATTATTTAAAAGCTGTTGTATTAAAAGGAAAGGATGATTTTGCTTAATAAGAAGATTATGATTCAGAATCTGATGGGGATGGTCCATCTAGAGATCCAAGAGTACTAAAAAAAGTCATTAAGGAGTTTGCCAATTTTGGTATTAAGTCATAAAGAGATGTTCCTTAGTAAAAGTTTAAATTGTAGATTGAAAAGCAACCAAAGAAAAAGGATTCGAAAGAGAATCAGGATGATAATAAAAGCGAAAAACCCATTTCGATGGATCTAGAAGATGACAGTCCTAAAAGAAATAAAAAGGTAGTTGATAGTTAAAGTGAAGATGAAATAATTAATGTCAAAAAGAATACTAGAAGAAATTAGAAATAAAATGATGTCGAAGAAATCCAAGTTTAAACTAAAGATTCAAAAACCAATAAAGTAGATGCAAAGCCTAGTAAGGCTGAATCAAAGCTTGAAAAAGCTGAATCAAAAGTAACGAAGACCAGTAAATCTAAAAAAATAGTGCCTCAAATGGATTCAGAAAAAAAAGCATCTGAAATTAAGAGAAAAGCTGAACAAGAGAAGGCTGAGGAGGATTAAAAATTAATAGAATAGGAAAAAGAAGAATTAGAAAAACAACGTGTACCAGTTGATTCTTTAAAAGTTCCAAATCAAGATAAGGAGGAGATGGATCTATTCTAAAAATATGGATTTGGAGATTTTATGAAATACCTCACACCATCTAATGGTAAAGATAATAATCCTATTCCATCTTTGGCTGATAGAATACTTTAAAGAACCAAATAAGGAGAAATTAATTTCGACCAAATTATTGCTGATAAAAAATAAGAAAGTGCATTAAAAGAAAGAAAAGATTCAGATAATGAAATTGATGATTACTTATAATTAGATTTAAGCGATGATTCAGATAAGAAATAAAAAGTAACAAAGCCTAACCAAAAAACTACAGCAGAAAGAAAATCAGGCAAAAAGAGCATTGAAAAATAACAATAATAAATTACAGCTACTCCTGCTAAACGAAAGTAAAGAAAGTAAATAATTGAATCCAGTGATGAGGAACCATTGAACAAAAAGTCTAAAAAAAAATGAGTATTTAATTAATCATGATATTTAATAAGAAATTTGAATTTCAATAAGAATAAATAAATAAATGTCTGTCAACTTAAAATTATTCATAGTTATTTATTTTCTTAAATCATTATCTAATTTTATTTCAGATTTATATATATTATTTTTATACAGAAATATAAAAAATCTCAATCCTTATGTAATTAACTTAAAGGAGGTTTTAAATCCGGAATACGATTTGAATGTTAAGATAAGTCCTTCAAAGTTGAAAAACAAAATAGATATTTTGTAAAATATTTAAAATATCTAATTTTCATATCAAGAAGTAGTTTTTCAAAAAGACTAATATCAATAATATTAATTATACAAAAATTTGATAAATAGGATTCCAATTCTGAATAAAATACACAAAAATTGAATTTTTAAATAAACAAGTTTGCTTAAATTAATTTTAATATTCTTTATTGGGAGAAAGAAAAAAATTTTTCGTGAATTGTCTCTACATCTAATCATAATCATAATCAAATCAATAGATCAATGAGAATGAAATATATAGATATAATAAATAGATAATTTTAATCAGAGATTTAGTTATGATCCAAGGAGATAATAATAAATTAGATCTATATTTTATTTATATATTAACTATCCTGCTAGATTTACTTATCTATGAAAGATATTTCTAAAAAGTAATTAGAATCTGTATTATATTTTATAATGGATAAAAATTATAAAACTTTGATTTATATAAAATAGTTATAAATATAATTATTTACAACAATATTTTCATTGATTTAATTTTCTGATCATATTCTAATATTAATATTAATTATGAATAAAAAAGAAATTAAACAAGATGGTGAACAGGCTCCATTGACCAAAACAAGCCTGCTTAAGATTGAATCAAGGGAAGGATAGATTATATATATATTCACAAAGTTATTTGATCATCCAATACGATAATAAATTAAATTTGCATTTGGATAGATTAATGTGTTTATTGAGAAATAAGGAATTAAATGTTTCAAAAGTGAAATGAATAGCATGGAATGCTTAAATTAAGGGATTGACTGGGATTAGAAATATTTTGACAAAATTATCACTTGTTTAGAACGACCAGATAAAGATTTTAGGTATTATAAATTAATTGTATTTAATAGTTATTCATTTAAAAGAAGTGAAGGTAATGAGCAAGTTCCTTGTGATTATGTATTGATATTGTCTGAGAAAGTGCATAAATTGAATGAAGTAATATTGTTAAGAGTCTATTTGATTGAAAATTCATCCCTTTCAACTTTAGATCATTTTTACAGAGTTTGTAAGGAGATTTAAGACAAAAAGGAAATAATGTATAAAAATTTAGAAGAAAAATATACAAACTTGACTTAATAAAGATAAAAACTATAAACAGATATTGAGTTTATAAGTAATCAATCATAATCGAGAGAAAAGGAGATCCTGAAAAAATTTGTCCTCCTATTAAATGAAAAGAAGAAAGAAATATGCAGATTAAATTAAATAAATGGTTTAATTACAAATTAAATAATTGAAGAAGAACAGCAAAATAATAATAATAATAATAATAATAATAATAATTATATAAATGTGGATGACTTTTTTGAAGAAAAGTAAGTACCAGTTAAGAAACAATATGAAGAATAAGCTCAAAGTTCTTAATTCCCAGTCAGTTAAATAGATTAATTTTTATTCACCTAAGACACATAATTTAAGAAAGATCTCAGAGAAATCCCATCAAAAAAGACAAAATTATGATAATTTGTTATAAATTTATTATTGATCTCAAAACAAATTAATTAAAAAATGAAAACCTCATTAAATGTCGTCTATTATTGTTTGAATTGGAGCACTTCATAAATATTATATAATTATAAATACCCATCTTTTTATTCAAATTACAATTTAATCAAACCAATTTTTATGTAAATCCTCCAAATTAGTTTAAGCTTTATTTATAATTTCTAACGGGAGCTAAAAATGATGATATCTTTTTCAAAAATAAACACAATTAAATGATGATTTTATTAGTTGTCATAATTATTAATTTCTTTTGAAAAAAACCAATTTGAAATGGTTGAAGTAACAATGATATGCATATTGTTTTTCATCGCAGATCCCTATTGTTTATGGAAAACATAATTCACTGAATAAACATTTTCAACTTTCCCTTCAAATTGGTAAATCATTGGGGCACACAGGTACAACTATTGTTGGGGGATATGGAATTGTTGGATCAGGAAGCTAAATACATGGATCATACTCTAACCTCCCAAATCACAGCGCACTCAAAGTGAGAATAAAAGTGTACAGAGGATGCTTGGATTAATGTGGCTGGATTTGTTACACAGAGAACTTGGTATTTAGATTGGGGATGGAGTGATATGTGTGGAGCCGGTTTTCGTGATGGATATTTTTGGGAAACCTTATAAGGAAGTCATACTGCAGATACTTTTTCTATAAATCTATCAAATGGTTTGGATGATGACGCATACAATGGTAAATGAGACATCAAATTTTAGAATCATTAGGTTTAAAGGATGTTGAAATATATCTAAAACCAACATAATGTGTATCATTTTTTAGCGAATGTAATTATACTGGAACCATGAAAGAACTTTGTCTAGGATCTCCAAATTTGGATAGAAGAAATATACCTTAAAAAATAAAATCAATAAGAGTTGATGGTTGTGGGAAAATTAAACTAACAAAAAAAGGATCTGGTTCTATAACAATAACTGAAAATACTCCATGTTTAACAGAATTTGATGTAAATAAGCAAATAAAAAATTAAGTTCCCTCCAGTAGAAAATTTAAATAGGTGAAATGTGTAAAACTGATGAGTTTTAAGTACTTTATTGAATTAGCTTTTAATTTTAATTAATTTATTAAAATAAATTATTTTATGAAATTATCAAATGTCATATTCCATAATATTATTTAGCTGTCTTTGTTAGATTCAGCTGTTATATAATTTTACACCTTAAATTTGCAATTTTTGAATTAACTTAGTAGGATGATAAGTTACATACTAATCATCTGTACAATTTTATAAATAATAAGTCAATAGAATATTTGGATAAAGGTTGATTATGCATTTTAAAGGTTCAATCCAGTTTTGACATTTTCTAATAACTAAAGTTATAAGAATACAAAATTACCCTTTTTCTGATATAATTAAAAATTTTGAGGTTACTAAGAGATGGTTTCTTTGTATAGATATTATAATTTTATCAAATATTTCTCATCTTATAACATTTATTATTATAGGAATGTAGGCATTAAGATTTTACTTAATAAATTCTCTGGCATTAAATATTCTTTTATATTTTTCGATACTCCTAATCTTAGTTTGAATTAATTTATTCATAATTTTTATTTTGGTTTTAAATATGAATTTTACTGAACATCATTTTGTAATTACCTTTCTTTAACTCTAAGGAATCTTTATCGTTTTCTTTATTGCCCGCAAACTTTTTATATGTTTTCATTTTTTATTAATCAGTCTTTAATAAATTAATCATAATTAAAACCTAGCCTATAAATTATTACTGACTTTTATAAATAATTTTAATCTAAAATTCCAAAGACTCATTATTTTTTACAGTTTTAAATCTCATATTGTTATTTCAAATTTCTATTATAAGCACATTGATGTGAATGTACTCAATTAACATTCTTACTCTTCAAATGTAAAAATAAATTTCGAGAAGAATATTTCTTAATAGGTAATTAACATAATTTATTAATGTATTCAAAACAGCTAAATGCTTTTTAAATTTGTTGTAAAAATACTTTTCTAAAGCATAATAAAGTTAATTTAGAGATTATAAGCTACTTTTATTTTTATTTCAGATTTCCAATATTATTATTATAAAAGCAAATCTTTGAATAGTGCTTTTACATTCAAAAAGGAGTATCTGTTAAGCTAGACTTAAATGAATAGTTGGGAAAGAGTTTGCCTTAAAGAGAAGACTTAGCATAAGTGTTAAATCTCTCTACAGGTCATAATCGTATCCACATAATTTTTAAATAAGAATGCTTTAATTAAAACATATTCTACAGGATTGAGCAATTTTATATTCATATATATAAGAATGGAATTTTCAAGATAATATGTATATTTTTGTCTAATTCACAACTTGCATATCTTGGCTGAATTATTATAAATCAAATTTTTCATCATAAATAATTAAATGCAGAGAACATCCAACTATGGTCATAGAGATCACGAAGCTATTCATAAATAGTAAATTACACAACTATTCAAAATTAGCATGAAATTTAAAGAATTGCTGAAAAAAAGTCATGATTATGCACCTAATCTTCAAAAATCCTCACCAGAACAACCTTATAACTAAACCTATATTAAATTAGCCTTAAGCTTTTTAAAACAATAAACCTGCTATAATACAAAGTGCAAAACCATATATGACTTCCTTCAGAGTAAAGATCCCCACTAAATTTACATATTCAGAAAATAAGCCATATTTAATTAATCAGAAATCAAAACCTAATTTGAAAATTAAATAATCAACTAATATAGATAAAATATGATTAATTTCTTCTAAGTAACTAAGATCAACTCATATTCTGAAGGTAAAGTAGAAAAAACTATTAAAATCCATTAGAGGAGGAGAGCAAAAGTAACCATTAACCGCCACAAATATCTAATTAGAAGAAAAGTAAGCAATTTAAGAGTGAGTGCAGCTTCACCTCAAATAAGAGACAAAGTTACTGAATGGATATATATCAGAAACATGGTAAAATAACACTGAATTTTCAATCAATTTAGTAAGAGTGGTGAGGGGAAAGGAAGTTGTGGCTAAGATAGTAGATCATTAAACAGCAAAGCCGCCTGAGAAGAGAACAGACATTAAGAATAATCATCTTCTTTAATAATAATAACTAGTTGGCGAGAATTATGTTAGATGCGAAAAACTAAAGTTTCCTCAATTTCACCCATCAACATAATGATAAAAAATAGTTATATTATATTTATAAATTATAATTTATAATACAAATCAGACATTCAATTAGTCTCGAAAGAAATCATAATAAAATAGATCTTAATTTAGTTTATTATCTATCATATCAAACTTTATTATTATGAAAGAAATTTCAACGAAATTATTTTTTGAAGCAATTTAATCTTGAATTATATTTTATTATGGATAAAATTAAGAAAGCTGATTTAAATAAAATAGTTATAAATAACAGAGAGAAAGGAGATTTAAAATATTTCTCCTCCTATGCAGAAGGAAATTGTTCATCCAATAGCCTAATTAGGTTAATTTTTATTCACTAATGATGCATAATTTAAGAAAATATAATTGAAATTTCATCAAAAAAAGACAAAATTATTATAAATTTATTATTGATTCCAGAATCAAATAAATTTAAAAATAAAAACTCAATCAAATTCTTCTAATAAAGTTTAATTGAACAACCTCATAAATATTCTAATCTTAATAAATCTCATCGTATATTAAAATTATAGTTTTATACAAATTTATAAGATAAATACTCAAAATTAGATAAGCATTATTTATATATTCGAACGCTATAACCATGATCATCATTAAAAAAGTGAAATATTTTGATAGTTTATTTTTCATAACAACACTGTTAAAAGTGGATTTTTTTGTTTTTCATATTTAATAAAATTATTTTTAAAAAAACTTACATCTATGGTTGAAATCACAATGATTAGTGTATTATTTTTAATGACAGATTCCTTTTGTTTATGGAAAACATAATTCACTGAATAAACATTTTCAACTTTCCCTTCAAATTGGTAAATCACTGGGGCATATAGTGGAAATAGACTTTCTGACTGTTCAGGTACTACAATTGTTGGGGGATGTGGAATTGTTGGATCAGGAAGCTAAATACATGGATCATACTCTAACCTTCCAAATCACAGCGCACTCAAAGTGAGAATAAAAATGTACTATGTTGATTCTTGGGATACAGAGGATGCTTGGATTAATGTGGCTGGATATGTTACTCAAAGAACTTGGTATTTAGATTGGGGACCAAGTAATATCTGTGGAGTAGGTTATAAAGATGGAGTTATTTGGGAAACTTTATAAGGGGCTCATAGTGCAGATTCTTTCAATATTTAAATTACCAATGGATTGGATGAAGATGCAGGCAATGGTAAATTAATAATCATATTTGTAGAATCAATAGGTTTAAAGGATGTTGAAATATATCTAAAACCAATATAATGCATATAATTTTTTAGTGAGTGTAATTATACTGGAAACATGAAAGAACTTTGTCAAGGTTCTCCAAATTTGGATAGAAGAAATATACCTTAAAAAATAAAATCAATTAGACTTCATGGCTGCGGATAGGTTAAATTAACAAAAAAAGGATTGGGTTCAATCACAATTACTGAGAATACTCCTTGCTTAACAGAATTTGATGTAATTAAGCAAATATAAATTTAAGTTTCCTCCAGTAGAAAATTTAAATAGATGAAATGTATGAAATTGATAAGTTTTAAGTACTTTATTGAATTAGCTTTATAATTTTAATTAATTAATTAAAATAAATTATTTTTTTTTAAATTATCAAAAGTCACATTGCTCCATTTCTTAGTCTGTATCATAATAAATATTTGGAATCATTCTGCAACATTATCTAGCGGCCTTAATAAGATTCAGCTGTTATATAATTACTTCATTTTAATTTATGTTTAAGGATTTAACAAAAAATAAAATTCCATAGTACATTTTTATAACTAAAAGTGGAGAGATTTAGGAAATTTTTTAACAGCCTAATTGATGCATTTTAAAGTATCAAGCCATTTTTGCTATTTTTCTAATTGTCGAGCTAAATATATATAAAGAATGCAATATTACCTTTATTCTCATATAATTACATATTTTCAGGTTATTGAGAGATCGCTTCATCGAATAACTCTATAATTTCATCAAACTTTTTCTCANTTTGTTTTTCATATTTAATAAAATTATTTTTAAAAAAACTTACATCTATGGTTGAAATCACAATGATTAGTGTATTATTTTTAATGACAGATTCCTTTTGTTTATGGAAAACATAATTCACTGAATAAACATTTTCAACTTTCCCTTCAAATTGGTAAATCACTGGGGCATATAGTGGAAATAGACTTTCTGACTGTTCAGGTACTACAATTGTTGGGGGATGTGGAATTGTTGGATCAGGAAGCTAAATACATGGATCATACTCTAACCTTCCAAATCACAGCGCACTCAAAGTGAGAATAAAAATGTACTATGTTGATTCTTGGGATACAGAGGATGCTTGGATTAATGTGGCTGGATATGTTACTCAAAGAACTTGGTATTTAGATTGGGGACCAAGTAATATCTGTGGAGTAGGTTATAAAGATGGAGTTATTTGGGAAACTTTATAAGGGGCTCATAGTGCAGATTCTTTCAATATTTAAATTACCAATGGATTGGATGAAGATGCAGGCAATGGTAAATTAATAATCATATTTGTAGAATCAATAGGTTTAAAGGATGTTGAAATATATCTAAAACCAATATAATGCATATAATTTTTTAGTGAGTGTAATTATACTGGAAACATGAAAGAACTTTGTCAAGGTTCTCCAAATTTGGATAGAAGAAATATACCTTAAAAAATAAAATCAATTAGACTTCATGGCTGCGGATAGGTTAAATTAACAAAAAAAGGATTGGGTTCAATCACAATTACTGAGAATACTCCTTGCTTAACAGAATTTGATGTAATTAAGCAAATATAAATTTAAGTTTCCTCCAGTAGAAAATTTAAATAGATGAAATGTATGAAATTGATAAGTTTTAAGTACTTTATTGAATTAGCTTTATAATTTTAATTAATTAATTAAAATAAATTATTTTTTTTTAAATTATCAAAAGTCACATTGCTCCATTTCTTAGTCTGTATCATAATAAATATTTGGAATCATTCTGCAACATTATCTAGCGGCCTTAATAAGATTCAGCTGTTATATAATTACTTCATTTTAATTTATGTTTAAGGATTTAACAAAAAATAAAATTCCATAGTACATTTTTATAACTAAAAGTGGAGAGATTTAGGAAATTTTTTAACAGCCTAATTGATGCATTTTAAAGTATCAAGCCATTTTTGCTATTTTTCTAATTGTCGAGCTAAATATATATAAAGAATGCAATATTACCTTTATTCTCATATAATTACATATTTTCAGGTTATTGAGAGATCGCTTCATCGAATAACTCTATAATTTCATCAAACTTTTTCTCATTTTCTAAGACAGTTGCTAAATGTATTCCCTAATACCTTTAAATAGATATGCTTCTATATTTTCTGGATGCTTCTTAATCATGTTATCCAAAAATATCCGAGCTTCTTGTACATCATTAATCTCATATAAGAATTTTACTGAAAATATCATTTGGAAAAATACTTCTCTCTAATTCTAAGCATTCTTCATCAGTTTCTTATAACAATTAAGTATAACATATTTTCAATTATTCATTAATCCAGTCTATAATAAATAATAATAATTACCATATATTCTATTTAATTCATCATTACTATCATTAGCTCGATATTTTTTTGATACTTCTTTCTTGTATTTTCTCAAAGATTTTTCTAGAATTATTTTGTTATTAAACTTTTCATCTCATAATGGTACCTGCAAGCTGTCTTTTTTTGAATTAATTCATCAAAAACCTGAAAGGCCTGAAGATACTAGTTCAATTTATATAAATTGTCTCCTATTAAATTTGTGAGATTCAAACCTTTTGTTTCTAAAAATACTTATTTATCAGGAAACATTTTTATAGCCTTATTACAAACTGTAAGTATCTCCTCGTATTTCTTTTTATTCTGTAATGCTATAACTACATAAATCTAATTATAAATAACTTAGAGACAAATATCCTTGATGAACATCACAAAATTATTAAACAAACTATCTCCACATCTCTATATCTTACTCTTATAAACCACATTCGCTTAAAACCTTTGCTAATTACAATAACAATATGAATACATTTCAAAAGATATCCATCTAATTACTAAGGGTTATTAGAAATAATTTAATCACACAATTCCAAAGACTCATTGGCTTTGTTTTAGCTAAATAATGCTGCAGCTATGAATTTGCTCAATGAATATTTTTACCTTTCATGAATAAAGATTAATTTTGAGAAGGAAATTTCTAGAGCTTTGATTCACACAACTACAATATTTACTCATACCACTATTATTTTTCATTCGAAGAAAAACTTCCATATTTTACTATTAAGAAGGTTTCTAAAATCATTATGATCTTACTTAAGAGATTATAAGCGTGAAATTAATTGAATGAGGTTTACACTATAATCCTTTTAGATTTTTCAACAGCCTCAGAAAATTTGTTTTGTTATATCAATTGCATAACTAAAAAATAGATCTTCTTTACTTTCTTCTATTTATTGTATATCGATATTTATCATTACATGATTCAAATTATTTTACATTTAAATATTAAATAACTATCTGATATAAAAATTACAAACTAAAAATTCTATAAGACTTAAGAGAGCTCAAAATTTTGTTTATAATTGAATACATCTTATTAAATAGAAAAATTTAAATCATTATAAGTTTATTATAAATTTAAGTATATAATTAACTGATTATAATCGATTAGATCTTAATCATTATTATAAAATTTAAACTTATGAAAACAACAATGTTGATGGTCTTAACACTCTTAGTGTTAGGGAATTCTTAATAGGTAGACATTCACGCTAAAGATGTCTATTTTATTGTTAAGGGAGTGGTAGAAGGAGTGTAAGTTGATGATCACGTAGAAGTCAAAGAAATTGTGTCTTGCTTAAATGATTCAGAAGCTTTGATAGAAAACATCGTGAAGGCTATCACAAATTTAGAAACCTAAACGTTTGATGGGGTCAAAGAAGGAATTAAATTAATTGGAGTAGCCATTCAATAAATCCCAGATGCTATCACTGCATGTGAATCTGGCTCTGAGGAAATGGTGGCCTTGTCAAGTATATATAATTTTAATCAATAGAACTTCTCACAAGTATGCTGGAACAATTGAGAAGCCCTTGGACATTCTCATATAAAATCGGTTATAATTTAATTGTTAATGGTCTTGATATCTATAAGGAAATTAGTAATTTCTATATCTAAATTCTAGGCACCGCTATAAAAGACTGGAAATCAGAAATATATGAAGATTTTGGAAAACAGATCGGATTTGTACTGGTTTAATTACTTAAGGAAACAAAAAATATCGAGGCTGTTATACTCGATGATGAAGTCGTAGGAATAATATTTGAGGGATTGCTTGATGGAATTGTAGATGCAAGTGGAATCAAAGCCAAGGACATTAAAGCTTGCCTAAATGTTGCAGGTGGAATTGTGATAGATTTTGAAAAAGCTGTTAGACTATTGGAAGATGGTTCTGTCTCAAGTGTCATCTAGGCTTTATAATCATTTGTAGAAGGCATTGCTGAGTTCCCAAAGGCTCTTGAGACTTGTTAGGCTTCTTCTCAAGAAGCTGTAAAGTTGGCAGAAAAAATCAAAGACTTAATTGAAGCCTTATCTAATCCAAGTTCATTCATTTATCATATTGGAAAAGATTTAATCATCAATGGAAAGGACATTTACTAAGAGGTATTCATATATTTTGATTACTTTAGATATTCGCAGCTGTGGATGATTGGAAGTATGGAAAATGGACTGATTTCGGATTCTAATTGGGTAAAGCTATGGAATAAATTTTCGTTGGACTTGAAAAAGAAAAACTATATTAATTATGAAATATATATAATTTCATACTAATAATAACATTATTTTTTATAAATTTAGTATTCTTAAGGAATATCATAATATATTTGATCAATAATTATGTTATTATAAAACTCATTGTTTTTTGTTATTTTCAAAAACATAGAAATAAACTGTCCCATTGATTTTCCTCTCCTTGGTCAGAACCAAAAGATCAGGGTCTTAAATTATGGATTCCCAATCTCTGTTACAAAATTGTCCTAAATTTTATAAGTATTTAGCTTATTTGTATTCCAAATACAGATTGAGGATGTCATAGGTGCTTCTACCAGATGTGAGTAATAATATCTTGCCGCCCTATATATACAAATTCATTTTACCTGGTTTACAAACTCTCTTCATCTCTGATATAGCTTTTTCAGGATTTAGATAATATTCTAACCCAAAAGTGTCCAAAACGGTATCAAAAGTATTATCTTTGAAACTCATATTCTCGACATCTTCCAATCTATATGAAATATTAATGTTTGATGCTGATTTTAATAATGCCACCTCTAAGACATTACTGCTCCAATCAACAGCTGTCACATCACTACCTTATGGATAATACTTCAGATTCCTAGAAGTCCCAACACCTGTTTCTAAGATCTTCCCTGAGCAAAGTCCCACTATAGTTTTTCGATATGAAGTCTAAGTTTAAAAATAGTGTTACGATTTTGCTTGTTTGTTCGTAAGAATCAAATGTTTGATCATAAACATAGGCAGCATTTTAATGTTGCTGGAGTAAATATTATCTTTTATCAGGAAGGGTGTCAAAGTATAATTCTTTATATTGCTTAGCTTCATTTATTTTATAACTTCCATACGCAGCAATCCCAAAAAGAGCTTAAATAATTGCTAATTCCATTTACCTACTGAAGCACCTACAAATCTGCCAATCATAAATAATTATAAAATATAATCAATACTAATCCACTGATATATTTTTAATATTTTATAAAAACATATTATAACAACAAATCGACTTAATTAAAGTTCTTAGGTTGTTCTAAGTGATATAGGTCATTTTATAATATAAGTACAGAAGTTATACAATTTAAGTAAAAAATATTCTGATCAAAATTGAACAATAGCTTTCTCATTTTTAATCAAGAGACCTTAGAAACCCATTTGAATACTCTAAATTATATCAATTTCAATTCAATTTTAAATTTAATTCATAGAAAATTAAATAATTAATTTTGGTTATTATAATAATATGTCGAATATAATAGCCATAAATTTGTAAAATTTAAAGTATTTATCAGATTTAAATTAAGAGGAATTGTTGAAATTCAATGACCTTGAATAGAATTGGAATAATTAAAATAATAATGAGTGAAGAACATCCAGCAGTAGTAATTGACAATGGTTCTGGTTAATGTAAAGCAGGAATTGCAGGAGATGATGCTCCAAGATGTTGTTTCCCAGCAATAGTTGGAAGACCTAAGCATAAAGGAGCATTAGTGGGAATGGATTAAAAAGAGACCTATGTAGGTGATGAGGCATAAGCTAGAAGAGGGGTTTTAAGCTTAAAGTATCCAATTGATAATGGAATTGTTAATAATTGGGATGGTAAAAGTCTTATATTAATTGTAGACATGGAAAGAATTTGGCATCATGCATTCTTCAATGAATTGAGAGTGTCTCCAGAAGATCATCCAGCACTTTTGACTGAAGCTCCAATGAATCCAAAGGTTAATAGGGAGAAGATGACTCAGATTATGTTTGAAACATTTAATGTCCCATCATTCTATGTTTAAATACAAGCAGTTCTTTCCTTGTATGCTTCAGGGAGAACTACAGGAATAGTTGTTGATTCTGGAGATGGTGTAACACACACAGTGCCTATTTTCGAAGGTTATTCTCTTCCTCATGCAATTCAAAGAATAGATTTAGCAGGTAGAGCTTGCACTTAGTATCTTGTGAATATTCTGAATGAATTGGGAATCTCATTTACTTCTTCAGCGGAGTTGGAAATAGCCAGAGATATAAAGGAGAAATAGTGTTATGTTGCATTGGATTATGATGCTGAAATGAAAACCTATAAGGAGAGTGCTGCACATAATAAACCTTATGAATTGCCAGATGGAAATGTTGTTGTGATTCAGAATTAGAGATTCAGATGTCCAGAATTATTATTTAAGCCAAACTTTATTGGTTTGGAAGTGCCAGGAATTCATGAATTAACATTTAAATCAATAATGAAGGCAGATATTGATGTTAGAAAGGACTTGTAATATTTAAATCTTATAATTATCTAGATATGGAAATATAGTTATGTCTGGAGGTACAACTATGTTCCCAGGAATTCCTGAGAGATTAAGTAAGGAATTAACAAATTTGGCCCCATCCTCAATGAAGGTGAAAGTAGTGGCTCCACCAGAAAGAAAGTTTTCAGTATGGATAGGTGGATCAATCTTATCATCATTATCAACATTCTAATCTATGTGGGTAACAAGATCAGAATACGATGAAACAGGTCCTTAAGTGGTTCATAGAAAATGCTTCTGATTAATATTATGTCGTTTTAATTAACTCTAAGATAATCAAATTTGATCTTTAATTGATAATTTCATCTTCTACTTAATGGTCCTGCACTACCTTATCGTGTTATCTACCTANTAATATGTCGAATATAATAGCCATAAATTTGTAAAATTTAAAGTATTTATCAGATTTAAATTAAGAGGAATTGTTGAAATTCAATGACCTTGAATAGAATTGGAATAATTAAAATAATAATGAGTGAAGAACATCCAGCAGTAGTAATTGACAATGGTTCTGGTTAATGTAAAGCAGGAATTGCAGGAGATGATGCTCCAAGATGTTGTTTCCCAGCAATAGTTGGAAGACCTAAGCATAAAGGAGCATTAGTGGGAATGGATTAAAAAGAGACCTATGTAGGTGATGAGGCATAAGCTAGAAGAGGGGTTTTAAGCTTAAAGTATCCAATTGATAATGGAATTGTTAATAATTGGGATGGTAAAAGTCTTATATTAATTGTAGACATGGAAAGAATTTGGCATCATGCATTCTTCAATGAATTGAGAGTGTCTCCAGAAGATCATCCAGCACTTTTGACTGAAGCTCCAATGAATCCAAAGGTTAATAGGGAGAAGATGACTCAGATTATGTTTGAAACATTTAATGTCCCATCATTCTATGTTTAAATACAAGCAGTTCTTTCCTTGTATGCTTCAGGGAGAACTACAGGAATAGTTGTTGATTCTGGAGATGGTGTAACACACACAGTGCCTATTTTCGAAGGTTATTCTCTTCCTCATGCAATTCAAAGAATAGATTTAGCAGGTAGAGCTTGCACTTAGTATCTTGTGAATATTCTGAATGAATTGGGAATCTCATTTACTTCTTCAGCGGAGTTGGAAATAGCCAGAGATATAAAGGAGAAATAGTGTTATGTTGCATTGGATTATGATGCTGAAATGAAAACCTATAAGGAGAGTGCTGCACATAATAAACCTTATGAATTGCCAGATGGAAATGTTGTTGTGATTCAGAATTAGAGATTCAGATGTCCAGAATTATTATTTAAGCCAAACTTTATTGGTTTGGAAGTGCCAGGAATTCATGAATTAACATTTAAATCAATAATGAAGGCAGATATTGATGTTAGAAAGGACTTGTAATATTTAAATCTTATAATTATCTAGATATGGAAATATAGTTATGTCTGGAGGTACAACTATGTTCCCAGGAATTCCTGAGAGATTAAGTAAGGAATTAACAAATTTGGCCCCATCCTCAATGAAGGTGAAAGTAGTGGCTCCACCAGAAAGAAAGTTTTCAGTATGGATAGGTGGATCAATCTTATCATCATTATCAACATTCTAATCTATGTGGGTAACAAGATCAGAATACGATGAAACAGGTCCTTAAGTGGTTCATAGAAAATGCTTCTGATTAATATTATGTCGTTTTAATTAACTCTAAGATAATCAAATTTGATCTTTAATTGATAATTTCATCTTCTACTTAATGGTCCTGCACTACCTTATCGTGTTATCTACCTAGGATCTCTTTAGGATGTGACTTGGAGTGGATTGTGTCTTTGAGCGGTGGCTTAATTTTATAGAATTGGTCTGGCTATTCTATTTGGAGCCATTGGAGGAGGTTGCTAAATTTCGGATTACCCTGATTTCTTTGGAGGCAACTAACTTATTTGATTAGTATTAATTTTGGTTTGGATGCTATTTTAAGTTTTTAGTTTTTGACAAGATTCGGATCTCTTGGGTTTAGCAATATAGTTTTATGAGGGTAGATTTAACTATTTGAGATTTTTCGGTATTTATATTGTTTATAGTAGATCAATCTATATTTTACCATCCACTATAGTTTAAACAGCCAGGTTGCCACTGTTTTTTATTAGTAATGAGGATTATAAGAGTTTATCACAGTTAAATCTATCTTTTGGTTTCACTTTCAACATAAAAGAGATAAATTGATTAAGATCCTAATTATTTATTGGGTCAAACTGTCCTGATTATATTTTTAAATTCAAATCCTACAAGTCTTTGCCATTAAATGGAGGTACTCCCTTAGCCAATTCATAAAGTAGACATCCGAGAGACCAAATATCACAAGGGTAGGAATATGTTGTACCTTGCCAAACCTCAGGAGCCGCATACACTAAATATTGAGAAAAACCATACATGGAGTTCCAATTACAGTTTTGGCCATATTCCCCTTTGCAATTTTGCTAATGTTTAGATCACCGATCTTGTATTAATAACCTGAGGGAGAATTCACAACTAAAATATTGGCTAGTTTAAGATCTCTATGGAGAATTTGATTGTCATGGAGACATTTCAGTCCTAGGAGTAACTATACAGCGATTCTCCAGATTTCTTGGGTAGTGATGAGGTTTTGCTGTTGGAGTTTGATGAGATTGCCTATTGGAGCGTATTCCATTACGATGTAGAGAATGCAGCCATCTGAATCTAAAAATGAATCCTTGTATTCGATGATGTATTGACTGGCGATGGAGGCCAGGATTCGTATTTCGTTGAGGGTGCTTAGTTTTTCGTTTTGAGTTTGAAGGGAGAGATTAACTTTCTTCAGGGCATAAAATTAGTTGTCTGCGATTCGTTTGACCTTAAGAAAATAAGTGATGGGGATGTTACTTTGTAGACTTGACTGAAGGAGCCTTCTCCCAATTTGTCTATTATAATAAAATCATTAATCGTAGTGGGCATTAATAAAAATATAAAAATGGAAATAATCATTCACACTTTCGAGAGATTCTTTGGTCCAGTCGATTGGAAGCGTCTTAAGACTGATGTCCTTTGTTAGTCCTTAGTAAAAATGTGAGCGAATCGTATTTAGGTAGAAGAGGGATTCAGTCCAAAGGAAGCAAAAGAGTTATCTTGGTTGTATGGCCATAGAAATATTGGAAGAAACTTTGGTATGGATATTAGGATTATGGTGTAGGATTTTTGTTGGGTGTTGGAGTTGCTTATTGTTGCAATGGTTGGATTACCAGATGGACCTACAATGTTCCTTACCTGAGACTCCATCGCTCTTCATTGTGGGTGTCCAGAGCATTGGTGGTGTTTGGTACTCTCCAATTGTTTGATTACTACTCGACTGCAAGAAGAAAGGGAGGTGATTCAGGTTTGGGTCATGATTTGATGTGGGTGAATACCAGATACACAGAATCTAAAGAAAGATTTATTAGAAATTTTGAAGTTTTGAACAGAAAATTGTCAGACATTGAGAAGGAGATCTTGACAGTATGATTTGATGCTTATGAATTAAAGGCAAGACAAATTCAGTTGACTTCTCCAATCAAGGATAGAAGATGGGTGTACAATCCATACATTCATGGTTCTGATGAGGAGGCCTTTTGGAGCAACGTGAGGAGAAACTTCTTGGATAAATTGCCTCCATGGGAGAGATACGATGTTCAATAATAGTAATTTGAATTGTATATTCCAGGATCGCTGCTGATAACAAAGAAAAGATTGCTGAAGGTGAGTAAATCAGATTGAAGCCTTACAAATTAACAGACGATGTTGATACTTCAGGTGTTAAATTTGGATTCAGAAGAAACCCATTTGTTAACAATTGGACTCCACTTTAGTGAGTAATTCCATTTAATCACAATAAAAATAATATTTATCATAGATTGTATACTCCTGCAATGGAGATAAAAATATTAATTAACTAAATATCAGCGTTAAAGAAAACGTTCCAACATGGCTCTCAGAGTGTCTGATAGTTGTTGATGATATTGGATTGATCGATTACTCATCAACATAGATTAATCAAGGGAACTCTACAAAATTTGAATCAAATGATCCTCATCGCCAATAAGTTTCAATTGCTCATTCCAAAATTTGGCTCCAGTGACTTGTAAATAGATATTCAAATGATCTTACTTTCAAGTTTGTTGAGGAGAGTAGTCAAAGATTCCTTAGCTTGTTGGTGGGTGTTTTTAGATTGAGAGTAGAAAAGTTCTTTATCTAAAAGATCGAAGGAAGATTCTAACTGTTCATTCATCATTTCAATAATGGTCTCTTGTATGACACTGTGCATCAAACTTAATAATAGCAGAGCCTCATTTTTTGAATTCGAATGGTTGCTTTATTTAAACAATCGATCTACTCCTTTGATGAAGAAATCCAATTCCTAGCTAGGATTGGATTTGAAGAGACCGATCATTATCTTTGATTCCAATAATTCTAGAGTTTTCAGAATATCTTGAATATTTGGAGAATCAATTGCTAATTATATAATTGTCCATTTTTACCTTCTTTAATTTTTACAAGTAAAAAATTGTACTCCTCAAATCGCCTCTACGTATCCTCTCTAGTCTAATGCTTTAATTTCGCCAATTCTCTTACGTCAGCCTCAATCAATTTATCCTAGCATAATGAATTACATAAATGATACTTTCTCAATTATTAGGCGTTTTAGAAGATTTGTCACTTTTAGGTATGTCTCGTGTATAAATAGTTCTAGGCTGTCCTTCTCCTTTTTTTCTGAATTGACTCTCTGCTTAAGTAATTTGTGGATCTAAAGTAACCATTATTTCACTCACATCAGCGTAATGTTCTAAGTAGATTTCCATCCCTTCCTCCTCAAACTCCCTATCCTATCGAGACTTCCATTCTAATTTCTCTAAGGCTGAATAATATTCCAATTACGATATGGACTCCTTAATACTATTCACTTGATTGTATATTTCCATCAGATATTATTCTTGTACATAAGCCAGAGCCGGAATCAATAATAAATATAACATAAATTAATTAATTCTAATTGCATACATATCTCTCCATATCATCTCAACCAGCCACCTTAACGAAACTTCCTAATATTAATAATTAAAAAATGTCAAAATCATCTGTTATTGATGTATTCCTGAGAGTGCGTCCCACTAAAAATCCATCAAATCTCTTTAAACTCAATAAAGATGAGGGCACAGCAGAATTCATAATTCCAAAGAATCCAGACCAAGGTTATATCAATAACTAAATTGAAAAACATACTTTCAATTTCGCTGGGGTTTTTCCTACTGACACCACCCAAGAGGAAATCTTTGATAAAATAGCCAAAGACGTTGTTGATTCAGCTATTGAAGGTAAGGAAATCTTGTAATTGAAGGTTATAATGGAACAATATTTGCATACGGATAAACAGGATCTGGTAAAACTTATTCAATGACTGGTAATCCTGAGGCTAGGTCATCTGCAGGTATTATCCCTCGTACCTTATATCATATCTATGATTATGCACGCAGAGAATAAGAATTAGTAACATTCAATTTCAAATATCAAATTAGATAATCGATGTCACCATTAGTTATCTAGAAATATATGGGGGATCTGGATATGATCTCTTAGTCGCAGACAATCGATCCAGAAACCTTCACGATCTCCCAAAGGTTTAAGCAATGGCAACGGCAAATGGCTAAACTATTTTACAGGGATTGTCATTGAAAAAGGCATAAACTGAGGAAGATGCTCTAAATTTGCTATTTATAGGAGAATAGAATAGAGTCATTGCAGAGACACCAAAAAATGATGCATCTACGAGATCTCATTGCATTTTTATTGTTATTTTAGAATGTCGTAAGCCCACCTCCGATGTGAAAACTGTATCTAAACTTTGTTTGGTTGATCTGAGTGGTAGTGAAAGGATTGGAAAAACTGGAGTTGAAGGTATTCTCCAGAGAGAAGCCACAGGCATCAATTTATCATTGCATTTCCTAGAATTGGTTATTGATTGTTTGAATCGCTAAGCCAATGGCGAGAACATTCATATTCCATACAGAGATTCACTCATGACTCTTGTATTAAAAGACTCTTTGGGTGGTAACTGTAAGACAAGAATGATTGCTACCATGTCTAGTGAACCTGATGATCTGCCTGAATCTATCTGCACTTGTCGATTTGCTGGAAGAGTAGCCAATATTAAAAACAAAGTAACGAGAAATGAGGCTGTCGATCCGTTCATTATCATAGAGAAATTGAAAAGGGAGAATTAATAATTGAAGGCTGAATTAGCAATGATAAAAGGATAAAGTATCAAAGACCATCTGGAATCTTATGAGATTGATGAATGCAAGAAGAAGGTGGACGAATTTTTGAACTCGGATGACCCTGCAGCTATTCTGGTTGTGAATGACCATCTCAAAATGAATGAGTGCTTTTTCTAGCTTAAACACATGCTCAAAAATTTAAATAAGAAGGCTTCTTCCTAGCCTGTTGTTTAGCAACCATAAGCTATCACTACAAATAATAATCCGGTTGAAGTTTAATAATTAAATGATGAAGTTTTGAGATTGAAACAATTAATCATTCAGAGGGACAATGAAATTATGATACTACTCAATCTAATATAGAAGGGTAAAGGTTCTAATACTAATCAATCGTTGGTATTGCAAGGACCTATTTCTGAATAGCCTGAAATTCAATAGGCTAATACATCCAGTATTTTATAGCCGATTGAATTTCCAAAGCAAGCAGAAATTGATAGACAAAGTTAAATATTCACTGAGAAACCTGCAGTGAAGAAATAGAATTTTATGCAAGGCAGTTTAGATAGCGAACCAACGAGTCAGATAACGAAGACTACGACAGCTTAATTCAAAGAATTAAATGGCATGTTATCAGAACCAATTAACATTTCTAATGATTAATTGCTAGATCGAAATTCAGCATTAGAGATGTTCAGAAAGTCCTATAGAAAAGCATAAGCTCAGGAAGATTTAAAACAGGAACTTCAGGAAAAGATGATGACGAGCAAAGAATTAGGGTTGTTCATTAATAATCAAAGAAATGTTATTAGTTAATTAAAGGATAAGATCGAATAGACAAGGAAAGAATAAGTATTGTTGGGATTAGTAAGTAGTGATCCTAATCAAGTAAGTACGGAGGAAGAGAAGCTGATTGCTGAATATAACAAGCAGAAGGACATGTAACAAAAATTATGATGAAAATAGATATAAATAATCATTTGACAAATTGAAGTAACTGAAGGCAGAAGTAGAGAGAATGAGCACATAGTTGAAGCACAGCCGAGAGAAAATGTAACAGGACTTTGAGAAATGGATTGACATGATGTTGAAGTAGAGGAATTTGAGTATGGCTGCAACTTCTGTGTTATCGGATTTCAAGAATTTATCATAAAAAGGAGGGGAGGATGTCAACAGCATGGTGCAGCAATTCTATAAAAACAAAGAGATTTGTAATTAATTATTATAAAAATGATGGATTTACTATAAATATTTTGTGAAATTTTGTTTTGTGATAATGTTTACGTTGATACATATTTAGATCACTCTGTGATTTAATACTTCTTTCTCATTTCGAAGTACTTTCTGTAATTTTAGTCTCTTGATCTTGATACGACAATGTCTTTGGCATGAAGGTAGGAGTAAAACATTTGGGTCAATGGCATTCCTTGACGAGCCAATCTTGAAATTAAAAGGCAATAAATTACTTGTCGTTGTTGTATCCTGTATTAATAAGACCACTTCCTTCGGAGTTTTTACCAGCTGTCAAAAGGTAATATTCTCTTTTTTAAATTTGATCTAATTATTATTGTGATGCTCAGTTTACTTGATTCCATTTTGTATTTATAGAGAGTGCCGATCACGCCCAAACCAAGCATTGTTGTGATGATACGTCCTTTTGGTTATCTGATGCGATATGTCTTCCAATAGATGTAGCCGAAGGGGTTTTTAATGAATCGGAAGAAATTCTTGAAGAATCTCCTCTTGTTGCCTCTGTCGATAAACTTCTTTTGCATCTAAGAGAAGATATTAATGATGGGCTCACTCTGAATTTCTCCATTTCCCAATCGTAAGCTTTTCCCATGGATCTCCAAATCATTTCCAATCTCTCTCTCTTGTTGGGGGCATGATAATAGAGATAGTGTTGTCCGAATGTACGCATCTTCACATCGGCGTCGCCAGTGGATTGGTCACGGATCCAAATGTAGTCTTACTACATACGCTCTTGTGCGTTGGTCATTTTAAATCTTTTTTAATATTAATATCATTCGTAGTGGAATCGTGAATCAGCAGGCAGATTTTGTGCTAGACGTTCGTAAACATTCATGCGAGATCTCTTAGAAAGAGCCTTGGTTGCATAGTAGGCATTGGAGAAGGGACTCCGTGAAAATAGGTCAGATTTCCTCTTTTCCAATCTTTGTTCCTGGACTAGCTAGTAATAAAACCAATACTCTTCTATTCCAAAACACTATCGTTTTTTTCTATGACTTTGTTGAACAGAGGTCTCAGATTGAATCCGTAATCCTTGATCGATTAACTCCGCAACTTATTATCCATCACTATTCTGTACATCGTTTTGCGAGCTTAAATCATCACCTTCTGTTTATCCTCAAATGAAACTTCCTTTGCATCGATTGTGCTTTTCGATTGCGATTGAGGTTTCTTAGAGATCTGACTAGATTTCATCATTTGAATCGCTGGAGTCTAAGATTGGAGCGAACATTTGAAATGCTTGAATTGCTTGAACATCTCCTACAATTAAGCAATATTCTATATTTTCGATCTTGAGAGAGTTCCCTTATCGAGATGTCTACTCTTGCTAGTATTTTGACGAAACATGGGGATATGTTATTAGTCATCCTCCTCAAGCTGCAATATCAGCTTCTTATGATAACCGTGATGGGAGTGAGAACTCTTTGTTTTAGAGAGACTTAAGTATGGCTAATCTGTCATATTTTAGTAATAAATATTAAAATAATCTCTCACTTTGACCAGAATCCCCCTTCAGTTTTAAATGGTGCTCTATCCAAACCTCCTTTGTTGTTGAGATTGTGTAGAAAGTCTATTCCGTTGATTACTTTGGCTAAACAATTTTCTATGATCAATATTTTTAATACTCAAACAGGCTTCCTCCTTAACGTTCATGGCTCTCTCATAATTCTTCAGACACTTCTTATAACATAACTTATCGATGGTTAGTATCTTTTAACCAACATGAGAAAAATCTCGTGCCTCTTCCATAAATAAATGATAATTAAAAATAATTCAATTTTTACTCATTTCAGTATTGTTCAGCAACATAGACAACTCTTCATTCGCATTCCCATTTTGTCTTGGCCTTACCTTTGGTTTCGGAATATTGTTAAAACTCTAACGAGTAGGTTCAATATTCTATTTTCCTCTAATTGTGGTTTGGCTTGTGCTCTGCTTTTTCAATTTGTCAGGCGTCTTGTATTTCGCTGTTTATTTCTTATTGCAAGAAGTACTATTGTTTTTATGATGAGTGGACACAGACGGTTGTAGAACATCCATTTCACTAATGAAACTTTACAAGACATTCTTGAAATTGATTTCACTCAAGTCTTAAACAGTCAATTGAGACGCAGTTTCATTTATAGTTTGTTTAGTAAAATTATTAGAATGGTGCAAGTAAGTAGGAAACTCGATTTTAAAGAATTCTTCCGATTCCACACTCTGATGATCTTCCTCCTCCTTTTCTTTGACCATCTCCACACTTACCAAATTACTATGCATGATTTCATCCAAATCTATTTGCTGATATTACTGCACATCCACTTCATCTTCCTTTTGTTCCACCAATCTGAATTACTCAATATCATACTCCTTCTTCGAATCCTAATTAGTAGACTATCCTCTCACTTGCTATTCAATTTGCAACTTCAATAACTAACTTTAATAAAACTAAATCGTTTATTCTAATTCTTGATTTCCAAGTTACTTAACATCAAAATTTAACTATTATTTCATTTCTGATGCGTAACTATATAACTGATTATATTAAAGATTTAGGGATTGAATTTGCTCATTCTATTATTACATCCTAAGTGTACTTTAATTATAACACTCATTTAATTGGAGATATTATTTTTTAACTAACTCATAATTAGATAAAAGAGTCTTTCTATTTTATTCACTTGCCTTCAAAGCATTCAAAACCAATTTGCCTTAACAATCATGTTAAGGTGGTTTTTTTACTTTCTTACTAGTAACTAGAATGTCTCCTGCACCATCACAATGGAAGTCATGTTTGAATCGATCTGCCCAAGTGATTTCTTTGAATAGTTTAGGAATGCATTTGAAATTCTAAGCATTCTAAGTACTAATTCTATTTTGCAATGATTAATTTTCAATTTATAATTGGTTTAATTGTTATTCAAACCCTTCCTTCTCCTCTACTCTAATTTTTTCATAGTCATGCAATTTCTTCTCATAATCAGACAGCAAGATCTTTAATGCCTCATCATCATTTTGATAATTGATGTTGGCTAACACTTTGGTTTCAATCTTTTTGGCATTCATCCCAAATCTTAATGTGGAAATGGAATAATCAAAATGCAGAGCTGCAGCATTGATGCATAAAATGATCAGAGTTCTGGATGATCCATCCAAACTAGATTTAAGAATCTTGGTTAGAGATGAATTTCTGAATGGTACATGACCCTTGTCCTCAGCCTTTAAATAAATGACTTAGGTAAGAAAGAATAAACTCTTATTGATGTATTGACCCTCCTTGACTCGTCGATTGGTGTCTTAGATTTCAGCATCTTCAAAATGATTGGATACTTTTTCGGACCCAGCCAAATCAACAAAGTTAAGAACACTTTCGGTTACCATAGCTCCTTTGAGTTGATTGTTTTCAGCCTCTAATTATTCTAGCGTTGGGAATTTGTGTGAGGATTATTCCCTTCTATATTGTCGAATAAAATTATTGGTAATTGATTGTACGTATAATCGAAATATAGCGTGAGACCTGGAACTGTTATGATTCATGGCAGTTTGAGCATAGTGTCGGTTGATTTCCCCTCTTTTTAGCACCTCGAAAATTTCGTTGATGGATGATACAGATTATTCAATGAGTCCTTTGACATAGAATTCCTTCTTTTGATCTTCGTTGACTTGTAAGGTTTCCTATAATTTGGAGGATGGTTTGAGGAGATCGAATATTTGTTCATTGTAGATTTCAAAATAGGAACAACGCAACACGTAAGTCTTATTGAGATCAGCCTCGATTTTAGCAAACAAATCCTTAAAACTCTGCAATAAGACGCCTTCATCATTTTCCTTGCCCAACATCGTGTAAGTCTTGCCACTACCAGTTTGACCATAGAGGAAAATGGTGCCGTTGATACCATTGGTAGATCCAAGCACCAATGATTTGACCTCTTTGGAGTAGATGTCGGCATTTTTGCTGTCTTGACTGAAGCAGTGATCGAAAGCAAAGGTTGTGCGACCCTATCCATTGGGAGGCTTTCTCATTTGATTGTTGAGGAAGATGTGTTGATCGTGAAGGGCCCAGATGGAGGGTTCTGGATCGGGACGTATACGGACTGCTACTTGTATGTTTTCCATAGATTTTTCAGTTAAATTCAAATATATATATAATAAAATTAATGAGTTAAGAATTACTCCATTGTCCGAAATGTTAAATGAATTTCGATAGATACACTCGAACGCCTCAAATGTTGCCAAAATGTGGGCATTCGATGTGCATGCAGTGTCTTAAGGAGTCGTGTAAGATCATCTGTCCAGAAGATGGGTACCATATCTCAATTTACCAGATTGCTCTAACCTGCAGATCTCTCACTCTACCCAATTAACCAAGCTGTTTTGAGAATCATCTGCAAAAGCCAGGATAACGATATAGCATAGAACCAAGACAAATTGCAATAGTGTCCCCAACACCACAAACTGCTTGAGCTTATTTGTATAGATGACAAGTGCAGAATTTGTTCAAATTGTGCCTTGTTTGGTATGCACAAGCAACACAACATTCAAAATGCTGAAGTACCCATAATTATTGATTCTTCAGTCTCTGGATAAATCCATACAGGAAAACCTCCAATAGACTCAGCAGTTGACTCACACCATACAAGACAAAGTCAAATTACTCAAGTTGCCCCTAATCAACAAGAAGATACACGACTAAATTGGACTTTGTATAAAATAATAATAAACTCTTGCTGAAGAACAATTCAAAGTATCTTACATCAGTAATCCTAGGAAATCATTAATTAAATACTCGCCAAATAGCAGAAAGTACTTGAAGAGATCGAATAGAAGTATAAGCTGTTAGAAGATCAATTTTTCAAAAAGGAGATTCTTACTATTACTTCCATTCTTGATAAAGCTGATTTATGGATCCTTGGGTATTTATTCTCACTTAACACTTAGATCCAATCAAAAAATCCGCGAGTATCAATCAGCCAAAGTAAAAGGAGATATTCCATACACTTTGTTGCTCCAAGACTCCTCAAATAAGCAAGGTAAACAAATCCTTGAAGAAATCGATGAGTATCTACTCAAATTCCAAAATAATCTTCAAGACATTGTTTCTGCTATACCCAGTGCCAATCAATATGAATAAACTTATTTCGATGAGCCTAACATACTCAAAGATCTATCTATAATCGAGTAGAGTTTCCTAAAAGAAATCGACGAAAAGCCACCTCATAATGAATTCCTAGGATCGTCTCTGCCAGAATCTACTTGCCAATCTCAACCTTCTTCCAACAACATCTCTTAGAATGCCATAAGTCCACAATAGCCACATTAAAAAAGGGCGTCGCAATAATTCGCTTTAGTTTCGCCCAAGGTATAAAGTAGACAACAATCTGCTTCTCCCAAGAAACCAGTAGTTAAGAAAAAGTTAAACACGAAGGTTGAATCAATTTTATTTAACTGTAATGGCGACTATCTGGATTTATCACAATAAGGTATTACTAAGTGACATATTCGTATAGATCTTGGAGACGATGGAATTCTGATATTAGAGGAGTAGATACGGAACAAGAAGGTGAAGATTGTGAAATTGATGAGAAATCGGATAAGTGATGTTGGTGCTATTAAATTGATGGAATTACATTGTTAGGTGTTATACTTATAATCAAATGTAATTACGGAAAAGTTTTTGGATATGATAATGAATGCTATACAAAAGCAGATTCAAATTCACATCAAAACTGTATATTTGGGTCAGAATCTCATCAATTAGTTCAGAGTGAAAAAGAAGATAGAGGATCTCAAAAAATTAGGAATTTCAATTTAAATATGAATTTAAAATATTTATATTAATTATATAATGAATAATTGGTTTCTGAGCGTTACACTCATAAGGTGTATGGCAAAAATAGGATCATGTTCTGATGGACATTGAGATGGCTGAACTCGAGGGAACCATGTGTGATTTGATGGAATTGCAGTAGAATTGATTGGTTATATGTGGGTTGATATGATAATTATTATTAATTAAAATAAAATTTATTCATGAGCAGACCTTACTCACCTACGAGAAGCAGAGCAGAGAAGATTGTTGGACAGTTGAGCGAGTTGACATTGGGACACAAAGATCAAGTATGTGGTGTTTAGTTTGATTGAAGACTTCGAGAATAAAGGAGGCAGAGGAGAGAGTGGAAATCTTGGAATCAGCTATAAAAGATCTTAGGGATACTTTGGAAGGAAAGGTCTCTAAGATAAAGGAGGGCTTGGAATATGTGTAATAGGTGTTGAGTGAATAAGAACCAAAGCAGGAGGATGAACAATAGATGGTCGAGGATATGAAGAAGGCGGAGGAGAGTGTAAATGAAAAGTTGGAGGAGTTGAGCAAGTAGAGAGAGGAAAGTTAATAGAAGTTCAACGAATAGGTCGAGAAGGATATCCAGGAATTGAGAGAGCAGATCAGTTAGGAGAAGAGTGAGAGGAATCAATCAATCAAAGAGATTAATGACTGTTTAGAGGTAGAATGCTGAATAACTATTAAAGAGTGATTTGCCACAGTTGCAGGAGATGTTGCAGCAGAATATCAAGGAGAGAGATGAGATGGATCGAAACATCAATGCACGATTGACTGAGGAATTGCAGAGGTTGTCCCAGATTATTTAACAGGAGAAGGTGAGCAGACAATAGGGAGAACAGAGTCTGTTTGAGATGTTGAAGGATGTGGTGAATAGAATTAAGAAGGAGATAGACGAGGAGAAATTGTTGAGAGAGGCCACTGAGAATGATGTCCTCAGTGTGTTGGAGGAGACTCTGAATAAAATTTTAGCAGCTCAAGATCATTGATATATATAGATTATATAGATAATAATAAATAATTAAATGTAAAATTCAGACAACTCCGACGAATACTACAGCGATGATCAGCAAGACTCTCCCAGATTTCTGTACAGCTTTAAGGAGATAAGTCTTTAGAATAAAACCTTGTTGGCTGAAATTAGAATTATATGCAAAAACCTGATCTATGTGATAGGCTTGGCACCCGGCATTGCAAAGGAGGAAGTATCAAGCATTTCATTAAGTCAAAAGCTACTGAAGAAACCAGAGTATTTTGGGCAGTATGGTTAAATCCAAAAATTAATAGTAATTTAGAGCAACACTTTTAATCCACCTTCACATGCTGCCTACATTACATACAGAAATGAACAGGAAGCATCGATGGCAATTTTAGTAAACATCATATTTAAAATTTACGGCATGCGAAAGATTCCCACTGCATGACAGATATGTGAAGGCATCTTTTGGTACAACCAAATATTGCACCAACTTCCTTAAAGGATAGTAATGTAAGATAAAGGACTGTGTTTATTTGCACCAACATCCAAAGGATAAGGAGTCGACTCAAGTCATTAAAAAAGTATGCCTCTATTCTATGCCAGGAAGAGATGAACAATTCTAAATGGCTCTTTTCTTACTCCCAAAAAATAGCGTAAGACAATTTCAAAAAATTCTATACCAAAATCAACTACAAAAATGCTCTCTAAAAATCTGTCTTCCTCAACACTCAAAACATTCTTGATCGAATGATTCAAGATAATATTGTAGATCGCATCCCAGAGCAGCCCCAACCTCCACTACAACAACAGATGATTGAGGACACACTACCTATCGAAATCCCTGTATCCTAAAAGCCTATCGATATCGAGAAGCGCTTGGAAGTAATCATACAAAACAGTATTATTCATCTCTTAATACAAGTGGATGGGGATAGCAATTCGAGATTCAAGTTCACAAATGGCAACTGTCCACAAGACTACGAAGCAATCTAGTAATTGAAGCAATCCCTTCTGAAATGATTATGCAAAGTCAAATAATAATAACAATAAAACATTTAATCGAATTTAATTGATTTTTCATTTAATAGGATAATCAATTTAAATTAAATGTTATTCAAAGTTATAAATAACATTTCATCATGCATTAATATATAACATAATATTCAAAATCTAAATCCCATGATTACCATCAAGCAAACTTACTCTCAATTTAGAAGACTAGATCTATTCGGAATGGATGTGAGATTATTAGCTCAAGGCTAATAATCCTACCGAACAAATCTAGGAGCATTTATGACATTATTTCTATTCAGTCTGCTTGCCTATTCATGCAATTCCTTCATCCTGGAAATGAATAAGGGGAAAAACGCGATTCTTAATTAAAAAGAGTCTCCTCTACTTCAAAATGAAGTAACCACATTTTTAAAACAATTTTAGGGGTTTAGTTTTAATTCGTCATAATTCATCTACGCAATCGGAATGGTTGACAGCTTAGGTTAATACGTTCCTAATGAGAACAACCGCATCTTTCAGGTGAGTTTTTATTATTGCAAAAAATCTTTAGTAGAGACTGCTTGCGAGGTTTTCCCTGCTGTGATTTGTGGCAGTCGCATAGCTGAAGCAGCCAAAGTACTCAATTATCTACCCATTAGCAAATGAATGTTCCTGAAGACTACCAATACATTACCTATTGTCCTGATGATCACTTTACAGAGACTTACCAAGACATAAGGTTTTAAGGATCCCAAAGAATGGATAATCTCACCCTTTTGGGGGCCTACATTCAAAAGTGCACGAACTCAACAGAAACACAAAGTTTTATATTTGAAAATTAAGATAGATTGTGCACCAGAAGAAGAAATTACAAGTTCCTTGTCGAATGCTAATCTATTTTATTCGTATTCCTTCTACCAGTTCAACAAAGAATTGGATCATTATCCATATGAAAAAGTGCAAAATCTAGATGTGACTCCTATCTACCCCAACATACGCAAATATATCAAAGTCTTTTATCAATACTCTGTTACCACTTCAGAGTACAACCCCTTTTATTTCTTCCCTTCCACCAAAGACTAAGATGCTGTCGAGTATTAATAAACTACAATTGACACATTTTTAGACTATAATAAAGATAATACTTTTGCATAAATTGAACTCACGTTGAATGTTAAGAAAAGACTTAATTATGTGACCTATCAAACTCTTATGGATGTAGCTGCCAAAATTGGAGGCTTCTTCACAATCCTTAAAGCTCTCTTTTACCTACTGCTCTACCCAATCTAAGTGATCGTCTATCGANCAAAACAGTATTATTCATCTCTTAATACAAGTGGATGGGGATAGCAATTCGAGATTCAAGTTCACAAATGGCAACTGTCCACAAGACTACGAAGCAATCTAGTAATTGAAGCAATCCCTTCTGAAATGATTATGCAAAGTCAAATAATAATAACAATAAAACATTTAATCGAATTTAATTGATTTTTCATTTAATAGGATAATCAATTTAAATTAAATGTTATTCAAAGTTATAAATAACATTTCATCATGCATTAATATATAACATAATATTCAAAATCTAAATCCCATGATTACCATCAAGCAAACTTACTCTCAATTTAGAAGACTAGATCTATTCGGAATGGATGTGAGATTATTAGCTCAAGGCTAATAATCCTACCGAACAAATCTAGGAGCATTTATGACATTATTTCTATTCAGTCTGCTTGCCTATTCATGCAATTCCTTCATCCTGGAAATGAATAAGGGGAAAAACGCGATTCTTAATTAAAAAGAGTCTCCTCTACTTCAAAATGAAGTAACCACATTTTTAAAACAATTTTAGGGGTTTAGTTTTAATTCGTCATAATTCATCTACGCAATCGGAATGGTTGACAGCTTAGGTTAATACGTTCCTAATGAGAACAACCGCATCTTTCAGGTGAGTTTTTATTATTGCAAAAAATCTTTAGTAGAGACTGCTTGCGAGGTTTTCCCTGCTGTGATTTGTGGCAGTCGCATAGCTGAAGCAGCCAAAGTACTCAATTATCTACCCATTAGCAAATGAATGTTCCTGAAGACTACCAATACATTACCTATTGTCCTGATGATCACTTTACAGAGACTTACCAAGACATAAGGTTTTAAGGATCCCAAAGAATGGATAATCTCACCCTTTTGGGGGCCTACATTCAAAAGTGCACGAACTCAACAGAAACACAAAGTTTTATATTTGAAAATTAAGATAGATTGTGCACCAGAAGAAGAAATTACAAGTTCCTTGTCGAATGCTAATCTATTTTATTCGTATTCCTTCTACCAGTTCAACAAAGAATTGGATCATTATCCATATGAAAAAGTGCAAAATCTAGATGTGACTCCTATCTACCCCAACATACGCAAATATATCAAAGTCTTTTATCAATACTCTGTTACCACTTCAGAGTACAACCCCTTTTATTTCTTCCCTTCCACCAAAGACTAAGATGCTGTCGAGTATTAATAAACTACAATTGACACATTTTTAGACTATAATAAAGATAATACTTTTGCATAAATTGAACTCACGTTGAATGTTAAGAAAAGACTTAATTATGTGACCTATCAAACTCTTATGGATGTAGCTGCCAAAATTGGAGGCTTCTTCACAATCCTTAAAGCTCTCTTTTACCTACTGCTCTACCCAATCTAAGTGATCGTCTATCGACTTTATCTAATCAATAGTCTTATTAATCAATAGTAAACATTCACCACCTTAGAAAACCTAGAATAGAAAGATATGCAAACCAAATACACAAAGGTAAGAATAAGGGACCTCATAAGACATTCTCGAGCAAGATCAATCTATTTTAACTATTTAAAAAAAGTAGAACGACTCCTAGATATTACTGAAGTTCTATCTAATCCTTTACGATTGACAAGGTAGGTTGAAGACATCTAGGGGTCTATACGGAAATTTGATCCTGCAAAAAATTAATTTTAAGTTAGAGTTGCTTTAGATGAAATAATTGCCAATCAGGATAAGAATGATATCTAAAGTCCGAGATCAGTTAATCAGGAGCTTAAACCTGTGATTAGATAGTCGATATTTTTAAACAGACTTCAGCCAAAATGAATACAAGAATAAATATTTTTATTATTAATTTAAAATTGATAATTCCTATTGTTAATTTCATTAATATTCTTATACTATATTCCCACCAAAAGAATCTTCCTCCTATATTCCTTTTAGATCTTCCTCTTCTCTTTTCACTTCTTGATTCACTTTTTAGCCCTCCTTTTTTGAGATCTTTTTTAATTCCATCTATTAATTTATATCTTAGATTTCCACCATAGATCCATCTATATTCTAAGTTAATTTTATATATACGCCTTACATTTTGTTTGTCCAATTAATCTCCATCTTTCATGAATTATCCCTATTCTTTCATAAATTAGTATTGATACATTTGTATGCTTTGATTGGAGAATCTGATTAGCTTTATTGATGTCTCTTTCTTTTCCTTTTCTAAATTTTCTTCTCAATTTTCTTACTAATTTACATTTCCTCCTAAATTTCTTATTTAGGAATCATTTTAATTTTCTCCTCAAATTGATCACATAACTTCTTGACTCCCTTCAGGAATTCCTTAAATAGAGACAAGTTTTCATAAATTTCAGGCTTTTTCAAGAGTTCCTCCAATTCTTACATTACAATTTATAATAATATTAAAACCCATAAAATTTATTATTAACAAATTCATTTTCTTTTGCCATTCCTCTCTGAAAAAAATAAACCCTTCTTATATTCATATATCAAATACCCTCACGGTTTATTGTGTTTATAATTGCAATTTTTAAATTACCAGGTTTTAATCAATTTTAAGTGCAAATTGTTGCTGTTACGGAAATCTCATCTTCGGAATAGTCTAAAACATAACCTTCCCGTTCTGCTTCCTCTTCAAGACTCGAATATCAGGAGTTCTGGTTCTACATGATTCATATTCATTTGAAAAGTGAACTGAAGTATCTATCAAACTTCTATTATTGCTTTTGCTTTAGAATTGCATGCTTCCTTGCGGTGTATATCTTTGAAAATATTGTTATAAATTATCATCCTTAGGTTTGAAATACTAAATAGAGTCTTGCTATTATTCATCTCTTTTTAATTAGGCCCTACCCAATATTTAAAGTTAAAATAATTTTTTTTTGTTCTACTTATTTCTAATTTATTTCCAATTTGACACTTAAAAGACTTGCATATTTAATAAATAATTAAATGAGTTTATCCTCAAGAAATTCCCTTGATAAATCTTCATTCTGTTTTTTAACACTTAAAGTAAGGTTTTCCTATCAATGTTTTGATATTATAAAGAATGAAACCAACTAATTTAACTTAGACATTTATGAGTTATTTTTAGTGATTAGTATTATCAAATTATATATGAAAATACAATTTTGTTAGAATATATAAAGAAAGCTAAATTACTTTGGTAAAATGGAATACCTTTTCAGGAATCTCCAAAATTTAAGTAATCTATGAGCAAAAACTAAATGGTTATTAAAAATATAAAAGGTATTTGTATAATGTTATAGTTTACTTTTAATATGAATTATTTAAAAATTTGGTCTATGTAAAAATTTACTGGAATCATGATAAGTATTTAATTATAGCATTATTTATTACGACACTTATAATGGATAATAATTTGAACTATGAGATTAACAATGAGGATATGAATGGGATTCATATATATGGATTAAAAAAATAAATTTTATTTTAATAATAAATATTTTAACTAATTCTAAATAAAATCAAAATCAAAAGTTTTTGCAAGAATTACAGAAGTAACTAATATTTTTGGAATCATGATTTTAGATGTCCTTATTGCATCGAAGACATTTTCGTATAATCTGTTGGATGTTGGTTTGCTGTTCTGCCAATGCCATTCTAGAATAATTCATAGGGTCTTTGAATAGTTCACCTGTAGAGGATTGGCATCTTTACTTGGAAAGAGAGATGGTCAAAGGGTCCTGATGTAATAGTGAATGAAATACATCTAGTTATTGCAAGGCTCTAAAGAAATCATCATTGTCTAAGGATTGCAAGACTTTAAACACATTTGCAGATTTTGATTTAAATTCATCGAAAGGCTATTTAGAATATTAGATTTACTGATTATGCTGTGCATACAAGACATTCTCCAGAAGAATCCACAACATCAATTTCATGTCCACATCCTAATGTTTTTCGCTTTGGATGACGCATGATTGGTTCTTGTTCTTTCCTAACACTGCTTGATTTCTTGGTTTAGGAGTTGTCTCTTTTGAGTGGAGACTTCTACCCTTGTAGATCATGTAAATATTTTTCTATTCCAGGATCGTTTGCATATAGTAATGCTTTAAATTAGTATAATGATTTTAGCATTTACTCTCTCTAGGGATTGTGAGAACTCAAGCGATCAAAAAATGTAGAGAACAACTCTATCATGGTTGTTCTCTCTACAGAAGACAGTTAAATCATTAAAATTTTAAAATATATATATAATATATATATTCATTTATGACAACTCGACTACCCTCAACTTACTGTCTAATTTAGATTTCCTCTCAACAACTGCCAATCAATAATGGCTCTTTTGTATTTACTTTCTATTTATAATTGATATCATCATTTTTCACTCCTATCTACTGCCACAAAGTCTGATAGATAGATTTCATATAATTAAAAAATATATGGATCCAAAAAGGTGTGTATTTGTACAATATTCGCAAAAAGGGGAGGTTTATCTTCTTAAACAAAATTTAAATTCTATTTTCAGATGTGTAATTTGTTTCATGAATTCAACAATTCCAAAAAGCCTGAATTATTTAAGAACATGTAATATCTAAGTTGTTTTGCTTAATTATCAATTATTTTACACTCTAAATTTCTTGTTTTGAAGTTTAATGTTGTAATTTTTTTATTTCAAATCAGAATCTCGAATTTTCTGACAAACATAATCAGCCCTCATCAATAATCTGCCGATTTATAACTTATTTGTCTATTATTGATTATCCTACTATTTCACTTTCTTATGTACTTTATACTAAAATAATCTTGCATCGCAATTAACCACAATATATAGGTAAACTATATAAATATATATAATCCCATATTTATTATGATTTTTCATTGTTTAACTATGGAATATTCATTCTCTGAACTTCATGCTTTATTATATATCTGAATCAGTTAGAGCAATACAAGTAAAATCAGCTAACCCTGAATTTGTTATTATATTGAAAATTTCAACTGTTCCAAACAGAACTATTGAGAGAGTATAGATATTCTGAGACATTTTAAATTATTCGGACCTTTTCGCAAAATAATATTAAAATTATAATGATTAAATTTCTAAGGATGGCTCCGCGATTCAATTACTTGCCTAGATTCCATGCGGGATAAATGGGTCCGATTGCACCAAGTCCTTAGATCTAATAAAAGATGGAGGCGTTAGAATAAAACCAACCATTCTTTGATAGATTAATATTTTTTGACCCCGATATCATGGCATCATTGCCAGGTCCTTTATAAGTGTTTGATCCTGTTGTTGATTTCGGAAGTGGAATACTTACCTATCTGCATGATTGTCACATTCCTTGGGTTGGAGTGTTGAGCTTAACTTGCATAATTGCTAGATCCACATTGCTTCCTCTAATATATTTGCAGATGAAAAGAACAACTAGGTTAGCAACTGTTATTCCTGCCATAGCCCAAATGAAGAGACTGATTGACAAAACCAATTATTCAAAACCCAAGAAATTATACACCTTGATGAGACTGTCATACTAGATTGTCCATTCATAGAGACTGAAATGGATGAGACTCTTTCTGTATAATGTGTTCCATATACCCATGCTTATTACGTTAATTTGGAGTATCCGTAGACTATTGATAGATGAATCCTTCAAAACCACTGCTTTTCTGTGGATACCTGTAATTGTCAATCCCCTTATTTAAATAGTCTCTCTCCAACATGGATCCCTACTTCATTGTCCCTGCTTTGACTGTGATCTGTTACTATTACAATCTTCAAAGATTCATCACTCCAGAAAACAAAGACACCTTGCCATCCAAATTGCGTAATGTTGGTTAGTTCCTGTTAATATTATGGTTACCCTTCTTGGCCAATTGGCCATGTGCCATATAAATTTACATGTTGTTCAATGCCTTCTTTTCTATTATACAGACATCGATTATGCTGCATCCTGAATTTTAGAAGTTAGTTGATCCAAAAATATTCCTTTATCAAATGATAATTAGAATGATTGAGTATGATAAAAACACAAGTTTGTCTTTGATTGAGGCTATCAAGAGTGGTGAGGAGACGCACATCGAGAAATCAATTTCAGAAGAGCAATTACTTGATTAGTTTTAGAAATCTTTGATTGAATTGAACGAAGGGGAATTGTAAGAAGATGCTGCCAAGATTTCAAAAGATAAACCAAATTTTTATTGACATATTAGTATTTAATGGAATTTTAAATAACTCACTATTTTTTTTATTATTTTGCATTTTCAATGAATTGTGTCCAACGCTTTGTTTATTTGGGAAATTGATATTGATTCCAAACCTAGCAAATTGATTTCACATGTTTCTCTTGTAATCGATTATGGAATCTTTCTTCTGAATTGTCATAGAACATCTCATCGAATTACCTCTAAGAGTTTATTTTCATCTATGTAGGACTTAGAGGATTAATAGCATCAATTAACATATGTTTATGCTCTTACATTTTCTCTAGACTTATATTTAGATTCAACTTTAATTTTTAATCATTCAATTCTTTTTACTTATATCTCCGAGTCAATTGGGCCAATTTGCCTTCCGCATTGATAATGGCAGTCATCTTTTGATTTTTGTCGTATTCTTCAATGCATGAGGAGAAGAGTGAGACATCCTCATTATGGGAAGTTGTTCTTTTTTTTTCGATCCTTTTCAACTCTGTCAAAAGATGTCTTTTTCTCTTGGTTTTCAAATCTTTAACATAAGGTAGAACATACCCTTATCTGAGAGAATCTTGTTGATCTGCTTGTCAAGATTCTAATTTAAATACTAAAAGTTATGGGGGAGATTCAACTCTTCCCTTATGTGAGTTTCCAATTTATTTTTACTTTTTTAACCCAACAAACTCAGACTAGCTACTCTATTGAGATTGGAAAGGGCGACTTCAGACAAAGTTTTTTGATACAATATATTGTCTCTTTCAGTATCAATAAACAAATTGGTTGGTTAACGAATAAGTTCTGGAAGTCGCTTCTCCTTTTTGATAACTTGTTTACCAGTTCGTTCTGAGTAAACTTACTACTTCATTTCATTTCTTAATTATTCCCCTGTTTATGTAATCAAGAGCCGATTCATAAATTAAACAATAATTTAAATAGTGTAACAAAATAATAATAGATTTATTAAAGTAATTAGATTAAGCTAACCTAACTAATTTTCAAAAGTAGAAGACAAAAATAAATGTTTTTGTACTCCCAAAAACTTAATTACTAGATTATAATCATATTCTCAGGCTGTGTTTTGAGGGAACAATGCGAATTAGGAGTAATTCAATGACTTTTTGTGCTTGTTTATTATTATAATATTGATGGTTGAAATTGCTTGAGTAAAATTATAATTTATGTAATTAATTCTTGTTTCTATGCATAATCATTTTGCAATCACTTAAGTAAATAATGTAGAATATAAGATTGGATAGCATATTAGTTTGGACTTGTGAACATTTTAGAAGAACGGAATGTTCAAGCTTGAAGATCATTATTTAATTAATTGTTAAAAGGAATTAAATAATTATTATCATGATTTAGATTACAATTTATTAACTGTTGTGTGGACGGCTTTCCTAATTGATAAAATAGTAATTACTAATTTAATTCTTCCAAGGCGATCAATTGTTTAATACGTCTGGGTAATTGTAAGTATTGCTTGCGTTTCCACTCTCTGGTTTCTTCGTAATAGTTATCCAACTTAATCTCGCAAGCTGATTGCAGGGAAGAAGCACAAGAGTCATCTGAGTTTTCTGGAGGATCCTGATTGTAATGAGTTTTTTTATCTCGAGTGCTAAGGAGTCGTCTTGTTAAATTCTAACGAAAATCAACTCCAGAGTCGATGACATTTTGAATGTATTTGGGATGCTTTTGAATCCTAACACCTTAGGGATTGTTATAGAGATAATCGTAGAGTTGCACATCGCCAATTGTGAGGATGCCATCTTGATTTCTCCTGTCTGTTTTGGCAGCTTTATGAAACAAGGTGAAGTCCTTCTTTTTGTTCTGGATGTTTAAACGCACTAGTTTATTGATATTGTTCTCGTGCTGTTCTGCTCTGGATTGCAATTCCTATAAGTACAACTAGGCATTATTCTCCAATACGGACTTCAGATATTGTCTGGGAGGGATGGCATCAATAAAATCTCGTTGCATTTTGCTGACAGATTCAACATCGTCATAATTGAGTCTGTATTGTTTTAGACTCTTTGATTTTGGCATCAATTTCTTTTGGTAACTTATTGTGTTTTCTTGATGATTGGCGATATCCAATATGGTCTACACGATGGCTAAGGTCTGCGCATTTCCTTATCGCATCTCTTCGTTGTGGGGTTTTTTGATGGCCACTTTGTCTTTGATGAGATTCTGAACTTTTAGGAGTTTACTCTTTAGATAGTTCCTTCTCTATTCTGTTTACTGACGCATTTTTAGAGATCCTTCCTCTTTGCGTGGGTTCTGTTTCTCTGCTGTCAGTCTGGGATAATTAAGAGTTTGGATAAGACTGGAGACATTGAGATCTCCTTTGAGGTAATGAGAGAAATTGCGTTGAAATTGGTGTCCGTGATTTCGAGTTTCGAATGGTTTAATGGTGATAAGGGGATCTTACTTGGTTTTAAAGTGTAAACTCTTGAATTTCCGATGCAAGGTTTTATTAGAATGATCGAATTCACAAGTTGTTGATATGCTCATACTAAATATTAAAATTAATCAAATTAAAATATGATCAATTAAATCAGACAATGAATAGAGATACGAATTTCTACTTAGTCTATAAGATTTTCAACTTGAAATTAAATTCCAAATTATAATAAATAATATTAAGTAATTAAATTCACATTCACAATGGGGTTTACCCATGATTATTGACTACATAAGAAAAAATGCTTGAGACAGTACTCTTCTTGGGAAGCTACGGGGTTTCTGCATCAACACTATTGTTTGGATCAATGTAGGCTGAAACCACACTGTTGAAGTCATTTTGATCCAAGTTCTTCTTGGAGGATCGACTGTCTGTTTCTGGTTGCACTCTGGAACTGTGCCTGTTGTGTTTTCTATTACATTAATTTAATGTTCTTACATGTATTTTAATAGCTGAGGTGCCATTGAATTCAGTAGACTGATGGTAGTGTTGGTTGATGAAGTGTTTGGTCGATGTGTGCTCGATTGTAACTAGTAATCCTGGTTGATGTTATTGTTTGATTTCTGCAATTTCAACTTCTCTATAAACTCCATCACATACACTCTGACCTTCTTCCACAAAAAGCACGCCTTTCTCCTGTTGTAATAATTCTTCGGTTTTTTGATGCAATATTTAATACAAGGGTAACGAATAATAAGATTAACAATTCTTTCTATGTGTTGTTGCTTTAGACTTGACAAGTATTCCCTGATGATCTTGGAAAATATGTAAGTACAATAGAGCAAATTGAGCACTGAACACAATATTGATAGGATGTACACCAATGAAGTATAGGGGTTCTTGTCTTAACTGTAGGACAAAATCAGAGTGACCATTGCCAATTGTGTGGAGATCTTATCAATAAAATTGTACTGTTTCTCAATGTAGGGTTGATGCTTGTTCAGCAATTCTAAATAGACTAGCAGAATAAGTATGGCAAATAGGAACATCAGTTTGATGTCTTGGATCAGCAGAGTTTCCAGAAGGTAAAATAGTGACTTGATGAAGAAACACACGAACTCCCAATAATAGTAGTTGTCCTTGTATTCCACATACAGGTACCCGTAAGGCATACGCAATTGGCACGTCCACAGTTTGTTCTTGTTTTTGTATAGCTTGATGATGTAAAAGAGGGGAGACACTATCCCGACCAAAATCAACGTGGGGATGATGAGTATCTTCAGATAAAGGTAATATTCCTCAGTGTAACACATGTAGGATGTTGCTGCCAGAATGTAGTATTGTCCTGAAGCCTTGATGCAGAACATCAATTGCAGGAGACCCTCGATGATGTCGCCTTGGAAATAGAAGTTCACTTGGATGAGACAAGATATGAAAATAGTCTTGATCGAGTTCTCCATTCGACTTCGATTGCACAATTGAATCAGGGAGTAAATGAACACAAATGAAAACACAAACAACAAGGACACAAACAAGTTCCAGAACTGTCTCAAATACACAATTTCAACTTGCAACTGCGAATTCAACAAGAAACATTCTATTGAGTATCCCAAAGTGGATAGGGGATTGCCAATTGCTTAAGCGATCACTTCTATTGGAGTAGGGAAATCAAAGTCAATGACCTAGATTATTGATATCAATTGGAAGTAACTGGAAAATAATTTGATTAAGATTTCAGTTTGATCGATCACCATGGTAGATCTAGTGGCAAAGAATATGCCCATCATTCTGAGATAATGAGCTGACAGTTGTGCTCTGACCAATCGCAAACTTCCTCTGATGGATATGAACAAAGCAACGAGGATCCAAGAGAAAGAGAAAATTATCTTGAAGATATTGAAGACATCATTCTAACAAATTGTACAGTTCCCTCCGAAACCACGAGTGTATGAGTTGTTCCAATGTTCTGCGTAATAATCGCAATCATCACACAATGCTCCAGTGTAACCCTAACTGCAAGTGAATTCCTCAGATCCACCTAAACACTGGGCCACAGATGATTGACAATACTCAATGCTGTCAGTAGTCTTGTTGGCTCTCCAATACCCTTGTTTCAAGACTAATTCTGACCCTCCAGGACATGACTCTATTGAAGTGATACACTACTGGCAATGCTTGAAGTTGTCTAAACTGTAGGATCCAGCTGGACATCTAAGACATGACTGGTTTTCCCATTCTTCTCCAATCTCACATTGAATGAGACCCAAGTATATTGGTAATTTGAATGTACCATTGTAGAACGTAAGCGATTGAAATTCAAGTAGAACCTAGATTGTCTCATTCTCCGGTTGTTGTTGATAATGAGTGTAGTACACTTCATATTGGCATTCCAATTAATCAAATTCAAATACCTTCTCTTCTATGGCTAGATAATTCTAAAAATCGCACATCCTATTCTACCCACTATCCAATATGGCTATCTTCAATTTCAACGTCTATCCACTCTTATAATCTACCTGGCGTATGATATCCTTTCTTTTGATCAGATTATCGAATAGATAACTATCGTTATTGACAACCAGATACACAGGTCCTGTTACATAAGTCAAGATGTCTGGTTCCACTATTTCGCTAGTGATCATGAAGATATGCTTGTCAGTCTTCATTGAGCAATTGTTAAACAGGTTCTATTGGATGTAATGGGACAATCCTGAAGATTGGTTCAAGTAGATCACTCCTCCCTCTGGAGATGTGAGGTCGATGAATTGATTCCCATAGATCTTGATTGCTGTATTTTATATTACATAGGCAGAACCCTGATTGGCAGAGATATTGGTAAAAGTGCTATTGTAGGCTACAAAGTTGTTCGAATCTTGAACACTGATAAATCCAGAGAAACTTTGAGTATTTTTGAATATCGACTTGAATATCTCGATGTGATTGCTCTATCTGATCACGATGATGCCATTACAATAAGGACAATCGATGTTGGTAAATTGTAGATCGGTTAGTATAACTTTTGTGGAATTTTTTATAGTAATCAACTCCTTATTATTATATGTGATGGTGTTCAAATACAATCCCTTGATATTTATATCACTTTCTAACGCCTAAATTAATGGAGTAAGAAAGTTGCTAATTTGAAACATTTTGATGTGAGTGAGATCAGCCTAAGATGAGTTCAAAGTCAAGAAATTGCATTCATTGCAATTGTTGATTGTAAGATTGCGGACCATCAAATACACAACAGTTTCTAATTTCGCAATCTGAATTGAGGAGCAGTCTTCTATGAGAACATTAGTGAGTTATGTAAGAGAAGATTCTTTTAAGTTGATCAGGATGGAATTGTTAATCTTTTTAAATTCCACCTGATCGACATTTAATTCCGTGATCATTTAGGAATTGATTATTAGGCCGAACAAGGAATTGAAATTGCCTTTAGAGAGCGAGAAGGCTCCGTTAATTTGAAATAGACCTCTTTGATGGCTATTGGAAATAGTGAAGTAATTAAGCATCACGTTGGTTTGATTGGATATCGATATCAATAGGGGTCCAACCAAAGAGGAAATTATTATTTACTGAAGAAAGATATTCTGACTATCCATTTTGAATAACGCCTTACTCTCCACTTCCGTTATCGTACTATTATACAAATAGACATATTGACTTTCGGCTACGATCACTTGAGAATCTGATATTACCCTGTTGATTTTCAAACTTGAGAGCTTGATTTAGTTTTCACTTTGAAGTTGTATCAAAACACTTTGAGAGAGAGTCACGTTGAGCACGGTGGTGTAGAGAGCTCCCTTGGCCAGAATCCCAGTTGAGAGAGTGAGGTAGGTATTTTGGAATGTGACTTCCTGCGATATATCTGTCTCAATCAAAATGCTTTAAACCACAAATGAATTATTGAGAGTTAATCTGTTCACCTAGGTTTGAGGGGACAGCGTGGAGTTGATAAAACTCACTTAATCAATAACGGCGTTTCTTAATTGGATCATCTGGGAACTTAGTTAACTTCTGAAAAAAGTGCAATCCGACATGTAGAGTCCGTCGACGTCGATGGGAGATTGAAATGCCGACATATTTTAAAAGGTCATCCCTATCATCTAAGACCCTCGAATCTACATTGTGGTGCTTCTTATTTAGCAATTCCTCTGGAGAATCACATTTTAAAGCAGCACTGGGCCTATGATGTCTATTGAGTCTGTTAATGTGTCTATTGTGATGTTCTGGAACTCAACAACCTTGAATCCAGCCAGGATTACAGTTTAAGTCAATAGCAATTCGGTTCCAATTACTTTAAGTTAGCCCCCAGAAGATGTCATATTCATTAATTTCTCGTTGCTCACATTCAGAGTACAATTGTATTGCGGTATCTAAACAGATTTGTCAATTTGCAACGTGAGTCCCATCTCATCCCTGCAAATCAATAACTCCATTGTGATATACAAATTTATGAACAAAAACAATCTTCTCATCAAAACAAATAAATAAATAGTGATTAAATATTTCAATATACATTCAAAATCATAAAACATCAATCCTGTCTCATTCATAAACTATCATCTCGGATTCCGCTCAATGTACTCCTTTGCACCTCCCTCCTTTGTCTACTCCTTCCTCCCCCGCCTCTCCAGACTCTCAATACTGACTCTAATTTTAATCACATACCCTACGACACCTACTTATAAACTCTTGATTTATATATTATATATATTATTTAATCTTTTAATGGAAAAACCTCAAATTATCATAACAACCGTGAAAAGAGGAGACGAGATCACCTATCCCAAAAAAGGAAATCACCTGCGCATCCATTTCGAAGCTTTCGTATCTAATCAATCCTTTTAATCAAGAGACCCAATGGAGAAAAGATCGAAACTACAAAAGATGCTGATCGCCCATTCGAGTTTCAAATAGGAGTCGACGACGTTATTCCTGGCTTGCAACAAATACTTTATAAAATGACCATCGGAGAAAAAGTCAAAGCAGAAATCCCCCCCCAATTCGCCTATCAGAGAGAAGGCTTGACTGGCATAATTCCAAGCAATGAAAAATTAATCATGGAAATTGAGTTAATATCAATAACATTCTGATCATATAACAT